GATGCTATGCTTCCTTCAATTCCCAACCCAACAGAAACTTGCATTATGCATAAAATTATCCAGGCAGTGTACAAACGGGGCCAATGAACGGCATCTGTTGACTCATTTACAAAGGTGACTTTCCCTGTCAAACCATGGAAAAGAGTGGCAATGCTAACAATTGAAACGATAACATATAGAAAAGCTGGATTGGTGTAGAAATAGAAAGAAAAGAGAAAAGATGGGGAAGGCTGTGAAGGATTTGAAATAGCAGTTAAGAAATAATTAACACAAGAGAGCCTGGCAACGAGGAGAAACGAGAGGGGGAGCAAGAGGCTGAGCAGGGTGATTGTAAGGAGGTGAAAGGATTCTTTCAAGGTGGGAGAAGTCAGGAGCTTCCTAGCTTTCTGACACAAATTCTTCCAGCCCATTTTTCCCAATGGCCAATTTTTATTTTTTTTTTTTGAAAAACTCTCTTGTTTGTGTGACAAGGAACATAGATCCATTTATTTCATGACTGGATTAATTTGTAGATCCGAAGGAAAGAAGATTAGAGTGGTTGCCACGTCCATAGTTTTAATTAGTTGACACAAAGACATCGTATCTTATTCCAGGCCTTCATGCATTTTTTTTTATCAGGGAATATTGTGTACATATATATATATATATATATATATATTGATAGTAGAATATTGCATATTTTTGGTATGTATTAATCAGTCGTGTAGATCTAATTCGCCCATGGAAAACGCTACTACAATACATAAACCCATCCAACTTGTTGAAGCCATTACAATTAGTAATTACTAGTATTATTTAATATTTGCTGTTACCTGTTACTTGAACCTTTACGGATTTGTTTGCATATTGAGTTTTGGATATAGAATAAACAAATGGAAAGGGCCAAGTCAACTCAAGTGTAATTAAGGTGCGTCCGCGACTCAATACTTCACATAGAGGGCAAAGCTTGTAAGATAATTTTTTTATTTATATATATTTGACGTTATTCGTATTTGAATTGTAATCACTGAAATTAAGTACTTGTATTTTATTCTTATCAGTTTAAAAGCTTGTAAGATTACTTAAGCACTTGTGTTTACCTAAATTGATTGCTACGTCTCTACCGTCGGAGGCAATGTTGGTTAGCTTGGAATATGTGACATCAATATAGAAATTGTAAGTTATGGCCCCAAATATCAAACTCTGAAGTAAGCGATGGCGATTGGGGACCTTAATGTCGTTAAAATGTAATTAAACCATAAAGGCACGGATGTGTGGTGTGGAGTTCTAGCACAAGGTGAAGAAGAAAATTTATCCATTCTTCAACGGCAAGAAAGATCAAATCATGAACAATGACAGTTCAAAAAATAAATTTAAACGCTCAGGCTCCATTGAATTCTATTGGAGCCGTGGTGAGGTGCGATTTGCATCACTTTTTGGTTTAAATCGTGTTATTTTGGTGTTTAGATAATACCAATGAGTTTTGGTGACCTCCAGTTCTCCACCGGAGACAAGTGCTCCAGTAAAAAATCACTTTCCCCCAATGAAGCTTTCTTCCAATTTTGCCCCTGTTATTTTATTTTATTTTTCCTTTTTACCTTTAAAGCTGTGGTGACTTGATAAAAATATACCCACCATTTTAACTTTTAACTTTTTTGTTTTTTCATTTATTTAATTTAAAATAATTTTATTAATTTAATAATAAAAATAAAATATATTAATATTTTGATTAAATAAAATTTTTAAAATTTTAAATATTATAAATAATATTAAAATATAAATAAATAATTTATCAATTTTTTTAGAGTAAATCTTTAATGATCATTTTCATTATCACTTAATTACCACCGCTATTTTGTTATCCAAACACATATTTTATCATTAATTTTAATTTTATTGTTATAATAATTAATTTTATTTTCATTATTATTTTTAAATTTACTGAAATCAATTTCATCGTTCATCTAAATGAACCTTTCATTTCAATTCTTTTTATCAATTTTAAACATTTCTCTCATATATGTATGAATATGAAGGAAAAAAAGAAAAAGAAAACAAGGTAAAAGAAACCAGCCAAATATAAAATTAACAAAAGAAGAAAAAAGAATGATTTTCTATATATATATTGATATATTTGATGGCTATATCTATCAATTCCCAAAAGTCAAGGTTTTTAGAGAAAAAAAAAATTCAGCGAATGGCTTTCAAAACTCATCATTCTTCAATTAATCCAACATATACTGGTAAATATAATTCTTCAATTTTCTGCCTTCAACGATAACTGTGAGTAATAAGGTATGGCTAGTGATGTGTTGACATGTAAATTCACCTTTGAAAGTTGTTTGATGTAGTTGTTCCCATGACATCTACCAAACAATATTCTTCCAACCATTCATTGACATTATTTTTTTACTATATCTGCTATAATTTACTTCGAGGTTGCCATATATGGCTCCAATGATCGTATTTGGGTGCTTACAATTTGAGACAAATAAATGTATCATATATATGTATATATATACTTTTATTAACAAACTTGCTGGTAAGAAAATTGATAGACCCCCTCAGGCTCAATCAATGTGGGAGTTTTTGTTTATTATTATTAGAAAAATTATTTTATGCACGTAAAATATTTTAATTTTATAAGTGAGATTAAAATGATAATATATATTTTTTTAAATTAGTTTTTTTTTTAATTTTAAAGTATATATTAAGATATATGTATTATTATTTTAATCTTATTTGTAGAGTTAAAATATTTCACTATCAATTTATTTGATAAAATTTTTTGTTATTATTTATTCATATAATTTATTTTTAATTATTTTTAAGAATAAATTAGCCTTGTATCAACGAGGTTTGATTTGCCATGGGTGAGTGTATAATAATACTTAAATCTTTTTTAAAAATTTATTAGATGGCTTGATTTGCCATGGGTGAGTGTATAATAATACTTAAATCTTTTTTAAAAATTTATTAGATGGCTTTATTATAGTGAGTGGCTAAAAAGTCGTTTTTTAAATTTATCTTAATATAAGTTAAATTCTTCATTAATATACTACATATTAATGTTACAAATCCTAGTTTTTGTGTCATTGATCGAAATTTAAGTTTCTATTCGTGCAGTTTCAAGATTTGGACATACATTCATTCGATGTTTCAGATAAGTTTACCTGTCACGATTCACATTTTTGTGAGATATTATATCCCTTTGCCCTCACGATGTTATCTTACAAAAAAAACTTCACAAGGGAGAGGTGATGTGAATCATTTATATCATAGTGACCCTCCTTTTATGTTCAATGTAAGATTCAAGACTCTTTTTTAAATTCGTGATATTCTCTCTCACCTAATCTCGTGACGCTCTCATCACGGAGGTTGGTCATCTGACTTACCTCCCTCAAGGCGCTTAGCGTGAATCGAACGGTTTATGGTTCGTTCTGATACAATTTATCACGGATCAAGACTTAAGCTCCGACCTGCGCGGCTCCAAGATCCAATCATGCACTCATCTGACATCCCAGATCAACTTTCTCTTTAGGTCCGTAACATTCTCCTCCACCCAACCTAGTGACGCCCTCGTTATGGAGATTAGCCATCCTGTCTACCTCCCTCGAGGCACTGGGCGTAGATTGAACGGTTTAAGGCTCACTCTGATACCACTTGTCACAGATCAAGAGTTAAGCTTCGACCCACGCGACTCCAAGACTCGGGCATGCACTTGACGTATATTAAATAGTTTAAGACTCACTCTAATACCACTTGTCACAAATCAAGAGTTAAGCTCCGACCCACATGACTCCAAGACTCGGGCATGCATTGTGAATTTTTTTATACCCCAATAATCCTCTTTTTTATATTCGATGTGAGATTTAATACTTCTCCTTAAATTCGTAACACTTGCATCATTATTGGGTAGAATGGATGGACCAACCTTGGACTTATGCTTTTAAAACTCTTTTTTAATAAAAAAGAAGAAACCAAAAGTCTTCAAGAAGAATTATTATTAATTAAAACATTCTATTTCGTTTGTATTTTTAACAAAAAAATTAAAAACTAAAAATAATCAAATATCAATAAAATAAAATTTAAATTGTTTTTAACATTGAATTAGTATTGAAAAGCTTTAAAAATGAAACAAGAAGCAATATTGGCTGGGAAAGATACATATCATGATTCAGTTGGCATTTTAAGCTCAACAGCAATATTGGATTAAATCAAATATTTTGCCTCAACTGATGAAGGCAGTTCAATGCTTAATTGCAGGCTATGTATAAAAGCTACGGCATGACTTGTCTTCTCGAATCAAACTTTCAACATTTTCAAACGTGTTTCGTGGTTCGTAGTTGACTAGCCTGGCATGGCATCATTTTCTTGTAGTAAAAGATCTACTTGACAAATGCAGACGGCTGTGTAAAAAAGTGACAGGAAATATTGTTGGTTCTTCGCCCTACCCACATTTTGGTTTTGACTGTGAATTTTCTTTCCAATATGCATATGCTTTTGATCTTTTATTTTTAAAAAACTAAAATATTAAAAAAAATCCTAACTATTTAATTTTATTTAAATAAATATTTATCATTTGATTTGTATTTATATAAACTTTTATTTCAAATAGTAATTTCTACGCTAACCTCCACTGTTCAGATAATCACAAGTCTAGTTTAAAATGTTCAGCAGTTGAAGACAAATTTTTGCCATTGAATGGTCTGATTCACATGAAGTGTAATCTGAAATGATTCTTTCGCAAAATTTAGTAAGTAATTTATGACCAAAAAAATCCATGCGCTAAATTCTCTAGTGATTTAGTGATTTCATCGAATAGAAAGTTCATGAAATCCAAATATCTATTACATTACTGCTTAAGAGGTCACCAGAGAAACATTTATATGAAGTAACAAAGTTGCAAAAGCTTTGCATATGGTGTTTGACTCAGTTAGTTTATGTAATCACATTTAAAAGATGATATCTAATAAATCTAAACTTAAAATCTCAATATCTGCAAAAAAAAAAAAAAAATCATATTCCCTAAAGGCTACACCAATTTTTTAAATATTGTTGTATAATTAATATCAAAATTCATATCATAATTATTCAGTATCAAAGAGACAATATAGCCATGTCATTGATAGAAAAAATACCTAAAGGAACATCACACATGATCAGGTTATTCATTACTATCAGCTATAGGAGCTAGTGGCTGAAGAGCTTTGAGAGGATTCGTGAGGACACCATCAATTAGTCCATGTTCCTTTGCCTCTTTCGAACTCATGAAAAAATCATACTCGGTGTCCTCGTTAATCCGCTCTAAAGTTTGGCCAGTGTGGTAAGCAAGATGCCCGTTTAAGTTTGCCTTATGATGCAGCAATTCATTTGTCTGAGAATCATGTTTAATAGTTAGTGTACTATACAACAACAGAACAAAAAATGAAGCTACACAACAAAGCAATATAAGCATTTAATCTGAACAGTTCATTTTTGGCAAGAATATTCATAGGCATCCCACCGATGCACTGTTTAATCTTTTTTTTTTATTATTATTATTTTAAATTGGTCTATCTTTAATAAAAAAGTTTAACAAGCTCCCACCCCCCCCCCCCAAAAAAAAAAAAATCCACCAGGAAAGGGAAAACCTTCACAAAGAGACATGTTAACAAGTGCTCGGCTGTCTTGCATCATAAACATCAAGCTAAATTGATAGTATCTGATTTATACAGAGGGTAAGGGACCAGAGGTACAACACTGCAGAAGTACAACATTTAAACAACATACATACCTGAATGGTAAGATCAATTGGAGTTCCTTGAAGTCCCCCATGAGGCTTATGTATCATTATCCTTGAATTAGGTAAACTGTATCGTTTTCCTAGAGTTTTGAAGAAAACAAAAGGATAAGCACATTTAGTAGACCAGGCGAAACTACACCAAACAACGGAGCTATATGAATGGTACAAATCAGCATTATATACCTTTGGTTCCCGCACTAAGCAGAAAAGCTCCCATGCTGTTCATGGAAAAACAAAACAAAATATATCCATTACTAATAGCAAACAATTGCATCCACATGCACATAGAAACTCTTATTCTCAGGGACATCCACAGACATCTTTATTTAGAAATGCATTTCACATAAAAGCTAGCAATTTCCAAAAATCAATCATTAGCCTTTCGCACTAAAAATATTAATTAACAAATGTCAAGCTATAACTCAAATTGTTAGAAAGTAATCAATAATTACAGCCACACAATTCCACCACAGAAAGGAAAATAATTTCAATATTAAATAAAAATGCTTTAAACATTTCACAGAATCAAGCACCAGCTTTGTGGTGGAATTTCAATCCACAGCTTAATAAAGGTACCAGCCTTGGCTTTGTAACTAATCTTATAACTAGCTGAATCCAAATTATAGATCCTCAGTTCTTACCAAAGAAAACAAGGATAAGTAATTAGGCCATTAATTCTCCAGTGGTATAAATCACTAGAAAAGTCATCTAAAAGTTGCAATTTTAAACGCACATATTGGGTTTGTAGGCTATCCTATCCAATGTTCCATATTGAGATTTAAAAATATAATTGCATTATAAACATAAACAATTACATCAATGAATTTATACCTAGCTGCAAGTCCGACACACACAGTTGAGACATCAGGCCGGATATGCCTCATAATGTCAAATATGGCCATACCTAAGAAAATTCAAAACCATACAAGTTATGCAAGTCAATAAAAAATTGTTCCTCTTGCTATTTGAAATAAACCAGGGCAAGTATAAATACATGATTCTCATTAGATAGACAAATTACCAGCTGTAACTGACCCTCCAGGGGAATTAACATACAGAACAATGTCCTGTTGACAAGATCAAAAAATGCAGAAGTAGTAAATAACATTCATAATGGCATTTCAGGTTCCTCATTTCTTTAAGGAAAAAAACCAAGCTGTTTGCTATTGAGAGAGAAAAAGCATGGAACCAAACAGACCTTCTGAGGATCAACAGCATCAAGATAGAGAAGTTGAGCTACAATAATGTTGGCCATATCATCATCAACAGCTCCACTACAGCGAATTATTCTCTAAGAATCAAAAGAAACAACCAATATAAGAACTGATAAGAATGAAACCAAAGTCTTGTGAAACCAAAATTCACAAGCAAACCAATCCATACATTTTGAAAAAGTTGGCCAACAACACTCTGAAATCGCTCTTGCACCATTGGCGGTGGCCCCTGCCCTTGAGCATATACAGGGAGGTGAGGTGATGATGGAACTTGCAAATCATCCCTGCACAGTTATAAAATAAAATCTCTAATCTTTTATCACATTTTTTATTTAAAAAAAAAAGGGTGAACAATATAGGGATGTAGTTTCATACGAGCTTTTACCTTATTGACCAGATTCCTTGTCGAGAGCTTGTCTCTGCAGCCCAAAACTCTCCAGTGTAAACAGCCTTTGGCAGAGAACTCATCACATTATTTTGATTACTAACTAGCTTCTTCAATTTCCTGAAAATTAAAAAAATAAATTACTTTCAAACTTAGCCAATTAGGTGAAAAGTAAAAGGAACAGGAAAAAAAACCCATCTTCCACCCTCAATGAAGAAACCAACAATAAAACAAAACATGGGTTTTAATTAAGGTTAGAAAAACGATAACTCTACCTCCTAGATTCCAGATTGACGAATTAAACATTAATTCAAAAAGACTTGAAATTTAAATTTTATAACAGTTTCCTAGTTTGGATAAGGGAATGAAAAAAAAGAGAAATACCTGGGATGAAGGGGATGGAAAGGAAAAGATGACTTATGAGAATCGTTTGGAAAGAAGAGTAGAGAACTCAACCCAAAAGACGACGCCAATGTGGAAAGGCACGTGTGTGCCATTTTTATCTAACCTTACCTGTCTGAACCAGATTTAAACCAAAAACTGAAACAAAGGGAGTTTTTTGGCTTTTATTGAAATGGACTAAGGAATTTAAGATGACCTTATCTCGCAGTATAGGGCTACGGGCGGCGGTGGGCTTCGGAGTCGATAAGGGTTAAGTGCATCTCTCTAGAGAAGTGAAGTGGAACAAGAAACTAGTTTTTACTTAAACAGCCGCTTCCTGAAGATCTTTTCCCCAAACCAAACAACAATGAATCTTCTTGTTTGACCCGAATTTGGCTTAAGGACGGGTTACGACCCACGAGCAGACAGTGTATCGTTTGTACTTTATGTTGAAGAAAAACTATTGTTTCTGTTCAGGAGTAAAAGCCCGGCCCGTTAAATTGGATAATGATCCAACCCAATGTTTTGCAATGAATAAATATCTTGAACAAAGAAATTATAAGAGTTTTATTTCAATTTCTTTTACATGCTCTTAAAAAATGTGAGTACTTTAAGCGTAATTCGATCAGTAAACATGTTGCTAGTATAATTTATAAATGCAAGATACTCTGTTAAATTGTTCGATTATGTATGCCACTCGAAAATCAATACCTTAGATATGTTCAGTTAGTAATTGAGGTTGTTATTCTACTCCTGACAATTTTGCTCATTATGTTTTTCCACTTCAATTAACGCTTTATTTGGTATTTTAATAATAAAAAAAAAGGAAGATAAAATTTGTGAATGTCATTCCTTTTTGTCTTTCATTAAAACATTTTCACTAAGTTTTGGGAAAATGATTGTTTCAAGTTGTTGATTTCTTGGCACACCCAAATCCTGGCTTTCAGAGTGACGGTCCATCTCATGTGAAATTTATTTACTTTGGATGTTTTTTCTTATAATATACATAGTACTTTGTAGACCGACACTATATATATAATAATATATATATATATAAACCAAAGTTTAGAGAATTGCCATGAAAATATTCAGAGACACAAGCGCTCACATACACGAGCAACTCCAATCAGTGGCGATTAAATAAGTTGAAAATCCTCAACCATTATCCCTCTCTCTTCCAGCTTATGTAGTGGGAATGCCAATTGCCAATGCAGGATCTCAGAATATATACATACATGTTTGCCCTATTAACATAGGAAAAACAATATGAGCCATGCTCTCTTCCAACTTACTAGTAATAAGATTTCGCTAATTTAAGGGGCAAAACTTCTGTATGTCATTTAATTGAGCTGTATAAGGGGCAATGAATACATACTCAGTTCAATCTCAAATTCTCAATATGCTAAGTTGAAAATTATGCCATTATACTAATCTCTTAGTACATGCTGTATAACAGCAGAATTTACCATATGCACGGAGGTTAGAGCAGGAATTTCAGCAACATTAGCAGCTAGTTTCAGCCAGCAGCTGCTCTTGAATTGCCTTGTAGCACTGCAGACTACAAAGCGGTAGCTTTGACTTCGAATCTCGATACTTGTATGGGTTAGCACAAGATGGACCCGCGCAGTTTTCACGTGGAGGAGGGTAACTGAATACTCAAACCAAAAAAAGTTAAGATACCAGAAAGCAAACATTTGTAACAAAATCAACTTAAACAATGCAATGGGCAATACCTAGAGGGCTTGGCGTCAAATATACTAGGGAACCCCATATCCCTGGGAAATGTGACTGTTGTCCCTGTAGGACCCATGACCAATCTGATGGTGTTTGATGCAAGCATCTGTGCATTGACAGCCTTTTCCTGTATATAACAAGGTGAGAATGTTAGACAAAATAGCCTTATGATAAGACTCGCCAAACAAATTATATTTAACATTTTTTTTTCAATCCAACAGATCCAACTTCCAAGTACCTGCGCCAATTCTTCCTGACGCTTTTTCATTTTCTCTTCTCGCTTCTTCCTACTGGAATCTTGGCCAAGTATTTTTCTAATAGCCTCAGCCTACAAAAATTAATTCAAACGTACTCAAATTTTGCATTGCAGTTCTAAAATCCATGTACAAACATATGGTAATCTGAAGCTCAAAGAGAAACAAACCTCAGATTCCCTATTAGCCTTTTCAACTTGCATCCTTCGTCTCTGAGCAGCCTCTGCCTTTTTCAGCTGCTGCTCCACTTCTGAGAGTTTCTCCTTTTGCTCTACAATCAACAACAATCACTGTAAAAGAGGAGGAAAGTAACCAATAACTTGAACACAGAAGGTCAATGACAGAAATAAATGCTCACTTCTTGATGGGGCAGGTGGTAAACCATTTGGAAACTCAATTAAGCTTGAGACAGGTGCAGAAGAGGCATCTTTGATCGACTGAAGGGCCCGTTGACGTGTTGTGAGAGTCATTTCCCTCTTATTCTCCATCAATGCATCGATGGATTCTTTCTTCTGCTTCTTTTTCTTCTTACCTTCTAGCTCACTATCAGACACCAGTTCATCTTCTTCCTCATAGTCTGTATCCTCAGATACCCTATCTGACCTGTGCTTCCTTTTCTCATCTTTACTAGACCTTGATGTGCCCAGATTGTCTAGGTTGGAAACCCTAGAGAGTTTTTTCTGTTTCTTACCTGATTCATCATCTACTTCCTTATATGCTGGGCTAATCTTTGAAGTTTTAAGTTTCTCCAAGTAGCGTATCTCATCATCCTCGTCATCTTCACCGAATTCCCCATCCAGTACACGCCTCTTAGGGACCCGTTTGCTTTTACGAACCGCACCAGCCTCGTCTCCTTGTTTACCAGAGATATTCTTTCCAGAAATCTTTCCCATCAAAGAATCCTCCTTACCAAAACTAAATCCACCTTTGGAGAAATCTTTCCAGGGGACTCCTTGCAAACCACTCCTTTTATCTGGAGAAGAGTGCCCATCATCAGTACTTCCCTGTAATGAAGACAATTAATAATAAGATTATCTGGGATTCCAAATGTTACTAAAAGATATGAAAAATTATTATGCTCGGTCAAAACACATTAATACATAAGATAATCTTCCATAAAAGACTTTGCAATGTTACTACCAAATCATTTAATCCCACATGAATCATGATCCATTCGCAGTATCTGTGACAATTCACCCAAAGGAACAAAACTGATAATCTAGAGAATGCTAATTTATAAGGCAAGCAATTTCATTAGGTATTATTTTGTAGCCCCTAAACTGGATCCTTCTATAAGGCATTTCAGTGGCCAGTGTACATACTCTGTACTGATTTAACTGAGGGGAAAGACATCCACGTTAAATAATAATAATAATAATAAAGACCTTTTTCAATATAAAATTGCCATAATCAAATAACTAAAGCTGAAGAGAAACAACTGGTAACTACCTGTAGGTTGTTCTTCCTCGTAGAAGACACACTCCCTGGCAATCCATTAGCTGTAGAGTTGGCATGAGTTGTACGTGTAACGCCGCCAACCTTGAACTTAACTTTTTTAACCTTGCTTTCATTACCATCAATAACAGCTCCTTGCACTGAACCATGAATCTCACCATTCCTTCCACCATATATATTTAAATTCCTTGATTCTAATTCCGACCACTCATTCCCCTTGCTTTTGCTTTTCCAATTAGCAGGGGCAAGTACACCCTCACTAGAACGCTTACTGTTTGACCCACCTCGCCCAAGCTCATTGTTGTAAGACGCATTAAATCCTCCATCTTCTTTCTTTCTTTTATGGGTTTTATCAACTTCCATACTAACAGCAGGAGGAATCTTAGAAACATATTGATTAACATTGAATTCTTTCCGCTTTGAATTAGTATCAGCACTGGCATTCTCATCACTAGAGACCTTGCTCACATCATCTGAAGGTGGTGTTGATGACAAGGGCGAGTGATCTTGACTTTCAGCAAGAGACTGTGAATCAGGACGAGGCCGACGAGAAGTTTGGCTCCTCTTCTTCCTCACAGCATTGTTCACACCATCAAACCGAGTGCCAGAAAACTCTTCCATGGAGATAAAGCTGTTTTCACCTAATTTCACCAGAAGTATGCCCCAGAAAGACCACTAATTCTATAGGAACGAAAATCAAAACATGAGATTTATACTGGAAAGATCCCAAATCACTACAAAAACAACTTCAATTTATCACACGTCAAATCAAATTAAACAAGAAATTGGAGAAAAAGGGCTAAAGATTCACAATATGACATTCATAAAAACGTATAAAACACATAAAAGAATGAAAAATAAGGACAAGAAAAAAGCCGTTGAAAGCCGCTAGGAGCATAATCTAGCAAAAGGAATTTCACCAATATAAACAACAGGGAGACCAAACAATCAGGAACTTGAACTTTCATAAGCCAATCAATCAAATTATTCAGATTAAAGAAACCAGTAAAGAAATTGAGAAATTCAAAATGCCGTAGAAGGGCCAATTCAAACGATAAAAACCAAATAATTCTATGAAATAGATTCATACAGATGATTCGAGTAATATTATCCCATAATTTATTATGAACCAAATCACCATCAAATCAAAAGCAAATCCAGAGATAAAAACACCCAACATCCCACGAATCAATCCATCAAACAAAAAACTATAACCGAAAAGTAACCCAATTCAACCCCCATCCCTCGAATCCATAGATCAAATCAGCAAAGAAAAGAAAGAACCCCACGACTAATCGATCATTTACCTTCTCGATATGGCCGTACAGAAGAAAGAGAACAACCCTCGAAAGAGAAGAAAGGAAAAAAGAAGAAGAAGAAGAGAGAGCAGAAGAGAAAAGAGGAGAGTAAATAGATTAGGTGGGAAAGTAAGAAAATATACGGATTTTCGTAGGAAAGGAGAAAAGAAAGGGGTGAGAATGGTAAAAAATAAATAAAGAAGTTCTAGGGTTAGAGAAGGATATATAGGAGTTGTAGTAACAATGATGATGAGAATGAGAAAGGAAAGATAGAGGTTAAGATGAGGAAGAGGACTTATTATCTCCTCGTTCACCATTTTTTTGCTATTGCCACACCACAACCCCTGTGTTTTTTTACGTTTGGATGGGTTGGACGGGGGATTTTAGATTTTTAGATCTTTGATTCGGTCACTTGACTCGCCCACCCGACTCACCTCTCTCTCTCTCTCTTTCTCCCGCGTTTCTTTCCTTTCGTTCTTTCTTCCTTTCTTCGCCTTAACACTTTTTATTTTCCCTCTTCAACTACTACACACGGTTTAGGCTGCAAAAGCGTGCGCAGGATAAGACCCTGCGCACATTGGCGCTCACGATATTGGCCCTTCCCTTTTATTCTTTGTCTTTGTTGTGCCAAACTGCTACGTGGCGCGATATTATTAGCGTATTTCTCCGAACATTTGGGTGGGTCCTTATGTTTATAAAATTTATGAATGCAACCCTTCCTTTCATACTATTGTTACTTCCAATTTCCAAATTCTTACCAAATTAGTCAAATTATAACTTTTTTTATTAAACTGATAACAACATACATTACACTTGAATTTCGGTCAATAGTCAAATTAAATTATTAAATTTTCAATTATAGTTTATAAAATATTAATAATTTTTTTCAAAATTGTTTAAATATGACTGATAGTTTTTAAATATTTTTTTTTCAAATAACAAGTTTCAATTATTTTTAATTAGTGCTTGTATTAAATTACTTAATTACATCTTTTACGAACAATTAAGACTAATCATGGTAAAGAAAAGAAGTGTTATTAGTATAAACTTTTAGCTTCAAGATTATACTTTGTTTAAAAAGTTAATTTGATTGATCATTACATTTATCTTTTTTTTTTTTACGTGGATAATATTATCAATGATAGATTAATTATTGAGATAATGAAACTAATGATAAGGATAAAACTTACAATAATGGTAATTGTTAGAAAATTATAGACCCAAATTAAAAATAAAGTTAAAAAAATTAAGATGGCATTGAAGCATGTTGAACACTTTTCTTAATGGTTAATATATCTCCAAGATATAACAAAAATTTATATACTCCAAGCAAAAAAATGATTAGACACTACGATTTTTATGAACAATTGCAATATTTCATCAATGATTGAACATTACTATATATTCTTGGTGAACAAGCACAAATTTTCATTTGACATATCTTTTCATCATCTATATTTTATTAAAGCTTGTTGGAAATTTGTCATCATTATATTAAACATTTAATCCACCAAAATTATTTCAAAAATTTTTGTATCTAATGTGAAATAATAAAATCAACAAATATTCTAACTACTGAAAATAATTAATGATATGTTGTGGGTGAATATTTGAAATGAAAATCGTAATAGAGCAAGTAGCAATGAGAATGGAAATGGTTAAATAGACGCCAGAGAGGAGCATGATCCGAGATGGAGAAATGAACATGAAAAATATTAATCTGTGAGAAATTGTATACCCGATAAGAAACCGGTGACAAAGTTTCTTATATAATTCCCACAAAAGGTCTCTGCTTCCCATGGAACGACGAATCAAATAATATGATTACCTTTTTTTTTTTTTTTTTAACTAAAACAGAATAATTTTCAGGCTTAATTTCCTTTGTTTTTAGACCTTTTAATTGTTTGTTTGTTTGTTCCTCTAAAAGTGGACCATGTCGACACCAATGGCCAAACTGTTGCTAATCATCTTTCCAAGCAATGAATCCATCTCCTTTATTGGCGACTCAAGGTCAGCTTCTTCGAACGCATCCTCACAGGCGTGTACATTCTCCACATTGGAGCTTAGTTCCATGCTTAACTGGTAAAGGTCGCGAATAGAGATGGCATCAAGGACTTTCTGATCGCTCTCGAGAATGGCGTTGTAGCTGTCGATGCATGTTTCAAGGCAAGAAGCGATGTGTTTTGGGGTAGAGGGATCTAGCAAGAGCTCCGAAGCCTCGGCCAAGGCTTCCTTAGTCTTGTTATCCATTGCTTGAATCCCAACTTCCAGGATAGAAACAGGTTCTATAGCAACTTTTTCACCTAGGAATGGAACAATTGTGGTTAGACATTCGATGGGGTGGTCAGTGTCTCCACAGATTCGCTGAAGGTTAGGATCGACACTGCCAGGTAATATAGTAAATGTTTGATCATTCTTTTCCCGTTCGGGTTTAAAGCTGAAAGACTGACCATCGAATGAAGATGGAGCTGAAGATGGTGACCAAGCCGGGACCTCAGAATCAGATATAATAACATCATTGGGAAGGGGTGAAGGAGCAGAGGTAGAAGCCGAGAAGGAGAAGAGACAGGAGAGGGAGATGAGGACGATGCTGAAATGGTTGATCTCCATGGTCTCTTCTCTTGGAGGAGAGCAACGCAAGTGAAGACAAAGGAAAACGGGAATGGGGTTTGTGGGTCAGGGCACGGAACTAGTGAAAATTTTGAAGTACTTTAAGGCATCGATTATGCATGGAAATAGGGTCTCTGTCCGAGTTGAGCCACACATTCTAATTTAATTTTAGCATAACCAGTTTTCCTTTTATTACAATGGTTTACATTCAATTCCTTTCTTTTCCTACATACGAGTTAAGAGGAAAAAACGGAAATATGATATCAGAAATCCTATATTAATAGTAATAAGTATGCGACGACCTTCAAGCATATGAGGTTTCCAATTGATTTGGAACCGTAAGAATTAGTAAACAAAAAAAAAGGAGAAAAACCGCAAAGGTAATGACTAGTTATTACCTATATCGGCATCTCATTGCGGTGTTTTGAACTCAGTATAAGTTACAGCTTTTAGAGTTGCAATAATAAAAGTAAAAGTTTCATGTGAATTTCACATTCATAAATTACTAGTTATGATTGGACTATTGTAGGCTTTCCAACACAAACAATGCAAAACAGATTCATCATGATTTAAACTAATATTTGTATATGTTGAACCATCCCAATCTGCATGCAGTTTCCACCGGGGTCAGTCAACTTCTTGCAGCGTTTCCAGGCAGAAACATAGAAGTAAGTGTAATTAAAACAAAGATCAAGAAGAAAACCAACAAATTTCAAAAACATTATGGAAACCCCCAAAATTAAGTTTAATATCAACCCTTGAAAGCCAATCCAATAGAAAAAAGCTACAAGGCATATGTACAAATTTCATCCACCACTGCATGGGGGAAAACTTAACAGTGGTACAACAATTGAGACAACAAGAAGCACCAATTTCCCATCTATGGAAATTACAAAATCTACAACACTTCTGAAAATCCTATTTCAAACTTTATCATTTCCTATTAAGACAATTTCTCACAGTTGTATTGGGGTGTCAACAGCTTCCACTGAGGGCTTCCGGTTCACTTACTCTCCCTTCAAAGTATTCATCGTCCTTCATGAAGATCTTCTCCCTTCAAAGTATTCATCGTCCTTCATGAAGATCTTCAGAGGAAACTGCTGTCCGCGAGATGTTGTCATTGTCAAAGGCACTTAGACCAGAGAAAGGACCAGAAGAGAACATTGAAGACGTCTCATCAGACTCAAAAGTAGTAGAAGATTGCCTCTGGTTGGGCCGGTTATTGGAAATGGTTAACATGGAATCTTGATATTCTGTAACACGCTGCACCATTTTTAATGACTGTACTACTTCACCCATTGTAGGCCTTTGACTCGCCTCAGGAGCAACACAAGCAGCTGCAATTGTGCAAACCCGTACAAAATCTTCCTTCGGGTACTTCCCTCCGAGCCTTGGATCAGCAAGCTCTTCCAGCCGGTCCTTGTCTCTTAGAATTGGCCTCGCCTGAAAGCAGTACAACCAACTTGTATATTCTCTACAAATTCCTAATTGCATAAAATCCAGATACAGAAGCATTAACAACAGTGACGCTAACTCTAGCTAACTACTCACCCAAGTGACAAGGTTCTCCTGTCCTGATGGTTGTGACATATCTACAGGCGTCCTTCCAGTGAGTAACTCAAGAAGTACAACTCCATAGCTGTAAACATCACTTTTTACCAGCAGATGTCCAGTCATAGCATACTCAGGAGCTACATACCTATAAATATATCCCATTCTAGCTTAGTGTCAATTTAAACAAAAGAGAGCAAGATTTACAAGAGTAGTGTATGAAACCAACCCAAATGTGCCCATTACGCGAGTAGACAGGTAATTTGTTCTGCCTTCAGGTGCTTGTTTGGCTAGGCCAAAATCAGCAACTTTAGCATGAAAGTTGTTCTCAAGTAATATATTGGATGCTTTGAAATCTCTGTGGATAACACATGGTTGTGAGTCCTCATGCAGGTATGCAAGTCCTCTTGCAGCATCAAGTGCAATCTTCATTCTGGTGTCCCAGTCCAGGGGACAATTTATGCCCAAGGGGCCTGAGGCAGAACAGGAGCAAAGTCAGTATCACGTATCACAAGTGACTCCAGATAAAAGGATACATCAACGAATAAATGGTGCCAGTAGGATCAAACTTTGAGAGGCAAATTACCATGGAGCCAGGCTTCTAAGCTTCCATTTGGAACAAGCTCATAACAAAGAAGGTTTTGTGATGAATCACGACTGCTATAGTAACCTACGAGTTTAACAAGATTACGATGATGCAACCTGCTAAGCATCTCAACTTCAACCAAAAACTCCTTGTCTCCTTGAGGCCCTCCACTGGTAAGCCTTTTAATTGCTACAGCTGTACCATCACTTAAAACACCCTTGAAAACTCTGCCAAAACCACCCTCTCCCAGTATGCTTGCTGGTGCAAAGTTGTTTGTTGCTTCTTTAAGTTCTTCATACTGTAGAAATCGTGTACTGCTTGGGTGGGGAAGAGACCCTGCTCGCCCAGCCGCATCTGAAGTCCTTGGCTTTACTGCAAGAATAAAAAATTTAAGGACCCATAGAACATTTATATTCTCTGCAAGAATATGAATTTAAAACAGTACTGCAACATCAACATGCATTCCCATTCATGAGGTGTGACTAGAAGTGCAAAATCAGGCAAATTAAGCTTCATTTTTTTTGGTCCTGTTTATGTTTAGGGTTCTGAATCCATTTTCTCCCCCTTTACTTTTATCTCAATAGTGAGATTCAGTTCGCAATTTATTTTCATTCATCCTACATGAAAAAGATAGAGAAAAACAGGTTTTCTTATTCCGTAATTTATCCGCAGCATAACTGGGGGTGAGATCAATTACCAATTTGATAAAATTTTGTTAAAATAATCAAAACATTAAACCTCAGAACCAGCACAAAAAAATCAGTCATTGCATTTAATACACATACCAAATTCCTTGGGAGATGCTTTTGCCTTTCCATCACGGTATGTGAACGAACAAATTATAAGCACCAATATTATAGCAAAAATCAGTATGCCAGCAGATATACCAAAAATAAGAATCAAATTTGAATGTTTCGCCTTGTTTGAAGGGCTGTGTGATGTGGGATTGGAGGATTGATGTGCAGGTGCTGCTACGGGTTCAGAAACCACGACAGGAGCTGTAAACAAGATGCTCACCTTTGTCAGGACAAACAAAACAAGATAGCATAATCCCCATACATAGAATTAAAGTAAAACAAAAGTTATGAGCTGTCAAGAAAATCGTACCATATAAAAACTATATCCAATCAAGAAAAACATAGCTTTTTAAAGTCACTAGATCCTAGAAGAATTTAAGTCATGTCATAATTTACCTGGGGAAGGCACTGGAGGCTCAAACCATGTAAAATTAAGGACTTTGTAATCTCCAACTACATTTGGGTCAAAATGAACCCTATGCATCACAAGTGAAGAGTTTATTTTAGATGCATCGCTGGCAGAGAAACTAATCCCTGTGTGTGGAGTAATATCCATGGAGATATTTAATCTTGATAAACTGAGCACATAAAAATTGATAATTTCAATTTGATTAGGCAGCAAATCAAGCTGAGAAGCTAACTCCGCTAAAATATTCCTATTTGGGTTCTGTGAGACATTTAAAAGGAGAAGGTCAAGCTTTATGGGATACACGCAATGGCAACTATGAGTCCCCCTTTTCAAAATTGAATCTGGTTTGCAGCAATCTGGCCAAGTAAGAAAATACCCATGTAAGCATCTCATACACAGTATAAATATAAGTTAGCAAAATTAACAAGGTTTTTCTTTTTTCAGTATAAGTAAATTAATACAAACAATAAATGCTCAGGATGCTACCTACTAAATAACATGTTGCATAGAAGTGATATAAAAGAAGTTGAGTTGTGATATGTAATGAAAGCATAAAGAAGAAAATAGAATAGAGTTTATGAAAAAAATGATTTAGAAAATATCTTACTGGACACTTCAGGAGACAATGGTGGTTGAGCTAAAGCAGTAGGACTAAACTGTGTAGGGGCAATATTTGGCAAGTCTTCACCAGAAGGTGCTGATGCACTCCTCTTCATCAATGGTTTTGACAGGCGTGAACTGGTAGGAGGGTGACTGGCAGTTATCAATGGACCATAAAGGGGAGGTTGGGTTGGTGCTACAAATGCTGGTGCACTATGTGGTGAAAAATGTCTTTGGCGTGGTCTATGAATCAAGGGCAGATTGGAAGGTAGGGGAAGACCAGAAACAGGTGGTGCACCCTCAGGCGCTCTAGTGGGAGATTGTGCTGGCGCTTGGAGTAGATTACCGGAAAAATCAGCATTGATGATGGAAATTGCACAACTTAAAACAACCACAACTTTCACAAAAAATGAACAGACATTTCCCAATGCTCCTGTTAAGTTATATTAAGAATAAACTCAACAAGTAAGGAACCATGCATATAACAATGATAAAAAAATTTTCAATGTCTACAATGCACAAGAACTCTAAAAACTTGTGAATCACAAAGGTCACTGGCCATAAAAGATTGTAAATATAATGCACTTAAATGCAAGTGTACTTCTTTCTTTGCAAAAACAATCAACCTTCTTTCCTTCAATGACCTATGCAGCTAATATCTACCACTACTTTTTGTGAAAATAATTAACCCGCTAATAAATTTTTTGACTACAAGATTTCACTATTTGTTTCTCTCTTGTAATGTTCTTCTTTTTCTCCATTTTTACCCTAAACACAGTGGTAATTATAACATAGAAATAAATAGTAGGCAATTCACAGTCCCCATAAAAGAAGAACGAGATTTGATTTTTATCCAATCAGTTTCAGTTGGTCATAAAAGTAAAGATGAGAGGAAAAAGGAATGATTTCTTTTTTTAATAGAATTCAGTTTCTAGCTAAATCAAAATAATTGCTTTTAATGAGTCAGTGAAAGCTTTCCTTTCTTATATCTATGGTCCCAAATTGTGCAACAAGATAACGAAAATTTAAAAAAAACGAAATTTATATCTTAACTAAGCCTAATCCAGCTCTTTAGATAACTGGGCTATCTTTATTCTTGGATTAAAAGGAAAAATAGGATTTAGCTTTGTTCTTAGTCCTTGATTTTTGCCAAGCAACCAAATTTAGAAGCTAAGAAGAGTTAAATTTCTACACTGAAATGGAAAGGAAATTAAAAAAGCTGGAAAATTTAAAATGAGTAATTACCTCTGGGATTTGAAAGAGTATAAATCGACATCACCGACGCCGTTGATTTTAACCGGGGACAATTCAGATCTGGCGAGATTCCAACAAACCAAACGGCGAGATCAAAGTTGCAAATGAGCATAACACCTCCAAACACATAAAGCAACACGACGAGAATTACTTATTTGCGACAGCCAACAAAGGAGGATCCAACGGCTGCGCTAACATCACAAGAATCAAAACGCGCACGAAATGACTCGGAGTCAGAATTGCCATCACTCAGTTCCCGAGTCCCAGAACTTTAGCTTAAAGAAAGAGAAGAAAAAAAACAATTGTCCAAACGAGAAGAAATAAAATGAAACAGAGAAGAAGCTTGACTGTTGGTGGAACTGGAGGCTACGGTTGGCTTCCTTTTACTCAGTTATCAGTACAGGGGAAGCTTTCGATTTTGGGGTTTTTAATTTATTTTATCACATTTTTTACCATTATTTTTTGTTTTCTTTCACCAGTTGTTTTTTATTTTATTTTCTTTTTTCCCTTTTCGATGTCTGAATGTACAGTCTTTATTTTAAGTCTAACGTGCGCCGTTAACGGATAAAGAACATAACGGTAACAAAAAGTAGCAGTCACCACGTCACCAATCACTAATCAGCCAAAATATCTTCTGCACCGCGGGTAAAATTGTCTTCCTATACGGTCAAAATTCTAGCCGTTCGATTGATGTTGACAGCTACCCTTCCGTTTATCTGGTATAACAAAGGGAAAATGCAGTATAAGACCATTCCCTTCTATTTCTTGAACATAACATTTCAAATTTATGATACGGTAAACTTTATCATACATATATAAAATTCGTTTATCCCAAAGAATTTCCACTTTCACAATTAAATTTATCAAAAAAAATATTTTTATTAAATTATAAACATTCTATGAGATAATTTATTTATATTATAATGATAAAAAATTATTGAAGATAAACGTGGCGTGAAGCGTGAACATGAATCATTGAAAGGGGAGGGGGGCATTTAGAATTTAATTGCCACACAAAAGCAAGACCTTAGATCGGGTGGACAATGACATTTGATAAAACTTTGGAAGGTAGCGGCAACATGTTGTGGGAAATAAGGGAAAACAAGGACAAAATTTAGAATGAAAGATTGCGTATGGTATAACATGGCATGCGCACGAGTCTAAGGGCATCATTACTCGACTACAACACCAAATGCTATCAAATATGACAAGAGACCAACAACCAGATATTCATACCTCTAGTAATTTCGAATGTAGATGGGCCATTGCCCATTTTCACTTGTCATTTATTTGCTGCGTAAAAACACCGATATTATATATATATATATATATATTTATATATATATAGGGAACACTTGATTCCTGTTTTACATTATTGTTATGATCTGCTAATTTATGCCTCATCTCTCAATCATTTGTGGCGATATAATGAAAGAATATTATATTTTACGTACTCCTATTTTAACTTTACAGGGGAGCTATCAAAGAGTAAATTACCCATGTTGTTGAACAAAAATGCTTTGTATTTACAAGTACGAGTAATAACTATATATATTCATTATTAAAAAACATGGAATGATTTTCTCTGGGACGCTAGCCACAAGCATCCTGTCATGAAAATCATTTTGTCTGTCAGGCGGATGTACACCTGTATCACGCCGGCCCCTGACTCGAATCATAGTTTATTATCACCTAACACCTAACTCTGGGTCGACGTTTATACCTAACACTCATCTCTCCATATTCCATACATTTCTCTCTCTACGGTAGCCATGACCGATGAGAAAGATAAAATATAGAAGCTTTCCCATTTTCAGCTAGCCTTAACCGATAATCAACATATTAAGCAACGTTTAGTATTTAAAAAGAAAGTTAGAATGCACATATAAGCTTATATAAAGTTGCAAAGCATGTTAGGAATGGAGAGAGAGGTGAATGGTGGGTGGGACAAGGATTCTGCAGTTTCTTTCTTGAGATATATGGCGACGATGAATGGATATTTCAAGCTGTTTCGCAGCTGGATTATATGAATGACAACGGGAAAATACTGTTCATGAAAGCTAGTTTGCGATAGAGAGAGGAGAAAGTGAAAGAGCGCTACCGCTCCTCACGGGATCCTTGTTTCTACTTTTTAAAATTCGGTTAACTTTTCTCATTTTCCAACTTTTGCATGTGCTCAAGTTCTTCTGCTTCTAACTTCTAGATTGATTTTTTTTAATTTTATTTTAGCAATTTTGGAATAAATAATTTATATGCTATATAGATTTTAATTTAATGTATCTTTTTAATAAATATAAGAATAAACATTAATGTATTAATTATAACATTTTTTAGAAATGACCATCTTAGTAAGTATTTATACAGTCATTAACATTCCTCTTCTGGCCAAAAAAAAAATAACATTTCCCAGTTTAAATTTATACCGATGCGCAAAAATGACGTTTGATTATAACAATGTAAACCTTGCATCTATGCGTTTTGGACAAGATATTTTCCCATGGAATAATGACCCCACCATTTTTTTTTTTTTTCTTAATGAACTTTCAAAAATCCTTGAATATGTTTTCCCCACTTATTTATGGTCATTGTTTCGGGCCAGACATATGGCCCAGTATTTGGTTGTGCCTGGCCCAGGATTCGACTCAGACCCACACAACTCTGAACTCATCATTCATCGCTTCTTAGAACTACGGACTCGATTGATCCTGGACCTGGGCCTGGACCGACGTGTCCAATACAATCTGGAATCGCCCTTTTCTAACGACTCTTAAACTTTTTACTGTCTCTCATACTACTATTTCCATTGATTACTTTCACCCAGGATTACAAAGTTTGTTGATTTTATTCCAAACCTTTAAAAATCCACCAAAAGCTTGCGGAATTAGGGTTTTTGTAAAAAGGAATTCAATCATGTCGAAACGGAAATTCGGATTCGAAGGGTTTGGGATAAACCGTCAAGCTACTTACAACTTCGAGCGATCCCAAGCTCCTCAACGCCTCTACGTCCCTCCTTCCTCTCGCCACGGCCACGACAACTACGAAGATGCCGACCTTGACAACATCGATTACGCCGATAATGATGCGACCAAGGACACCGACGATAATAAACCCAACAGCGACGGAAACGGAGCGGAAGAGGACGAAATTGATCCTCTCGACGCGTTCATGCAAGGTATTCAGGAGGATTTGAAAGCGGCACCGCCTCCACGGCCGAAGGAGAAGGCGGAGAGGTATAGAGATGATGATGATGAGGATGATCCGGTTGAGAGTTTTTTGAGGGCGAAGAAGGATGTTGGGCTTACGTTGGCGGCGGATGCTTTGCGTGCGGGGTATGATTCAGATGAGGAGGTTTATGCGGCGGCGAAAGCGATAGATGCGGGTTTGTTGGAGTATGATTCAGATGATAATCCGGTGGTTGTGGACAAGAAGAAGATCGAGCCAATTCCGTCTCTTGATCACAGCTCCATTGAGTATGAGCCATTTAATAAAGATTTTTATGAGGAGAAGTCTTCAATTTCAGGTAATTGAAATCGAAAATATCAGATACATTTACGTTCTGAGATGTTTAGAACCGAGCCATTTCTTAAAAATAAAAAAGAAATGTATCTACTGGATAAAGTTATCTAAAAAAATGTCGGGTTATCTTTGGTTTTTGATGATATTGTATGGATTTTGGATAAGTTGCAGTTGGATACTTATGATTACTTACAGTTTGAATATGGTTGGTTGATTACAATATAATGCTTATGACACAATGGGCAGCTCTTTGTATTTATCTGTATGTAGCTATTGCATGAGCAACTTCTAAATGATGGTTTATATAAATATAGGATAGAGAATGAAATGTAGATACGTTTTAGAGTATTTTTTGTCACTTGCCTTGCAAGTGAATATTTATTTTTACATAATAATATATATTAAATATGTAGTTGTATGTTGTATAAATATTTAAAATTAATAAAATGTATATTAATCCTTAGCTTTAGCAACCCCAGAATTATGGGATATAAGGCTTAGCTTGTTGTTGTTGATGTTGTAATAACATGTATACTATCATGTAAAGTTTGTCTCATGTGCAAAATATATGACATAAAGTTTATTAGGTTTAACATTAATGTAAACTTAAAACTCTAAAATAAAAAAATTAAATAATAATTATATATGTAATATGCATCATGGCTTTCTTAGTCATTATTGCTTATAATGTGGCACTTTGTTCTTAATAAAAAAGGATCATATTATTCGTTGAGATGGCTGTGTGCCTAATTTTTTTATTCTAAACGTCACCTTGTCTAGGAATGAGTGAGCAGGAAGTTGCTGAATATCGGAAGAGTTTGGCTATTCGTGTTTCTGGTTTTGATGTCCCAAGACCGGTTAAGACATTTGAAGACTGTGGTTTTGCACCGGAATTAATGCGTGCTATTGCAAAACAAGGGTATGAAAAGCCTACCACTATTCAGTGCCAAGCCCTACCTATTGTCCTCTCTGGGAGGGATATTATTGGTATAGCAAAAACTGGTTCTGGTAAAACTGCTTCTTTCGTACTTCCAATGATTGTCCACATTATGGATCAGCCTGAACTTCAGAAAGAGGAGGGTCCGATTGGAGTGATATGTGCACCTACCAGAGAACTAGCGCATCAAATATTCTTGGAAACAAAGAAATTTGCAAAAGCCTATGGAATACGTGCCTCTGCTGTTTATGGTGGAATGTCCAAACTTGATCAGTTTAAGGAACTCAAGGCAGGATGTGAGATAGTTATTGCTACGCCTGGTCGATTGATAGACATGCTAAAAATGAAGGCATTGACAATGATGAGAGCAACTTATCTGGTACTTGATGAGGCTGATCGAATGTTTGACCTTGGGTTTGAACCACAAATAAGGTCCATTGTTGGCCAAATCAGGCCTGACCGCCAGACTTTACTATTTTCGGCAACAATGCCCCGCAAAGTTGAGAAGCTGGCAAGGGAAATTCTCAGTGACCCTGTCAGAGTTACAGTTGGAGAGGTAGGAATGGCTAATGAGGATATTACTCAGCTTGTTCATGTAATTCCTTCTGATTCTGAGAAGTTACCCTGGCTTCTTGAGAAGCTACCCGGAATGATTGATGAGGGTGATGTTTTGGTGTTTGCTTCCAAGAAAGCTAGTGTTGATGAGATTGAATCACAGCTCTCTCAGAAGGGTTTTAAGGTTGCCGCCCTTCATGGTGACAAGGATCAGGCTTCTCGAATGGAAATTCTACATAAGTTTAAATCTGGCATCTACCATGTTCTTGTCGCAACTGATGTTGCTGCCCGTGGTCTTGATATCAAGTCAATTAAGTCAGTTGTGAACTTTGATATCGCAAAAGACATGGACATGCATGTGCACCGTATTGGTAGAACAGGTCGCGCTGGTGATAAAGATGGCACTGCATATACTCTGATAACTCAGAAGGAGGCTCGGTTTGCTGCTGACTTGGTTAATAGTTTGATCGCTTCCGGTCAGAATGTATCAATGGAACTGATGGATCTTGCTATGAAGGTATTTCAATTACTTCTACTAATATTTGTTTTATAGTTAATGGCATTCATTAAAGTTATTTGAAAACAATATTCAAAACCTTTTTTCCTCTTCAGTTTTGGTGGTCTTCTAGATTGCTTGCCACCAACTATACCTTTGACAGACGGCACTCTCATAAACACTTAGTTCTCCCCCATACTTGAAATTGTAGCTATCGGATATGATGTATATTTACTATAATCATGTAGTGATATTTGCATTGTCTATAAATAGGATGGGAGATTCAGGTCCAGGCGTGATGCAAGAAAAGGAGGTATGGTTCTCTTATGGCATTATCAATGCAATTGTTATGTATATGCTTGTTTGTATGCGACTAAAACTTTGTTTAAGCTGTCATGAAGAATAAAAAATGTAAAGCAGCTTACAAAGAGTATCAATCGCCATTTATTTACATGTTTTTCCAAGATAATTTCTGTTTGCTGGATTTATAAAAGTACCTTGAACTCTCAAATGATGTGTACAATAACATGCAGGTGGAAAGAAAGGCAGAGGAAGGGGTGGAGGTGGTGGTGGTGGGAGTGGTCGAGGTGTGCGTGGAGTTGATTATGGTATGGGTATTGGATATAATCCAGAATCCAGCAATGCTTCATCTCAGTCTGTTCAAAGTGGAAATGCTGCTGTAAATTCTCTGAAAACTGGCATGATGGCACAATTTAGGAGTAATTTTGTTGCTGCTTCATCAAACTCGCAAAGTCAAGGATTTAATAACAGCTCAAGTGTCAGGAGACCAACTTTGGCTGGATTTGTTTCTGGTGGTACGATTGGTGGAGATATTAATAGGTCTCAGATGGCCAGTTCAATCAGCACTGCCCCTACATCAGGATTGAACACTTCACTAAATACCGGACAAAACACCAGCCAAAGGAACTCAGAGAGGTTCCTTTCTTTCAGCTGATATTTTATGATACCATTCTGCAGTGTCTTTTTTTTTTTTACCACTACTTCTATCCTAATTAAACTGACACTGGCTCTTGTTTTGCAGTTCCACAGATAGACCTAGAGAAAGACGGAGGCCTTCTGGGTGGGACCGTTAGTCTTTATACATTGATGGATGATTTTATTTACATAAACGGGAAATTTTTTTCTGTTCAAACCCTGAATTAAACTTGTCTGTATAATTATCATGCTTGGTAAGTCCACTTTCTCCTTTTTGTTTAATTTCATATTTTAGTTCTAGAATTTACTTTTTCAGAATTTTTTTATTTGTTCTCTAACTTTTGCCGCTTCATCTGTTCTTATTTGAGGAGAATCTTTAATTTATTGATAATAACTTCTAATAGCTGTGGAAATTTTCGGAATAATAGGTCCATAGCGCATCTGCCAGTGCCACTGAATCACCAAAGTCATGATCCTTTAGGGACTTTAAGGCTGTCTTCAGTTTTGGATCATTTATTGGACTAGATATAGGAGGCACAGACGGATTTGCAATGGGGGCTGTCCCCATTGAAATGCTTACTTTTTCTGGAGTCATATTAATGTAATTATTATCAAGTACGTGAAAATTTGACTTTTGGCTTTCATTGATTTTTTTTCTTGGCCACCGTTAATTGAAATTTAATTACTAGTATATAACTTTAAATTTCATTACTAAATGTAAATGTAGTTCAATTTTTGCGAAAAATGCTTCTCTCTTCCAAAAAAATGTCTAGTAGCAAAACATTAACTCATACATTGTTACAATAAATTTTAATTAATAGTAGATTTGAAACAATGTAGTTTTTGTTAACATGTAAACAAATATACAAAAATCTAAAATCTATCTAGTAGTTTGGCATATTAACAAATCTTAAATAATTTTATTTTGTAAACTGACAAGCATCTTTACAAATGAAATCACTTTTTAAAATCCTTCATGCATGCACGCCTTTGTATATTGATAACTTGAAATTTGTAATTTGAAAGGACAATGACATCAAAGTTGGAACCCTGAATCAAGATGTAAAGCACATTTCATGCCTTTGGACATTTCATCAAATCCACGTTCTTTTGAATGTCTCTTCGGTTATTAGCATTTGGGCATATATCCAGGCAAGGCTCTTTAAGGGTGTCATCATTCTCCAGAAATGGTGGATGGACCCCAAATTTGAACTGCCATATCGAAGTAAAAACAGCATTATCAAAACTTAGAACCGGCAAATTGAGACTGCTAAATATTTGTTAAACTGGCAACGGGCGTGCAATAATGCTGGCAATAGTATGGGTTGGCAACCGGCAATTGCAGAGATAACAAGAACACAGTAGAATTATTGGAAATTGTTGCTTTGTAAAGGAAAATTTAGTTACTTATTCAAATAATAAATTTAGTTAGTTAATTCTGCTTCCAGTTCTTCACCAGAGAGGATGCTGGATCGCTGATGGTAAAGAAATGAAATGAAATGAAAATGGATGAAAAAGAAGGGTCAAATTAGATATCGGGGGGCGCTCTGATTTTTCTGACAATCTTGGTCCCAAGCAGTAAAATGAGCACGAGAGGGTCAAATGCAATTCAAAATGCCAAAGTTTATCCCTGGAATTACCTGACAGCTATAATCGCTGAAGTTAGGCTCCATCACCAAAGGAACTCCCATGTAATGCTTGAAGAAACTCTGCAAGATCAGAATTCTAAGAACCATACGTTAAAGGCACCTAGATTGCTGCTAAGCTGAACAATACCACGGATATAAATACTAACCTGTGTCGGAAGCTTACAGGTATTGATACAAACACCTACGCACTTACTTTCCTCTAAGTACTTGCATCTCTCTACAAAAACCTGCAAGAAATTTAAAACCAAACCCTTTTGTTTGTGTATTCATGAAAATGAAGCTCATTTTTCTCACATTACCATCTTATCTTAAATCAAAGTTTACCCCGCTATTGCAGGAGGTCCCATCAGAAAGATCCACAGAATTAACCGTGCATGTGCCCATTAGCCATTGACAAGTAAGCACAGTCACCCTTGCTTAACAAAAACACACACAAAAAAAAATCATAGCCATTTAAAACAATCTCCATTAACCACATACTTAAAAGTATGTATTATTTGAAACTACCCGATGAAGATTCAACTCACCAACCATTATTGCAGCTACCTTCCCTCCATCTATAGGCGCAATAAGGATTTTGTAAAGCTCTAACAAAAATGGCGGAAATAGTGACTTCAATATTCGAACCTGTCATGTCCAAAACGATTAACAACCGATCATTAATAAGAAAAAAAAAAGTTGTAATGAGTAAAACAGAGAGATGTAAGAGTTTATATTGGAACACCGCAGCATCTTTGGTATGAGAATTGCTTCTGCTGTTCATCAGGAGGGCTCTGGCCAATTCAATCAGTCCATCATATCCAGGCTTCTCCGAATCCCATCCAACTTCCTGTAACAGCCCTTAAACAAAAATATTTCTTATTATATAATAAAGTTTTACACAAAAAAAATGAGTGGCTGAAATAATTTTTGCAAATATTATGCCAAAACTCACCTTTACCAATTTTTTACGAAAAGAATTCAGGAAAAAATCGTCCAAGATTCCTGGCCTGTACTCCGGCTTTGGACCTTTCCCTTCTATCTGAAAGAGAAATAGTACCATATTAAAGGTTTCAATTTTCAGAATAGATAGTGAGTAAAGCAGAAGTACTGTAGTAGAAGAAGGGAAACGCACCGTTTTGGATGTAACAGAGGAGCAAAAGACACGGGAAAATCTTCGATTTTGCAGTAGAGATTTGGAATTCAAGGGAGAGGGAGGAAGAAGGTAAATAGGACATGAAGACACGATTGTTTGCTGAGGACCGTGAAGAGCCAGAGCCAGAGGCTTCATTTTCATATCACTTGCCAAAACTTGAATATTTTTTCCTTTGTCTTGGAGTTTTAAAATGCAGATACAGTTAAAAACGCTGCGTCTTGAGTCTGTAGAAGAAAAGATAGAACGTTGTCGTTTAGGGTCATTATAGTTTTTGGGTAGAATATTAAGAAAAGTTTAAACCCGAACAAAACCCCCGGTGGCTGATTGCCTGATACTCAAAAAAAGAGGGAAATAGAGAGACGGAACTTAAAAAGCCGAATTTCTTCGGAATCATGGCCGGTGAAGAATCGTTGCACAGCGACCTTCGAGAAAGCGACGGAGGCGATAGCTCCCAACCTATAATTAATGGGATACTAATTTGGAATTTCTATTTCTTACCGTAGTTGTTTTAGTGCTAGACATCAGAAAAAAGTTTCATCATTTCTGGTGACTAGTTTTGAATTGAGTATTTTTGCGAATTGCAACACTTGAGTTGTTGGTTCAATAATTTTCCAAGTAGCTCCCTTGGTAAGGGATCAACTTTGGGATACTTGTAAAGAGAGCTGCAAAGAAAATTTTACACACACTAACACAGACCAAAAACTTGAGTCCAAAAGATGAGCTCAGAAAAAGGAACATCAATGATAGTGACCAGAGTAGATCATTCTCAGAAATTACAAAGTACAAACACCATCTCAATTTCTCTATTGGACATATGAGTTACATCTCATCCACTTGATTATATAATAAGTACAAATACAATGTCCATTAGCATATAAAAAAGGACTTAGAAACAAATGCCAAAAAGAAAAAAGGAAAATACTAGGTAGGTTAGTGAAAAAGGATAACCAAAAGTGGAACCAGACTAATTTAGAGACACTTGGCCTATAGAATTTGAGTAATACCAGCCACAATGTGATATGCAGTTCAGAAAAGAATGCACTATAATTCTTCTGACCCATTTTACTGATGGTGCTGAAACTTTTTTTGGAATGACAGAACTTGCAGTGCAGAAAACTTGTTTGCTTGTACTTGATTTTAGATGCTTTGTTTCAGAGTCACACGGTGGATCTTTATAGATGATTTAGGTCGGTAATGCTCATCTGTATCCACCTCTTCGATTTCCTGGGCAATAATATTGCAAACACACAATTGATGTAATTTAAATTGCAACTTCTTAGGTATATGACACATGGTATCTGAAAATGACAACCACATGAAATATAGGATCATGGGAAAACATGTTAAATGTGTCCAACCATGAGTACAGATAAGCTATGTACTTGGTTACTAAACTCAAAAAAAAAAAAGGTCATAACACACATTTAAACCAAAAGAAACTAAAGTTGACTTGTTACCTGAACAACATCCTGTCCCTTAATGACCTTCCCGAAGACAATAAGCTTCTCATTTAGATCTGGGATTGGCGCAGTTGTAATGAAAAGCTCAAACCCTCTATCATCATGCTTTGCCTTAGAAGTTCCAAGCATGAATGCTTCATGCTTCAAACTGGTTGAACATAAGAGAATTTATGTTACACAAATATTAAAAGCATGTACTACTGCTTACCCTTTGACAGGATGATAAATCAATGACGAAGAAGGAGAAGTAATGAGGGCAATATGAATTCAATCATCAATGTACTGACCTGGTATCTAGTTGGCCGTAATGCTTTCCTTTCAAAGTCCAGTCCTCTGCAGCTCCTAGCTTATCACTACTCCCAGCCTCAATCACATAGTGCTTTATCACATGGCGAAAAAGCATTCCATTGAAGTGCCCTCTCTGACTGCAGATCAATCAAATTCAAGATAAGTGAGGATGACTTTGGAAGACGCAAGTTATTCCTTAGCACAAGTTAATGAAATTCAGTTGCACACCATGTTCAGAAAGAGAAACAACAGAAATGACAACAAAGACAAATTAAGCCTTGTATCCCATAACTATGGGGTTGGCTGTATGAAAGGCCAAAAAATATATATTTAAAATAAAAAATAAAAAGAAATAAAGAAATTCCAGCACTTCCTATAGGTGTTTGACTGCCTCCCTATTCCATGATTCAACAATCCATGCGTTTTGCACATCCATCACCCACAACAACTACTTGAAAGTACAAACAAATGGGAAAACTTCTTTATGGTCAAAGATGCCAGATAAGACAATTGAAAAATGGCTAAACTTGATTTAGCACTGAACCAAACTAGATGGAGCCTCCTACATCAATCCCTTTAATGAATTTGCCAGTTTAAATCAAACTCTCAGCATGATGCTTAATAAAACAATATCGATAAATTTCATGCCTTCTTGATAGGCATGATGCAGAATCCTCAACCAACAAAATCAAAATCATGATGCCAAAACAGATGGCAATCCTGCAAGGTGTCAGCCTAAAAAGCTGTTCTTGACTCTTTCAAAAGCAGGATCTGATCAGCTCTATCTACGTTATTATTTCCAGTTCAAATATTAACCACATGGAATTTTATGATAGTTCTAGATAAAGAAAATCCATCATTTTACGTAAAATAAACATAATGATTCCAGTACTTACCATAAATCAAGGAATTGGTCAACAGCTTCAGGAGAACTGTCCTTGAAGAACTCCACTGTTATAGAGCCTTTTGCAGTATCTAAAATCTAGTCATAAAAAGGGAAAGAAACGAGTCAAGTCAATGGATAAAACTCATTTTAAATAGGATTTCGATGTAAAAGCCTAAAAAACTAAGACAAAGTAAGCAATGAACATCTCAGCCAAACTTCATTCATTAAAAAAAAGGCTAACCTGTCAAGATTGTTAGATAACATTGCAAAAACTCTGAGGAAGACCTAGACAAGAAAGGCTTTTTTTTTTAAGAGACATGCTAAGGAACTCTGTTTTCTTAATAGGTGATGCAATCAAGAGCATGATAAAAAAAAAATTCTACTGCCTTTTAATAAATTCATTATAAGTTAATCATCTATGGTCAATTTGCAAAGTTTTACAATATTGTTTCTCAAAACTAAGCACGGCACATTCCAGGCCAGTACCACAAAGAGTAGACATTATTCATGCAGGAGGAAAATATTAACTAGGGGATAGCTTGGTGGCAAGTAAAGAAACCTACAGCATATCCAGGGAGATCAGATTTCTTCGAATCAATGAAAGAGCCATCACCCTACCAAACACAAGTGGCCACAGTCAATATAAAGGATATAAAGTTAAGAAAGAATAACAATGAAAGAAGGACAAATCTCATCATGGAAAACATCATAAACTAAGGATACATGTGCACACAACAAAGTGAAAAGTTGCCCTAAAATGTCCCAAAAGGATGATAATTGATACTGGGCACAGAGTTGACAGTTCTGTTGCTATAGAACAAAACAAAGATTTAAAACAAATACGACCATGAGGATCCAGAAACCCATTATAGGATGCATAAATTAGATTCTTTAAAGAGTGTACCTCAAAAATTGATTGCTTGTTGTTCTCTATTTGAATTCTTGACCTAAAGACAAGAAAACTGGGTCAAATTCCACCGACTAAGAAATATTAACCATAGTTTATTCTCCACAAGTGGTATCATTTTTGAATGTCATGCTATGAAATTAGCAAGTCATGTAATAAAATACACGAATCAACATGCCAAGCAGATAATAAAGTTTAAAAAAATTGCAGCACTAAATCCCATTCCTGAAATTATTTTCACATATCTTCAATTATGGCAATACCCGAATTGCAACGAACCTTTGAGACCAGTGTCTGTACGTGGCATAGAGAAAAAACACAGTCAAAACAACAATCAAACTAGATAGTATAATTGTTGTAACACTTATTCGAGCTGGCCCTCTCTTCTTTTTGCTTTGTTGTAGCAGAGCTTGGGGTTTGATCCTCGCCATCAACTCAAAACTTCAGTTCCAACAATAAAAGCTCGACTTTTCTCTAGAAACAAAAACTCGTGTCAAATCCTGAAGCCATTAAATTCATGACAAGCTATTAAGCAATAAATAAACCATGAATTTTTCAGGTTTAAAAGTGTACGAAAAGAATTTATAACTATATTTATTGCTTTATTTGACAGATTTGGAACAACAAATATGTAAGAGGCGCCAACTGTTAAATTTAAATTCCAAGCAACCAAATATGTATCAAAACTAAAAAATTTTCCGAGTTTATAGCATTAGGAATCAAGGCTAACGTTAAACATCCGAAGATCTAAGAGTTGAAAACTGAAATATATATAAAAATTTACGGAAAAAAATAGATGATTTGTGACTTGAACTTTTCATCCAGTTGAAAAAAGGACAAAAAAAAAACCCTAGAAAAGAGAATTCTCTGGAGAAAACAGCAGAAATTGGACGAAAAGTAATCAAAGTTCCAAATTGGTTAACTTTGAGTAAATCGAAAGAACGTACCTGTAATTTCTTTTGTTGGCGTGAATCTCGTCTCAAAAAGTAAGAAAGGAAAAAAATTCAAATGTGACAGTTTTTGTTACTTTTCTAGTCTTTGGAGTCGATCCCCTTCGTGTAAGAACCTAGAAGGTCCAGCCAAAACGTTTTTGACGGTTCTTCCATTTGGTATTCCAATTTCTACCCAGTTTTCATTTACGACAAAAAAATAAATAAATAAATAACGGAGAAATTTAGAGCAGTTGGGCCTATAACTAGTTTTCTACTAATGGGCCTGACAAGTCCGTTTCTCTTTGGACCTTTTTGTGTTTGTTTGTTTGGGAGCGAGCCAGCATTAGCCACTCGAATTTTCTGTGAACCGTAAGGCACAAATCGTGATTGGTTGGAATATAACATAATCATTATTTGATCATTTCATAAAGTACCGAGAAAATAAATGATTCCTCGTTGCCATGAGGGTTCAACGAGGATGCTGGTCAAGTCTTCGTATGCTCTCTCTCAAGCTTTCCCGTCTTCAGTTTATACAGGAGAAAAAAGGTTGCATATGTTTTCTTCAATAATGTACTAGTTAACCAGAGGTAGGCAGAATTTCACACGAATCTTACAATGTCTTCTTCCTGTTGTTGCAGGACAATGATAGCAAGAGCGAGTCTATAAGCCGAAGATCTAAGGTTCCTAACAAGGATATGTATATCTCCTTCCTTCTACTATTCACTGCTCTTCTCTCGGACAAGCAAGCAAGACAACCTCTCAGAAAGCTTCTGCCGTTGGCTTTTTGCTGTAAATATATACAAAGAAAATTTCTATATGCAATATTGGGGAGAATCAATACTGAAGAGACTCTTGAATTAAGGAGCAACCAGTTAACAGTTTCTCTTCTTTTGTTTAGTCCTTGTTTGAGAAAAATATTTGCGAATGTTGAATTCCATTTTTTCTTGAAAATCAAGATAAGCGTTTTTTTTTTTCTTCTTCTTTTTCTTGATTATTTCCGTGATTCTTGCCTGAATTTATCGAATTTCAATTGCGATGCAACTGTCATATTGACCGCAGCCACCAATCTGAAATAAGTGACTTGACTTATAAATCCAAACGTCAACATTCCTCAATCTTTCTCATTTATCAGAGCACTCTCGTTGGGCTCCAAACCCATTACAAATCAATTTAGAATCGTTGGGAGATGAAGATCAGAGACGCTTTACTTTGGTTTTTTATCTTAGTTTACTCAATCTCAACTGTCTCTGTCAATTCCGTCCACGGCTGTGGCGGCTGCGTTGAGGTGAACTTTAGCACTTTCTTTCCTTTTCTTTACTGCTTCAAAGTGCAAAGGAAAGTTTCAAGAAAACTATTTTTAAATCTTGAATTCTGTTATTTCTTGGAAATCAAGATGACCATTAGTGGAATATATGTATATATATATATTGGTTATTTACGTGTTTCTCGTCTGAATTGTTGAATTTCAATTGCGATGGCCGCTTTTTTAAAGAACTTTTTATTTTTTCGCCATTTAAACTCAACATGAATCAGTCAATTGGTAGGCTAGTTCGTCTGTGATCAAATCGAGGAGGGGCAAATGATGCAAAACTGGATTATTCTCATATCACGGTACGGATTTAAAATTGTGTATTTGTTACACCAATAATAATTTTTAACCGATATTTCTTTTTGGATTATTTTAACTGTTTTATCATCTGATTTGAAGATTATATTGATGCTTATTTGTTGGTTGAGCTTTGCAAGGTAGAACTCAGTGTGCTCCAAATGGATACTACTTCATTCCAGTATATGATAAGGCCGGTTTGCAGATACTGTTTCTGACTCTGGGCTTTGACTATGTGAATTCATATTTCAGATTTTCAGGAACTGTCTTTTGCTTGTCTGCAACCCGTTTTAATAGTTCTTCCCCAATTATATTTGCGTGCCCATACCATACCGTATGTGATGCCGAGGCATGCTGCATGCTTACTCAAATACCCTATATGGGCTTGTAGTTCCTCTTCAACTGATCAGTAGAGTTTATGTTTACAGGGTTCTTTTGTTATTAAAATCAGTGGACCAGAAGGATGGTCTTGGCACCCAGACAAGGTTTGGTTCATTGTTATTTTACAAGGAAATTTTTTACAGGCTATGCGTCCTTTATTCTCTTGATAAATGACCTTTGTGTTCTTACATTTAAGTAAAGTAAAAATTTATTTTGTAGGTTCCTATTGTCATTGACCACAATAGTTGCAAGAATAATGAAGATATTAAATTTTGGTTAAGGGGTTTGTTTCATAGCTTGTATTCTTGCTTGGTATATTTTTATTTCTGTCCAGATTATGTACAATCTGAGTTCCTCCATTCTTTTATTGTGTTCTGGATGTCAGTGCCAATAATACTTCGTGTATTTTTATCTTGCCGATTTATGCTATCCGGTAGGGTTGTGGGACTTGTTGGTGGACAAAGCTGCTCACTTAAAAATGGAGGTCCTCCAAATGTGAATGTGGACCTTTTATCTCCTCATGGTGATCTCATTTCCTCAGAATTAACAATGTCAAACGGAAGGTACTTGTTCAAAAATATTATTCCAGGTTTGGATTCTTCCATGTTACTTTCTTGTTAGTAGAATTTCTAGGTATCATCTAATGATTCATTCATTCTTATTTTATAGATTTGCTGTTATGGTTTGTGGTTTTTGTGAAATGCAAGCAAACAGAAGTCATCTTCTCTATAAAATTTGACTGAATAACAAGATAATTTGCCTGCATCTATCAGAATAATGTGCAGAGTAAATTGGGCATACTTACTCCTCTGTCCGACTTTACATGAACTTTTCGTCTACCAGAATAATTTGTACTTTAGAAATCTCTCTCTCTATCTCTCTCTCTTACTGTTTTTAACTTTTCATGTTATCCTTCATATGGTACAGGAAAGTACAAATTACGTGCTTCACATGCTGATTTGAGAATTTAAGATAGAGGTTCCACAGAGGTTTTGTGTATTTCTTCCACTTTTTGTGTGCTCTATACCATGTTTTTTGATATACCAACCATTTGGAAATGCACTTCCTGCAGGTGGGACTGGGATTTCAAAATGGTGTAGTTGAAGACATTTCCTTTGTTCGTGGGTATGACATCCATGGTTCTCTGGTTGCCCAGGTGCCAAAGGACAATTTTTGAGATTCCAATATTGTTTTTATTTACACATCTCGTGATGTGAAGGTCTAACCATCATATGGTAAGGGGTCTATTCATTAGTGTTACACTGTAAGGATTTAAAAGAAAATTCTTCAGTAATTGTTTGTTTTCACCCACACACATGTGCATAATGCAATACTGTATAGGTTTATATCTTTTATCCACCCTTTGAAAATCATGTTAATGTTTTGGCAGGGAAATCCCATTTTGGGAGTTCATATATATTTATATTCTGATGATGTCATTGATGTAGATTGTCCCCAAGGTTCTGGTAATGCACCTGGAAAAGGAAAAGCTCTATGTCATGCTGTCTCTGATGCTGATGGGATGTTCACATTCAAATCAATACCTTGTGGTAAACAAATCTAAACGGTTATTTCACAAACACATTCATTTTTCCATGGATGCACACCTTCCATTCATTTGACATTTATAGACGTATTTAAGGCTGATTATCTAATCAGCTGAATAGGGGATATCATTGGTAACTACATGTGCATATCATTCATTAAAATGTTGTTTATTACCAATTCTGTTATCAACTTTAGAATCGGTCTGTGTTCTAGATGTGGCTGGACTTGCTTACGGAATTTGAGCTGAGGTTGCTGTGTCACAGAATAGGGCTTGAGTTATATTGCCGTAGTAGTTGTTTTCTCTATGGATTGTAGCTGTTTTCGTGTTCATTTTAGCTGTTTTTAGTGTTCATTAGCAAAGCTTTTGGTTATTAAGACAATTATCATTTATTCTTACCCGGGGATTTCTATCCTTTAGAGCTTTTTTTTTTTCACACACCAGTTTAGATTTTAATTCCTAATAAATTACTTTTTTACATGCTTTTCAATGAAAGATATTTGAGTCAACCTGAACAGATGATGAGAACTTAACAACAAGAATAAAAGAACTTATGTTGCCATGCATTGGTTTAAAAAGTTTAATTATTCTGATAACTGATTGCTTCGACTGACTTACTGGGCTTTATGAATGCATTCCATACTGCAAGGGTGAAAACACAGCATTCGATGTCTCACCTTCTGTCGTGTCAGTGTCAGTTGAGCATCAACATGTAACAGTTCCCCAAAACTTTGAGGTATGATACTTTTCTTGCCACATGCGCAAGTATGTTCTCCCCAAAATTGGAAAATAAAAAAATTTGAATGAGAATTTTCATTTGAACACCCCCCAAAATTTTCCCTAGACACCCTTCCATTGATAAAATCAGTAAATCTGTCTGCATTTTTTATATATATTGCAAATGGACACCCCCGAAAAAAATCTTGGATCCGCCACTTATTCTCATGTCATGATTGTATATAGTATACCAGCCTGGCGGCCTCTGTTTTTTCCCATTTTTGTGTGTATGTACATTTGTTCTCAATCTGCCTCATGCATGAATTTTTTCATTGCTATCCTGGTTGACAGTTATGACATATGTAAGTATTGTACAGTATACAATAACTGTTAATCCTTGTCTACTGCTTTTGGCAACCCTAAATGATATATGACTGTGAATTACTTAAACATAATCAATATGACTTTGGCTGCATGAGATGTGTATCCTTTCTATGGGCCTTTTTTTATTCCCAGGCCTCAAAGCAATTCCTTATGTCACAAAATGAAGTTTGACCTTGTGCTTCCTGTCCTTTGCAATGTGGAATATTTCTTTGAAACCATATCAACTTTAATTTTTTCAGTTCTTTCGTAGCATATTCAGCATTGCCATTAACTGTTGCCTTTTCATGATATAAACATTGAAGTGGATTATATTCTTTCTTTCTATTTACATCTAGGTTACTGGTTTCTCTGTTTGGGAACATGTTATTGATGCAAATGACAGTGGGGTGGAGGGTGTTAAAATTCTAGCTGATGGCAAAGAAAGGTCTACCACTGATAAAGAAGGTTATTACAAGCTTGATCAGGTATGGATAGACATTTTCTCTCAATTACCAAGCTTCATCTGTGTCAATTGTACTGGACCTTTTTCTTAAGACTGAAAAGCACAGACAATTGCAAATATAGAAATTTTCAAAGCAATACTGATCATCTTCTCCCTTCAAAGAAAACTTATAGGAGTGTTTTTGCTTGTGAATGCATGTCATTCACAAAAAGTTCAGTCTACCCTATTATGGCTCTTTTGCATCTTCATCTGGCTTATCCTTGCTAAACAATATTATCTCCTAAAAGTATTTTAATCACTGTGGCATGAATTTTATGTCTCTTTTTCTCTCCTTTTTGCAATTTGACATTTTCTGTAAATATTGATAATTATGTGTTATGTCTCCATAACTATGAGATTTCATTTCCACTTAAAATTTATGTTAAATTACTTGAGTCATGATTGTAATTTTTTCATGTTCTCAATGAGTCCCTGAAGAAAGGTCATTATGGTCAACCTTGGTTGTGTTGGATGCATGCCTTTATTAGTACTTATCATGGTCTCTAGGGAGGCAATGCGATGAGTTTATTCACTTGCTTCAGCCTTATTCATGGTTGAAAGAAACATTCTTTCAATCATACTTGTTTATATTTGTCTATGAGCGCTATGACTTTTATTGTTGCCGGCACTTTTAGTGTACAATGTTGACTTATTGGGTACCTGCATGGATGTATATATTTGATTGACGATCTTACACAGTTCACAGCTGTAACAGTAACTTATATCTTTATGTGTTGAAAAGCGGAATTTTCTACTGGTGCAATAGAGTTATTGATAAATGCATTCGATAGATGATGGATTTTATTGATATACATTGTATTCCATGTAATAAGATTGAGATAAACTAGCATTTGGAATCGACTATTAGCCATAAATTTGTGTAATTTGGAAAAAAAAAAAGGCTGATTGAGTATGAAACGGGGGTGGGGGATAGAATTAGGTATATGGAATCTAATGCTATAAGCCAACTCTTGTCCATCCTTTGAGGAATAATTCTACAATCCGATTGAATATAAGATATGAGTAGTTGGTTTACGTTATGTAAGAAACACATGTATATCAGATATTAGATATTGACTAGTTATATATGAACTCAAAATATATCTAATCCACCCTACTACTGTCTTCCAACGTAGAAGCTGTAACTTATATGAAACTCTTGTTCAATCTCTTTTTATGCTTTCTGGCTGCTGGTGCACCATTTTATACTCTTAACTAGAATGGTGATTTATAGCAGGAATAATGGTGAAAAGAAGATTCTGTTTTATGCTAGACTACACCATGTAAGCATCAAATGGAGTAACTTACCTAAGAAATTTATCTGCAATAATAAACTATCTTCATATTGGTGAATTCTTTACACTTTTCTTAGGTTTTGGTGACAAATGATGGTTGTCAAACTTCAGTACCTTCATTCTCTAGTCGACTAAAGCTATACTTGGAGGGGTCAGTTTCTCCCCCTATTTCCGGTGTTCATAAAGATTATTGCCGGTGAGGATGGCAGCATTGCTTCAGTCAAGAAAGGAGAAGTAGTGCTTGAAACTGCCACAGAGGCAGATGGGTCTTTTGTTGCAGGACTTCAAAGGTATGGAATGTTTATTCTGGAATTATTTCTTTTCGACATCAACTTAAAGCAGTGTTTGAATCCCGTTTTCATTTTTATCAACTAATCTAACATAGCATCCTCTTGGTGCCATTTTGTATTTTTTTTATTGGTATATATTAAATGAGAAAAAAAGACCTTAGTGTCTCTTTAAAGCTTCACTGATGATAATCATTTTATTGATATTTGAAACATGATAATTTTCATTTCTTTTTTCTTTTTGGGTAAATAAAAATGACAATTTTCTTTCCTTATTTTTTTTATAAGTAAACATGATAATTTTCTTGTTATTAATTGATAATTGAAGAGCTTTCATCTTCAAAATTGTGGGAATATATCGGCTGTGTCAGTAGCCTTTTGGCCTAATATGAATATGTTATGCATATGCCATCATATGATACGCGTTTTCCTATAGTTTCCTTTTTATTATTCTCACTAAATTAGTTTTTGAACTGTTAGAAAAAATTGAGTTGGGAAGTTTGTTGATAGAAGGAAGAGCTAAATCCAATGCTGGCAACGGAATCTTACTTAGCAAAGTGTTAGGAAGTGATGATATGTATGATTAATGTCTAATCCATTTTAGTGGTAGAGGAGAGAAGCATGCTATTTACCATTTAGTGGTAAAAGGTAGTAAATCCAGTTATTGCTGCCGTCGTTGCAATCTAGTCATGCTATTGCTGTTGGTTTCTGTGGATACTAAGGTTTAATGATTCACGATCAACTACGTGAAGCTTCTTCAAATTCGAAGCCACAAGTTTTTGAAAAATCATCTCCACTTAAATTTCACAGGGCTACTAAGATTTGAACTCTGATGTGTTTGTGGTTAATTTGTCACTTGCCAGGTTGGAAACAAGGATATCAAGGCGCATGTCAAAGTGAAGGACCATCTTAAGTGGCCATGTCAAACAAGGATACTAAGATTTGAACTCTGATGCTATTCGCCAGGTTGATTTGGTCTTTGAAGATCTAGAAATGACCATCTAAGTAGGCCATGTCAAAGTGAATAGGATTGGGGAACTGCATTCTCAGCTGGTGACATGTCTAAAATAGTCTGCCTTCTAACTGCCATTATCCAACTTCTAGGTGAAGGACTTGCCTAGGAGCAAGCATATAGTGTAGCTCAAATCCTGTCTGCCTTCAAGGCCTCACAAATTTGAGTCGGAGATTATAGAGGTTGACCTAGAGAAGAATGCCCAAATTCATGTCGGTCCCCTCAGATACAGTGTGGAGGAGGATCATCACAAACAGGGTTGTTTTTTTTTCTTTTTTATACAGAACAAACAAGGTTGTTTAATTTTGTTAACAAAGTGCACAAGTTTTTTTTTCAAACAATTATGCAGCACTGTAGAACAATAGTTGCCTTAAGTTTATGAAATCCACCTTTCTTATGTTGAACTATTATCATGATGTTTAATCAATTGCAGATTACATATACTTGCTATCCAACATCTTTGTTGTGCTTTCACTTCTTGTTGATTTCTTACTTCCCTGGCTTGCGTACAGGAATTAACTCCGGCACCAGTATTCCCCCTAATTATTGGAGTTTCAGTGGCTACACTCTTTCTCAGCATTCCAAGGTAACTTGGTTTTTTCTTTGGTCCCCCTCCTCTCCCATGTGCTTCATATGGATAAGCTCTGATTATAATGTTCTCCTGTGTTTTGTAGCACTAAAGGACATCTACCAAGCTGCAAAAAAGGAGGTTTTATGATATGCAATACCAACACCAGGTTTTATAATAACTGCAAAAATGGAGTCACGGAGGAAGCGGGTTATGAGAAAAAAAGACTTACTGAAGAACCATATCCGATTAACGGAAGGCCATAAGAGTCTGTTTGACTGTTAACGGTTTATTTTTCATTCAGTTTTTCTTAAGTTTTTGCAGATATGACAACTAATTTGGATGATAGCATTAGCACCTTATTCCAATAGGTCATTTTGACGAGGGCAAAATATAACCCCCTGATACAAATAGCTTTTAGAATTGAACCTGAACGTTTCCTTGTAGAGTAATTTATACATCCGTCTAGCTCTCCTTTCACTCTTTTTATGTAAAACCATAATACTAATGATTCACTCTTCTTCCCCTTTGAATAATTGAATTACGAAGGTGGTGGAAACTGTTGGGGATTCAATCAAGTTAACTGTTTTAAACAATTTGAAGCAAAAACAAATACAGAGTTACTTCGATTTTCTTCTACTGCCAACCGTGTTGAAACTTTGTTCGGACCTGACTAATTTTGTGCGTGCTCCCTACTCCAGTGAGTGCGTTTTCTCTGTTAACTTCGGTATTAACAAAGGGATAGTATGGTAAATTCATGAGCAATCTCCTGGCTGGATTCCATCAGGGATAAACCCATTAAATCCTCCATAGCTGGATTCGAGGCAAATCCCTCCTAACCCAACCAACCAAAGTCATTGACCCAGTCAAAGTCATTGACTCTCTTCATTGGGTCAGATATATTTGGTGCTACGCCGCTATAAATGCTCTCCATGCACTTCACCTTATTCTTCTTCATCAAGCATCAAACGGGTACATCTATTACACTTACCATTGCTACTATGTTAAGATTTTGACGCGTATTAGATTCAGATTAGGTAGTCCACATCAGCAAATGGACCCACCAAATCCAGGGTCTGTTGGAATAGATATTTAGAAAACGTATTGTGATTGGACCAAATTCTCCGGTATTTTAGCCAAACCAATACATCTAATAATGATTAAATAAAAATCCTTAAAAATCATAAAAAACAAACAAAAAGTTTGGAGTAAAACTAAAACGGTAATAACACAAGCGGGCGTAGATATCAATTGTCTGAACTAACGCAGTTCAGCTGAGTTTCTCTCTCTCTCTTATCTTATACAGAATACCCCAGGTGTCTCCTTCAGTATCCGCCGCTTCCCAATGGCATCCCACTCCCCTCTACCCCAAAACCCTTTTTAGCCGATCTCTCTATCTCTCTCCCCCTCCCTGTAAGGTATACGACGTCGGATTTTTTTTTCTTTTTTTTAATTGATAATTATTGAATGGCGTCAACGCCACCACATTGTTCAATCACAGCAACAACAAAGCCTTACCAGAACCATCAATACCCACAAAACCACTTCAAAAACCACCGTAACCACCAGAGCAACCACCGCAACCAACCTCACCCCCAAAAGTTCTACCTCTCGAAGCCCCTTCCTTCACCTTGCAATGCAGCGAAACACACCACCACCGCTGCAGCTGCCGCAGCCGCCTCCACCACCCATGCTCCCCTCTGTCAGGCCCCTACCCCTTTCCCTTCCCTGGCCCCAGATTTCTCTGGCCGCCGATCGACCCGTTTCGTCTCAAAAATGCACTTAGGCCGGCCCAAAACTACCATCAACACCCGCCACACTTCTATAGCCGAAGAAGTCCTTCAACTCGCCTTACATAACGGGCAAGCGGGCCTTGAAAGCGTTCTCGTCTCGTTCGAGTCTAAGCTTTGCGGCTCCGATGACTACACTTTCTTGCTTCGAGAGCTTGGAAACAGAGGTGAGTATGAAAAAGCCATTAAATGTTTTAAATTCGCAGTTAGAAGAGAGAGAAGAAAAACTGAACAAGGAAAATTAGCTAGTGCCATGATTAGTATTCTTGGTAGATTGGGAAAAGTTGAACTTGCCAAGGGCATTTTCGAAACTGCATTAAGTGAGGGTTATGGAAATACTGTTTATGCTTTCTCTGCTTTAATTAGTGCTTTTGGGAAAAGTGGGTATTGTGATGAGGCCATAAAGGTTTTCGATTGGATGAAAAACTGTGGATTGAAGCCAAATTTAGTTACTTATAATGCTGTGATTGATGCTTGTGGGAAAGGAGGTCTGGAGTTTAACAGGGTTGTGGAGATTTTTGAAGAGATGTTAAGGAGTGGAGTGCAGCCTGATCGAATTACTTTTAATTCTTTGCTTGCAGTTTGTAGTAGAGGGGGTTTGTGGGAGGCCGCAAGGAATTTGTTCGGTGAGATGGTTAATAGAGGGATTGATCAAGATATTTTCACTTATAATACACTTTTGGATGCGGTTTGTAAAGGTGGACAAATGGATTTGGCTTTTGAGATTATGGCGGAAATGCCTTCAAAAAACATCTTGCCAAATGTTGTTACTTATAGTACCATGATTGATGGGTATGCAAAGGCTGGTAGATTTGATGATGCGCTTAATTTGTTTAATGAAATGAAATTTTTGGGTATTGGTTTGGATAGGGTTTCATATAATACTCTGCTTTCTATTTATGCAAAGCTTGGTAGGTTTGAGGAGGCTTTAGATATTTGCAGGGAGATGGAGGGTTCAGGGATCAGGAAGGATGTTGTCACTTACAATGCACTTTTGGGTGGGTATGGGAAACAAGGGAAGTATGATGAAGTTAGAAGACTGTTTGATGAGATGAAAGCACAAAAGGTGTCTCCTAATTTATTGACTTACTCCACAGTAATCGATGTGTATTCAAAGGGTGGTTTATATGAGGAGGCTATGAATGTTTTTAGAGAGTTTAAGCAGGCAGGACTGAAGGCTGATGTTGTGCTTTATAGTGCATTAATTGATGCCTTGTGCAAGAATGGGTTGGTGGAATCTGCTGTATCCTTGCTTGATGAGATGACAAAGGAAGGGATTAGGCCTAATGTTGTTACATACAATTCTATCATTGATGCTTTTGGTCGGTCTGCAACTTCAGAATGTGTGTTTGATGCTGATGAGACCAGCAAGTTGCAAATTGACTCTTCTTCTCCATTGGTCATTGAGCGTGGTATTGAAGGCACAGCAACAGATAGGGAGGATAACCAGATCATAAAAATTTTTGGGCAGCTCGCTGCTGAGAAAGGAGGTCAAGCAAAGAAAGATTGTGGATGCAAGCAGGAAATCTTGTGCATCTTGGGAGTTTTTCAGAAGATGCATGAATTAGAAATTAAACCAAATGTCGTCACCTTTTCAGCCATCTTAAATGCTTGCAGGTATCTTTATTTTCCTTTTCCTGTGCCTTTCAATTAATTGGTATATTTTCATATCTTGCTCACTGAAAAATGTGGACTTGGTGTAATGGTCCCTGAGTCCTGTTTCTTTCTATCTCCACTGCGTTGTTTGCAATTCATGATTATGTTTAATTTTATTTGATGCAATGATTTAAATTAAAATTAGATAGTAAAGGTTCTTTTTTTTTGTCATACTTGTGCTTTAAAATTTTTCAGCTATTTGTGAGCTAGGTTAATTGATCGGTTTTAAACTCCAGAGCCAGAAATGTCTTTACCTGTATTAATGCAGGTCTGATATATATGCACTATGATCACTGAATATGTTCTAGCTTTTCAAGAAAAATGACATTTGTCTGCAACCCTTGATTTGTGTTCCATTAGCTTACTGATTATCCAGTTGCAGTTGAAAAAATCAAACACACAATACGTCAGGCCCTGGAATTTACTTGATGTGGCAAGTTTTAACTGATTTGCGAATAGTGGGACTTTATTTGTCAATCCTCCTCTTTTCTTGTTGTACGCATTAAACAATGGATGATCATTTCCATGTATTGCTTTGGGTGCAGCCGCTGTGATTCTTTCGAGGATGCTTCGATGTTGTTGGAAGAGCTCCGGTTGTTTGATAATCAGGTTTATGGTGTTGCCCATGGGCTTCTTATGGGCTATAGGGAGCATGTTTGGATCCAAGCTCAATCCCTATTTGATGAAGTGAAGTTGATGGACTCTTCAACTGCTTCTGCCTTTTATAATGCTTTGACTGACATGCTGTGGCACTTTGGCCAGGTTAGCTTTTGAAATGCAGCTGCACCACTAGTTTGATGCAGTTCTTGCTCAGTTTTCTTCCTCTATGATGTTTGTTGCTTCCTATTTTTAAGATTTTTGGCACTCGTATAGTTTAAAAGGTTGGCATTGTTAAAATGTTACCTTGCAGAAACGTGGAGCCCAACTGGTTGTGCTTGAAGGTAAACGTCAGCAAGTGTGGGAGAATGTATGGTGTAATTCTTGCTTAGATTTGCATCTTATGTCCTCTGGTGCTGCTCGAGCAATGGTGCATGCATGGTTGCTAAACATACGTTCAATTGTTTTTGAAGGTCATGAATTGCCAAAACTGTTAAGGTAAACGAATTGGTTTTGCATGTAATGGGCTGATCAAACATGTTTCTTGAACCTTCTTGTTTCAAAAATAAATATCTGTTTCCTTTCTTTGTCCAGCATTTTGACAGGTTGGGGCAAACATAGCAAAATAGTTGGTGATGGTGCACTAAGGCGTGCTGTGGAGGCACTCCTCGCTGGCATGGGTGCACCCTTTCGGCTTGCTAAGTGTAACTTGGGTAGATTCGTATCAACAGGACCCATTGTTACTGCCTGGCTAAGAGAATCAGGCACCCTTAAGTTGCTTGTTCTTCATGATGATAGAACTCATCCTGAAAACAAAAGGTTTGAAGAAATCTCAAATTTACAGACGCATCCTTTGTAGTAGTGTGTATAATATAATGATACCCTTTTTAATTTTGTGGCTTTTCCTTGTGTTTTCCCTGCAAGTTGTGCAAATTATCGAAGAATTGACGTACATATCTGAGTCTCATGCTCTTATTCAATACTTCCTGTTAATTCAGTAACCAGCAGGAGACTATCTAGTGGCAATATGTAAAGCCTACTAAATACCAATGCATCATTTTCTCATGATTCGAATCGGTTATTTGAAATATGTTGTAATCTTTCGAGTGAGCGGATGAATAAAAAAGATGCAAAGAATCGCTAAAGATTTTATTTATTATAAAATAACCAAGTTACCAACTTTATCATTTACCATGCACATTTTATCACAGCTCCTATCATAAAGAACCTATATTTCTTGGCTTGATGGCGGCACCGATGGATATGGTTCTCAATTTCCTTGAAAGTCGAGTGAAAGAAATGATCATTCGACGACAGTGGTCGGCATCATCCGTGTGGCCCGAACTTGACGGAAATTTGCGGCTGATATGGTCTAATTTTGCGACTTTATTAATTCTGAACATTTTGTTTTTGGTATATAGGATGGGTATAGCTTACGGAGGAAGGGGAGAATGTCCGAACTCAAGATTTTTACGTCCTTTTTAAGTGCTTCTTAATTATTGATTTAAAGAGCTCAGGACAAGTATGAACATTTACATTTCTCTTATTAAAGCCTTTTTAGTAAAAGGTTTTACCCATGGAACAAAAAATATTAATGGGAAGATTAAATATATATTTGACGAACTTTAAATTTAGCTTTTAAATAAATTTTATGTAACTTAAATTCAGCTTAAATTGTAAAAACTTACTTAACCAGAAAATTTAAAGTAATTGCTGATTAAACAATGGAATACCGGACTCGTAAGTTTAACCCACTATTGTCATTGCGGAGTGGTTTGAATTTCAATGTGTTTTCCTATTAACAACACTCGCAGAAATCATTTTCCTGCAACTTCACTTTGTGTTCTAATAATTGGGCTTAGGCTATAAGTAACGGGTGGCATACGCCCTCTGTTCTTTGAATCCAAGATCGACGCCATTTTGGTTCTGTACATCATCAGTTCAAGTGTTCAACACCCAGTGAAAAGGCAGGCCCGAGAAGTGTTCTCTGTTTATGTTTGCGGGGCTGTATTTTTGGAGGAATATCATCTTCAAACAAATTAACAACTGGCCTGACAAAAAAAAAAAAAAACATATCCTTCTCACCGCGTAACGATGTGCAAAGTTTTCGCTTGATTTATTTTTCCCTCTTGTGTATAGTTGACTGAATAGCAATAGAAAATAAATCATGGAATCTGAGAATTTGATTGAATGGCAATAGAAAATGAGCATACTTCTACTCAAAAAAAAAAAAAGAAAAAACAAGATAGAGAGAAATTAAGAAATGGCAAACAGATTGTCAGAGTTCTAAATTGAGTTTCAAAATTTTCTTTTTCCCAAATGGATTAAAAAAAAGTTACGTCATTGTTTTACCCTATGATAGAATATAGGGAGACAATATTTCAGGAAACTAAAACAATGAATTCATTACAACTGAGGAGACTTTTGGCAGTTTGGCAATCCATCCTTCTTTGTCAATATATGATATGTTCAAAAACTGATTGAGCTGAGAAGCACTGAGTTTCTTCAGCCAAGGCACACGCTTGGAAGTGTTGGCTCCAGGTCCCCTGCAATCAGCCTCCGCATACATCAAATTACCTCTGCAAACATAGTCACAGTTCAGCTCTTACTTGCCATTGCAAAAGTAAACAAATTCTAAGGTAATCTTTAAAGGAGAAAAAAAAAATGCCATACTCATGATGCACAAAGGACCAAGCATCCCAACCAGAAGGAATAATCGAATCTGAAAGCTGTGAATTATATATAATTACTCTGGAATAAGCCCCATAAGCTCTTCCAAGGTAAGTTTTACCGGTTCCTGTGAACACACAAGATTTAAATACGAAGCCGCTAGGATCATCTGATGAATTCCTTCCCTGTGCTGTTATGTAACCATAAGGATATTCTGGTGCATATTTTCCTGCTGTAGGATTTATTTCGCATCTCTGCAAATGACAACATTGTCAGTACTTGAAATTGAAGATAAGACTGAAATTCAATCTCATCTTTTTTATGAAATTAACAAAGATTTTTTTGTTGCACCTGATAGATAGACTGGCCTCTGCCAAATATAAAATCAATAGCACCTTCAACATAGCAATTGTAGAAGTAGTGGCGGCCTTGTACGTCCCACAAGGTATCTTGCAGCCCCAAAAAGGCACAGTTATAGAAAGCAGATTTATCCCCATATATTCTAGCCGCTAGAGCTGGAATCACATTTTTCTTGGTATCAGGTCCTGACAGTATGTCATAGATATTCTGTTCAGAGTGAAGATGCCATAGCTTTCAGCACAGAATCAAGTAGATTAACTTATAAAGCTTTTTTGTAGATGTAACTTATCAGGAAATGAAAATTTGTGGAATCAAGAAAGCAAAAGAGGACCTTGATTTCATACCTTGAACGTAATGCGTTTTGCAACAATGTTATCAGGAGAAGAAGTGAAAGTAGCACTGTCACAGGTATCCATATGATCCCCCCATTCAATACTGGTTAACTTGCTCCCAGCTCCTCGCAGAAAAATGCAAGATTTGTTTGCAGGGATTGAAACTTTCTCCCTGGACCAAACCAACAACAGGAGAGAAAAATCAGAATACTTTTGTCTGATCTTTAATTTCAGGCATGAGCATAAATCAAACATATGAGACATGAAATTATAAGCTAAAGTACCTGAAGATTCCAGGAGAAATAAGAGTACGTATCCACTTATTGTTGTTAAAAAGGATTGAATCAATAGCATTTTGAACGGTTTTGAAGTCTCCCTTGCCAGACTGATCCACCGTGATGGTATCTGCGACCTTGAATTTACTGTCACTAACCATTTCACATTCCAAAGTCTCAGAAATACCGAAATAAAGCAACAATTCAATCAAGACGAATGCAAGTATATTGTGGAGGCGCTGCATTTTCGAACTATAGCTACTCAATATCCTTAGATTGAATGATAAGAGTCATAATTATAGAGAAACAAATTTGATTACCTGGTAGTACTTTGCATGAAAGTTCCCCACCAATATGAAATTTCTGGATATGTTGCCAAATATAAACGGTATGATTAATGATAATTATGGACATGAACTGTAATGATATTTATACTCAAACTTTAGTTGGCTGTGGCCTCGCTTGCATGCCCTAAATTTAGCACACTATGGATAAACTGCTTTGTGACTTTTGAGAGTCCCACCTCCAATTCTTTCCACAACGTAAAATGCAAAAGTCTACCTTAATTCATTCCACTACGACTGTAGCCAAACCACTGAATAGAAAGTGATTTTTTTTTCATCTCTTTTTTCCCTTCCGTGCGCATATTTAAACGATTCTAATCTCTTGTTCTCCAAAATACTTGCAACTTAAGTACATGTTTCTTCCACTAAAAGAAAAAAAAAACTAGATTCCGATCTTCCATTATTCAAAATAATTCCTTTGAAAGAAAGAATATGCATTAGAATTTTCAATTATCAAAAAAAAAAAAAGATTTACATTTTACCCATTAGCATCTTTGCTTCTTTTGAACGTTATCATTATTTTTGAGCCTGACGTTTTAGATATTTGAAGTTTATTTCCAAGCCCAAATATTTGATTGGCAAACGGTAGCCAAATGGGGCCTTGGCCCCCGACCAGGTCAGTTCAGTTTACATGTGAGCTCAGCTGAACTTCAAATCATCGGTAATCTTGTTTAGTAAAGCCCATTATTGGGCTACCTAGTGAGCCTCTTTATTTTTTAAATCCAGACACAAAACATTGAGCCCATTACTGTTTATTTTTTGTAATTTACCAACAACTTAGCATCAAATCCTAAACGATGATTTAAAATTATCTTCCACTTTTTTATCTAATGAAATTTTTTTTTTTTAAATGTATTTAAGTTTGGATTCGAATTAAATCACCCTCTCTCTCTCTCTCTCTCTCTCTCTCTTTTTATATAATAGAGCGTTGTCCTCTTTTGAACAAAAAAAAAAAGATATTTATAATTTAAAATATAACACTTATAATAATTTTTATCTTCAAACTTTTACTTTAGTAGTTAAAAAATTTCGGGGACATCGATTTCAAGCCAAACCTCCTTCATTCCTCTTATTTATATTAAGACTTTGTCTTCTTGATATAAAAAAAAAAAAAAAACACTTATAATTTTTTATCAAAAAAAGCCAACAACAAAAATATAAGGAACATATTAGTAATTGATGTAAAAGCTAAGGCAGGTAACTGATGTAAGGCAGAAGTCAAAAGCAAACGATGCCAAGATTATGGAATTGTCTTTCTTTCTATCCATATGTTAAACGAAGATACGACTAATTTATGTGTTTGTTTAAGGAAATGGGAAGATCCTAAGACAAATAGCACTTAATCCATCGACATTTGAATGTTGGAAGACCAATTTATCCTTGAATGGTTCAATTTTTGTCAAAGTAATATATATATTAGTAATACTAATATTAATATCCCATATAGAGCCAAAATATAGCGCGTTGAAATGTCGGTTGATGACCCCCCAAAAATGGCAAATTTACAAGTTTATAATTCATTTTAATTTAACTAGTGCTCACCTCTAGTGGTAAAGTTGGTTTCTTCATTTTTTGAAGCAATAAATTTTAATAATTCTTTGCACTACAATTAAAAAATTTTGAGTTTCGTGACGTGAATGTAATGCTTTTTTTTTTTTTTCCTTTTAGGAATGAGAATCGTTTGGAATTTTAATAAAATTATTATGTGACAAAAGGATCTTTGATACATTAATGAGGACATCGAAACAAAAAAAAAAGGTGGATTCTTCACAGTAAAAAGTAGAACCCATAAAGAAGGTCAAGAAAAAAGTTGCAGTCAATGGCTTATAATTATGTTAATTTGATTAGGCCTTCTAATTAATCTGTTTAAAAAAAAGGAACCTCACTTAATTAAAAATGCCCTTTGTTTCGTGGCTTGGGCAAAAGTAACATAATCTGTTTCCAAATCGATCAGTCTATAATCAATTAAAAAATTTTCCAAGGAAAAAAAATAATATAGATTTATTTTCCCACTTTAACCTCTTTAATTGACTTTTGTGACACTGGGAATATCAGCTCGCTTGGAGGGGAAGAAATAGCATGTTTCCTTTTTCTTTTTTTTTAATTTCAAGCAGTTCTTCTTCACCCAACTTAATTGATTAGGCCCAAATTGAGTTTATTCCTGACTTTTTAGTAAATCTTAGGCACAACTATGCATGGAATTTTTCTTTTGGGAGAGAAGCATATTTTAATTTTTAATGCCATATAGCAAACAACGATGTTCCTAATTCTATTTCTATCAAATGGTAAGAGTTGTCTCCTCACATTCTGCTTTCCAAAAAAAGAAAAAAGACATGAATTCCTTAGAAAAGTAAAATACATAGATTTGTTCCTCCAAGTAAGACGGGCTCTCTTTATTTATTCCCCAAATTTATGCGGTTCAATCTCGGTTCCTACTTTTCAGTAACAAATAAACTTGGGAACTAGCCTGATTGGCTGATTTTCATTTCAATTTTTTTAATATTTTTAATGAACATTAACCTGATCTTTTCGTCTTTGAGAAATAATTTCGTTGGCAAAGATTTGATTCACTTGCCTCTTACTTGGCCATGCAAAGACGTAGGTTCAAATTATTTATGGTAAGCACCCAATCTACCTTCAATGCTTTGTTACCAAGCCAATGGTTATTAACAAAAAATAATAAATTAAAGATAAATTTTGCATTAAGAATGAAGTAAGAAAATTAATATCGGACGCACACCTTCTAGTTTCATCCGCCAGAAATCTTCAATGATCGAGAGAAATCTCTTGGCCGCTATATATCTAAATTGAGTAATACTCTATTATAGGTATCAAATTTAATTATTAACTTTTTAGTGTTTGTTTACTTTGTTAACCATTAATTACAATTTGCTAATTAAGAATAAGGCTTGGATTTGGAGCTTTGACCCTCAAGTGTGTGTAAACTAACTCAGCACCGCAAATCCCTCGAGAAAGTTCCTTGTCTAACTCGTCTGGCCTACCATAAAACGTTGAAGTACCAAATTCTTCAAGAAAATTAAGTTGAAAAATTTTTTAATGACACTATGGCCCATGGGGGTTCAAGAAAAAAAAATGTAGTGTTAAATTTTATGATTTGTAGCTGAATCAGCTGATATACCAAGTTTCCCATCTACTAATTTCATTTCTGCATCTCAGGCAGAGGCAGGCAGCGTATCGTCCAACTTAATAAAATACTTCAAATTCAAGTGTTGAGAGAAGTTCCCAGTTCCGTTTGGCTACAGAGTCGATGTTAGCATCCACTACATGGATCATTATCCTTCAAATTTTAACCCCTTTGCATTATTTTTTTATTTTATTAGATATTGAAATTGTCTCCTTAATTAGTTTCTATGTGTTTCTGGATCTAGCTTTTAGTCATAACTTCCATCACGGTGATAGGGAAGCAATTAGTTACTTTGTTTTTCATATAAAGGATTTCACCGAAAAAAATATAATAAAGCATAAAGGCCAAAGTGACCAAAGAGCTAGCAGAAACCAGAAACTAACCATCACCAAACCAACCGCCCAACATTTTCTTTTTATCAAGATAACTTGATTCTATTTTTAATTCAATTTTATTACGCATCCATTTCCTTTATTTCTCAATATATACGTGCATAGCTGAACAAGCACACCACCATTAACCTTCCGTGTACAAGCAAACATCTCTTCAAGCTCTCTTTACAACATTCTTGTTTTAGTTCATCAGCTTTATTGTTCTCCAACTACCATAACTGTTATTCTTTGTAATCTTTTCCTACACCATCTATTTTTGTAAAGTGTATCAATTATTTTGAACATTCAATTCCACTGCATTTATTTTCTTGTAAATCTCTCGGTTCCTTATTCGTTTTCGTTATCATTAACTGCAAATTTGCAGTTCCCGCTTTCTGGAGCTGAGTTAAAGAAGATATCATAATCACAGATAACAGATTTTGAGGCTTTGGTTTAATTTTTAAATCTCTGGGGATCATCAGATTCCAAAAAGGTGGTCCTTGGTGCCCAATATAAACACTGTCGCTTGTTATCCACACATTGACAACTAAAACTCAAGTTTCATTAAGCCTGTAAGAGTTTTCAGTACTTCGTTTTCAACTTTTCGTTCCTGTTTCTTGTTTTCTCTTTAGCTTGTGCCTTATTCGTTTCACTGTTTTTCTTTCTTTTGACTTTGTCATGGCACCTCCAAACAATCTCGCTAATTCTACTTTCAATCTCCTCCGCTCCAGTAGTTTAGAGAAGTACTTTGATTTGTCAAATGGAAAGTTCAGTGTCAAAGGTTTTCCTTTACTCCATGATGTTCCTAGCAATGTCACTTTCACACCGTTTTCTTCTGTCTGTAACTCCTCAGAGTCTGATGTTCCAGTTCCCCTGCTTCAGCGTGTCCAGGCTCTGTCTCACAAAGGTGGATTCCTAGGATTCAGTAAGAATGAGGCTTCTGATAGTATGACAAACTCTTTGGGTAGATTCACTGGCAGAAACTTTTTGAGTATCTTTAGGTTCAAAACATGGTGGTCTACACAGTGGGTTGGAATTTCGGGGTCTGATTTGCAAATGGAAACCCAATGGGTAGTATTAGATGTCCCTGAAATAAGGTCCTATGTCATAATTATACCCATTATTGAAGGGAGTTTCAGGTCTGCTCTTTGTCCTGGCAATGATGGCCACGTCATGATCTTTGCTGAGAGTGGTTCTACTTTAGTCAAGGCCTCTTCTTTCAATTCAATTGCCTATGTCCATGTTTCTGAAAACCCCTTCAACTTGATGAAAGAAGCATTTAGTGCTATTAGGGTTCATCTTAATACCTTTAAGCTCTTGGAAGAGAAAAACCTTCCTTCTATCATTGACAAATTTGGTTGGTGCACTTGGGATGCATTTTACTTAACTGTAGAACCTGCTGGTGTATGGCAGGGTGTGAAAGAGTTTGCTGAGGGCGGTGTCCCACCAAGGTTTATCATCATCGATGATGGCTGGCAAAGCATCAATCGTGATAGTGATAACCCCAACGAGGATACGAAAAACATTGTTCTTGGTGGGGAACAGATGACTGCCAGGCTATACAGATTTGAAGAGGGCGAGAAGTTCAGAAAATATAAGGAAGGATCCTTCTTGGGTCCTAATGCTCCTTCATTCAATCCACAGAAGCCCAAGATGCTGATCACAAAGGCCATTGAAGTCGAACATGCCATCAAGGCTCGTGACAAGGACGTCCAGTCTGGTGCCACTGATGTTTCCGAGTTTGAATCCAAGATTAAGAAGCTGAAACAAGAATCGGATAATATATTTGAAGGAGAAAAATACAGCCTTTCGAACGGCAGCTGTGGAAGCTGTGGCTGCAAGGCCGATAACTATGGCATGAAGGCTTTTACAAGGGATCTGAGAACCAGATTCAAAGGTTTAGATGACATTTGGGTGTGGCATGCTCTTTGTGGTGCCTGGGGTGGTGTTAGACCAGGAGCAACTCATCTCAATTGCAAGGTGGTCCCTTGCAACGTCTCTTCGGGGCTTAAGGGGACGATGCCAGATTTGGCTCTGGATAAAATTGTTGAAGCTGGGATTGGACTTGTTCACCCAAGTCAAGCTGATGATTTCTACGACTCCATGCATTCTCACCTTGCCAAATCTGGTATTACCGGAGTAAAAGTGGATGTCATTCACGTAAGTAATTTAAAAATTAAAGTACTAATAATTTATTATTTGTTTGATAGAGCATAGTAATAATTTTATATGAATGTTTCAATCCAGACTCTTGAATATGTATCTGAAGAATACGGAGGTAGGGTGGAGCTTGCCAAGGTTTATTACAATGGGTTGTCAAAATCGTTGTCAAAGAACTTCAAAGGGACCGGAATTATCTCTAGCATGCAACAATGTAACGATTTTTTCTTCCTTGGGACAAAGCAGACAGCCGTGGGTAGAGTTGGTAAGAAAGTCAAAACAGATTTTCTTTTTCATCCTAATCACCTTGTGTAACATCAACCATTTATAGTGTAGTAAATTAATTAATTAACTGATTTCAATTGTTTTTCTAACAGGTGATGATTTCTGGTTCCAGGATCCAAATGGGGATCCGAACGGAGTTTTCTGGTTGCAAGGTGTTCACATGATCCACTGTGCTTATAACAGTTTGTGGATGGGTCAGATCATACAACCTGATTGGGATATGTTCCAATCTGACCATGTTTGTGCCAAATATCATGCTGGATCCCGGGCAATTTGCGGTGGACCAGTCTACCTGAGTGACTCCCTCGGCTGTCACGATTTTGATCTTATTAAGAAGCTTGTCTACCCTGATGGCACCATCCCAAAGTGCCAGCGCTATGCCCTTCCAACTAGAGACTGCCTTTTCGTAAACCCTTTGTTTGACAGCAAGTCCATCCTCAAGCTATGGAATTTCAATAAGGTACCTCTCTCTTTTTGTTAAATTTTTTCTTTGTACTTGGATTTACTTGGATATGATAACAAAATTCTCTCTTTATGCAGTATGGAGGCGTTATAGGAGCTTTCAACTGCCAAGGAGCCGGATGGGACAGTAAGGTGCTGAGGATCATTGGCTATCCACAGTGCTACAAACCTGTCTCCGGTTCTGTGCATGTCAATGATATTGAATGGGATCAATGCATAGAAGCTGCTGAAATGGGTGATGCTGAAAAGTATGTGGTCTACCTTGACCAGGCCGAAAAATTGCTCTTTCTGACACCAAAATCTGATCCAATTCAAGTCACTATCCAACCATCTTCATTTGAGATTGTAAGCTTTGTGCCCATTAAAAAGATTGATCGCGTTGCCAAATTCGCTCCTATTGGTCTAACCAACATGTTTAATTCTGGAGGAACAATTCAAGAATTGGATTACAACGAGGTTGGGGAAGGCCCTGCTGCCAGGATCAAAGTTAAAGGTGGTGGGAACTTCCTAGCCTATTCCAATGTTCCACCCAAGGTCTGTTATTTGAATGGTGCTGAGGTGGCTTCTGAGTGGTCAGCCGATGGCAAACTGACGCTGAATCTTCCTTGGATTGAAGAAGCTGGTGGAATTTCTGATGTGGTTTTTGTCTTTTAATCTACGGATATGAACTTTTAAGGGTTTGGCAATTAAGTACTTTTGGGTTATTGTTTAGGTTTGAACTCAGGAAGGATGTATGTTCATCGCATTGAAAGTAATGTTAAATTTATTGTATTTTAATTATCTGTCTACGCTATATATGCGATTATGACTGAATACACATCTGAAAAATCCATAAGAATGAAAAGAACATAGAAGAGTCTTAATGTGAAGGAGAGACACAACGGAGAAGAGAGAAATTTCTTAGGAATTAAAATTTAGACCAATTTTTAACTGATAAAACTTACTTTAAAAATAGCTAAATAAATAAAGCTAGTAAAGGAACACAGTGTATTAAAGGATGAAATCAGATCCAATACTGCTTTAGGAGGTAAAGCAAAGAAATAATTATATTCAAAATAATGATGAGACATCTAAATTCATATACAAGGAACACGCTAGAATCTCCCACCAACATGTTTCTAACATCTTTTTGACAGAAACTACCACAAAAATTAGCTGTTTCGTTTACATTTATGCTTAGGCAGACAAGGAGAAAGACAAAAGTAGCTGCCTATGCTCTTTTAGGCCGTTCGGTTAGGATGCTTTGTGGCAAACTTTTTGACCCTTTTGACATAATCTGAATTTCAGTTACTCTTAGACTCTGCAGTTAAGTAGTTCAAATTTACAGTAAAAATCTAGGCAGCCTGGATCTGAAAGCTGAAATATGAACTGTTCATGTATTGAAACAAAAGGCAAATTGATGGCAGAGCCCTAGCTAAAGCAAGCTGGTGGAGGAGACATCCAGATTGAAATAATATACATATATATGGTGTTAGTGCTAGTTTGAATTAATTTCAAAAGCATCAAGGAGGAGATTTGAAGTGCACCAAAAATTATTAAATCAAGTTGATCCTCAAAAATAATTCTAGTTTAAGAAATAAAGAAAAAGAGAACACGGATTACTGACTCTGGGTCCCTGAATCATCAAGACAAAATCAAAAACAAAACGGGACTCAGGAAAAAGACCCAAAGGTATCATGAACAAATGGTTGCTCTCTGTTTCCTATTTCCAAATCATCAATCAAACACAAATTAGCTCTAAATTTTGCCAAGTGTAAAACTTCCAGTTCCAACCCGTGGCTCTAAACTGTCAGATGGAGACATAAACAGAAACTGCTGGAAGAAAAATGTAAGAAACATTCCAAATTGCAAGAACTATCAGAGTGACCAATGTGCTAAGGTTTTATCACTTTTCATTTTCAAAAGTATCAGCAGGAAGGTGATTCAGTGAATCAGTGGTAAATGTTAACAACGGTTTCGTCAGGCAAAAGATATGAACCTCCATTTCATCAACACCTGTGTAGCACTGTGGCCCAAGCCGCTGTACAAAATCCAAAACTTGTAAACCAAACCTTCAATCTAAAACTAGCGTCTGTCGGCTTCTAAACCTTCAATCTCCTTGGAAAGGAAAACATGGGATTTGTCAAATATCTAGATTATCTAGTCATTCCAGATAAAGGGTAGAAAAATCCAACAAAAAAAGTACTGAAAAGAAAAAATAATTTGGGTCATGCTAAAGCACGAGTCAGTTGTTCACGAAGACGCCCTTTGGCAAATTTCAATAGAATTATCCACTTCTTTTTGGTCGGTTCAATGTTAATAACTTCAGCTTCCACAAGACAGAATAAAAGAAGTACATCCAAAGATTCACGAAAGTGAAGTCGTATTAGATCACCAACTGTAATTCAACAAACAATAACAACTAACCGCTATTCAATTTTTCTTCCAACTGTATGACTGCTCAAAATTCTATCCTTTTATGGATTATATTTTATGATGCCATCATGTTATGCTTTCAATGGATGCACATTTTATGCATTCCTCATGACCATATTTTTTGGGAATTAAACTTTGATGGGATATATAATTTAAGATGCTGATCGGGGGAGCCTAAACCCTGGTCTCGAAGCAACCCAAAGGGCAAGAGAAAAACAAAAAGCCCGTGTATTATTATTATTATTATTATTATTGAATAAAAGAGAAAATGCTTCTGTAGACAAAATTTAATCAATACATAGATAACGTGATAAAATAAGAATAACGTTTAAAATTCGTGTCTGAAAAAGTTTTAAAATTTTCTTGGGAGAATATATTAGGTTAACAATTTTCAGAATATACTCTATTTGTAATTGGGCAATGTGAACCACAAAACAATAACTGGGCTAGCTATTTTAGCCCATTAAGCTTCGTTGTGTTTTTGAACTTCTTCGATCTGAACAAGCTTTTCTGCAAAGGATATATGGATTCGTGATTCATCAATAGTCTGGATATCATCTCCTTAAAGTTTTGGGTTTAAGCCCACAGTTCCATCTCAACATTGGGGTTTTTATTTTTTTTTGGTTTATAATTTTCTCAATAGACAATGACGGTCCTATTTCCTATTCCATTTAGGAATCGGGATAACAACTCTATATATATATACAATCCTTATTTAAGTTCAAGTTTGCCTTAAGTTCTTCCTCAACGTTTGATCATCACCTTCGGTTTATTTCTTGTTGTTCTTTTTTCTTTCTTACGAAGTCACGAGAGCTTTGACCATGCTGGAGTTATACAATGTCTGGCAACAGGATGAGGGTGTTTATTACGAACCAGATCAGGAGGTTCAAGCCTTTCAACAAGTCAGATTTAGTATTCAAATCCATAGACTGCTTAAAGATAATAATGGTCGCGTGAGGGAGAGAGTTGTAGAATTCCAGGATGACGGATTTTGGATCCGTTCCGAACTGTTTTCCTCTGTCGACCTATTTGTTTACATAGCTGGCTGTTTAAATCAAGCTGGAATTCACAGTCTTGATATTGAACAGGTGCTGATTGGAACTTTCTCCGAAATAACTTTGATTCTGAATAAAGAAGAGAATTCCAAAGTCTGCGTAGTACCGATAATGTTATGTGTTTACAAATGGGAACGTTGGGAAGATGCAGCAGAGGCAGAGGATATGGCAGTGGAGGAAGCAATGGCAGCAACAGCTCTGAAACCAGTACCTGCAACGAAGGAATCCATCCAGGCACTACGAAAGGTCAAGCTTGGAGATATCCCTTGTGTTTCTCGCGAAATATGTGTGATTTGCCTGGAGGAACTCTCACTGCAGGCAATGGATCTCACAAGCATGCCCTGTGCTCATCTCTTTCATGGAAATTGCATCGTGAAGTGGCTGAATACCAGTCACTTGTGTCCATTGTGCCGCTTTCCGATGCCGACTTGTGCAAATCAATAATTTGGCCGATAATTTGCGTGGCTTTTGTTTCTCATCATCATTGTATAAACCAAATATTGTTGCTAGTTTTTTTTGGATGGTTCATTATTGCTGGGTTTTCAAATTTCAACTTATTATCATAGTTGCTGAATTAATTTAAGTTTGCTACTGATCTCTTTCACAATTTTGGAAATAATTTTTGTTCCATGCTAAAAATCATTTAATTTGTTATTTCACAAATTTGATCAGCCATTCAAAATTTTTTTTCGACTCACTTATTAAATTGAATTATAAATGATATTGTTAATTTTTTATATATCAATTTTTTATTTGAATTTTTGTTAATATTTTTTATTAAATTATTTTTAATATGAAATTTCAATAATTTCACTTTAAAAAAATTACCTAAATCTTAGTCCTATTTTCATATGATTGATTGCCAACAAGAAAATTAAGAAGTAGGCTTTACACACCTATAAATAAACCCTCCGAAAAACATGATTACGCGAGATTTTTAAAAATCTTTTTAAAATGTCTTAGGAATTCTCACAAACTTAGTTTTTCTGATTTTATTTATCTTTGATCACGATTGAAGAAATTAATTAATTAAAATTTTCAAAAATGAAAACAGTCAAATATTTAGCTTCATAACAGCAACTTATGCTTGATCACTCATCACAACTTATATAAAATCAAATGTTATTGAACTTAATATATATTTTCCATGGCTCTTAATTGTAATATGCTATGTTATTTTAAAATATAAATAAATTGCATAAGGCCCTTGAAGCTATCTCATAACTTTTAAATAATTTTGCATATTGGGTCAATATCCTAGTGCCAACTTTTTAAAATTCTTTTCTATTTTTTTCAAAATTCTAAAGTAGGCTTTGTATATACAAGTAATTTATCCCTAATTTTATTATCTTTCATTTTAGAAAAGAGATTTCTTACATATATATATATACACATATAATGAATCTATATATTTAAAAAAAAAAAAGAACGAAAAATGTCTCTAAGATGCCCTATATTGCATCTAAGCCCATGGATTTATTATTTCATGTATAGCCAAACTTGCATTTATATTTTAATTATATCTTTAAAAAATATGGGAGACTTAAGATGCCACATAATATTAATTAGAGCAAAAACAAAGGATTGATGAAATTTTTTTTTACTTAGATATTCATCCAAGACTAGGAAAGACGTTTTAGTAAATTACTTGGGTAAGTCGGTTCCAGTATTTCCTTCAAAGCAACTGGCGTTTTCTTCTTTTGCAAGGAAACAAATACATTTACGATTTGGAATAGGATTATGCAAAGGTATATATAAAAGTACGTACCCTACCCTTAAGGTTTCATTCAAGTAAACCCAAAGTTGTGGGGTGCTTGATCTTCCTCCCTTTGATTCACGTTCCCGATTATTGCATAGCCCTTTTTTTTTTAAGGAGAGTTTTGATCATGGCAAGAGGAGAATCGTCATTCCAAGGGACGCTAGGCGACAATGGTGACATCGTGAAGCAGGGTCGACTTTCCCAAGTCGGATTTGTTCTTCGAATTCGTAAGTTCCTCAAGGATGATAATGGCAACATCGTGGGAGAGTATGAGGAGGATGAGTTCAAGGAGGAATCGATTTTGCCTGAATTTGAGTTTGGCTCCTTTCGACACCGCAAAAATATAGCTCGCCGTTTATGTGATGTTGGATTGCTTCATGTGGCGGTCATGTGCCATTTTTGTTGTTTTCTGTTTCTGTTTTTGGTTTTGTGGATTTATTGAACTTTGTAAACTAAGATTTATCTTCTAATCTCTTGATTAGTTACATATTTGTCTTTGTCATCCTTTGCTGACCATTTTGTTTTACTATTAATGGACTGTAATTTGTAGTAATCCATGCCATCCATTTGCTTCTGGTGTTACCCTAGCTAAGCTTGTTACTGTCACTATGGATGAGCAAGGAAATAAGACCTCTGATACCAGTGGTGCTCTGGATAAGTTGCGCAAGGTCAGCTCTGTCTTTTTCCTGCCATACAACTTATGCTATTGCCTTTTTAGAATGAGCAGGGTATTATTAAACACTATTGTTGTTCTTGAAATAGAAGGTATTGCATCCAATTAGAGTGTGGCACCAGGGTGCATCTCGATGTTGCATGTTTTGATTAGCACTTGATCAAGTTGTTTAGAATCATAAATTATGTTTTTTTTTTTTTTTTTTCTGTTTAATAGGCTTTGCGTTCGTGGAACCATTCTGGGCTACAAGAGGTAACAAATTTTTTCTTTTGATTTGTTGAGCTGGTAAGGAAGTGTTTGGATTGGTGCTTAAGAATGGATTTTTGGTTTGGTTTGGTTTTGTAAAAGGTCGAAGTCGAACCAGTATCCTTGATTCAGATCGAAGGAGTGAACCCAAAGGAGGAAAGTAGGATGGTACTATGGGAAGTGAATGGCATATATTTACAGAGGGAAAGTGAAGAAGAATGGGTCTCATTATTGTTGCACTTGGGGTAAAGTAGGAAGGCCCCATGGAAACAGTGGTATTATTTGTGCTAAGTTCAAGTCTAACCGCCCTCCCAAAACCCTGGTAATTGAGCAAGTTGTAATAGACTAAGTACTAATTAGCATTTTTTTATTAGTTTCGTTTGGTTCTGATTACTAAAAGATTAAATGAAAAGATAAAACAGAGCTCTGTTGATTTTTCTTGACAAGATGCATTGCTGGAGAAGTTTAGTGATGCTTGCTGACACTAATGTGTTCTTACATTATAGGTTCAATGTACTTCCTTAGAGCCTCTCTTAATTGACTTATTAAATGCGAAATAGAATTGTTTTTGGATATCAATTTGTAATCATCCTTTTAAAAATATGATTATTAAATGTTTTTGCTTATGAGCACCTTTGATTTGGTAGTTATGAAAACAGATTTGTTGCATAACTGCAGAAGCACAATGGTTTAAATAGGAAGTGGTGTCATCAGAAATTTATTAGATTCCTTACTTCTCTCTTGCTTGAAGTTGCCATCTTGAAAAACAAAGAGGACTACAGATAGGAGGGGACTTTTGCCATGCTTTCTTTCTTTAGTAGCCACTAAACAGTTTTCATTCAAGCTTTTTTTGTCTTTGAGAAACTTTATTTCCTTGATACTACTACCTGCAAAAAGAAGCCAAAAGTAATTTTGTTCTATGGTCTAAAATCTGGAATTGCTCTTTCTCTTTATTCAATCCCACCAGTGGCAAGAAAAAAGAAAAAAATCACAGAAGAAGATGAATTGTTGAATTTATGATAAGCAGTTTTAACTCTATAATAGCTTCTTTATCGTATTAAGTAATTGTAATACCAATTAGTGGTTGACGTTTTGACTTTTCTTGTTGACCATAGTGGTGTTTCCTCATTCAACCGTTTCATCCATGAGCTTTTTGTGAATTCTGATACTTCAAGTATAGACTATTCTTCCAGAGAAGACGATCTTGATGGAATATACCCTGCATCGCCATCATCTCATGTGTCAAAAACCTCCATAAAAATCACTCGCATCAATCATGATTGGCATTGGACAGACTGGATGGCATAAATATTTTCGTGGATTTTGTTACCTGCTAGGTTTCTGCTGGGGATACTGTTTCTTCTTTTCCTTTTGTTAATATTCGGGGATCAAAGACTTCTTTAGGTCCAGGAAGCCCCTGTCCTATGAATTTTCATTCCTTTAGGAAAGTGCACTCCACCAAGGACCATGTTGTTCACTGTACCACTGACAAGAGGCGTGGAGTCATTGAGGTTTCTGATGGAATAACATCTTATTGCCTCTTGAAGTTTTCTGTTTTCATTGCCCCATTATTTTCTGTTTTGCATTGCCTCATATTTTGCGAATATTTTCTCATAGCTTTTACTTACTCATCATGATGCTATGTCAATCAGGATCCTCATCTAGCAATTGAGATTTTCATAGAAGCTATATTTGATATGTTTCACAAGGCCGTGCATTGTGTGCTCTCCCCATCAGCAGTTTTCAGAATCTTTGTAAAATGGTTCTCATCTCCCAGTGCTGGTGTTAAGGATATTTGATCATGATGTCTTGAATGCTTCAGTTCCCACAGCTATTCTTGGAGATAATAATCCAGCTCTTACTGAAAGGAATCTTACTCTTCACCATGCTCTTAACACTGATGTGCGAACATGTCAGGATGTCATAACAGAGCTAGGGTAAGTGCAGTGTTATTTTCAATTTTTTTTCCTTTTTTTTTCTGTTTTTTTTTCCCGGGAATTTTACATATCATCTGTTGGTTTATTACCTCATCTTCCTGTTTAGGTACCAATATGAAGCTATTCATGTTATCACTGCAGATGGATATGTTCTGCTCTTGGAAAGAATACCAAGTTATAATAGTTTGTTTTCTTTTCAGATTATCACTTTTGAAGGCTATTGTTCTTGATACATATGGTATGATATTGCAAACGTGATGCACGGAAGGCTGTCTATCTACAGCACGGTATTTTGGATTCATCTATGGGGTTAGTAACAACCCGCAATCTGCCTACCACTCTGCTGTGATTTCTTTGCTGGTTGCTCACTTTGTTGGTTATGTATTACATTGAGCTACATGCTTGACGCTTTTATGAGGGGTTTTCGTATGTGGGTTCTGATTTTTCAGTTATCATTTGCCTGCAACTGCCATTATATTGATATTAGTGTTTTGCCAATGAGCAAACTTCCAAGAGTGGTTAATAGATAACTCTGAAGCATCAATTCTTAATGTTGGTTAGCATTATTAGACTGTCTTGTTGTTACTGGTGTATCGGATGAAGACATTATATGTATTTCGAAAATTTGGTTTCTCAAATAAATTATATTTGGGTCAATATTTAAATTATTAATACATAATTTTATTTTACTTTTATAATTAAATTATAAGTATATAATTTTATTTTATTTCTGCGTGAAGCGCGAGTTCCAAATCTAGTCAGTCAATATTAACTCAATAACCTACAAATATTAAATATTATTTTTACGCAAAATTTTAGAATCTAAAATCCATCTTATAAAAAAATTTTGTCCATCAATTCCATTGCATCTTAAAGCTTTTTTCCCCTTAAAACGAATTTCATTTGATTATTACTTTTTTAAGTTATTTTTTACTTTTAAAAGTAAAAAAAATTGAAATATATAAGAAAATAAAATGATTAATATATAAATGAGCTCTTATATTGTTCATCTTATATCAATTCGATATTTAAAAAATAAAATTTTTATTTTGATATTTTAATTTTTATTCTGTTAAGTATTTTAATACTTTATATAACTTTCGTAAAATGATTAATGTGATATAAATATTTAATAAAATATATTATATATTATAAATATTTAATTATAGTTATATCAGTAAAAAAGTTTAAAAAATAAAAATAAAAATTATCTTTAAAGTAAAAAATTTTTAAAAATGACATAAAAATATATAAAATAAAATATTCGTATCACATGTCATAATTTTATTGGATATTCAAATCACATAAATAATTTAATTATAATGTTAATTTAAAATACCAAAATATTTAACAGATAAAAATTTAAATACTAAAATAAAATTTTGATTTTTTTTAGATATTAAATGAATAAAATATATAATACAAAAACTATTTTTATATTTAACCCAAAATAAAAATCATTCCTCGTAATACCAATTTTAGCGGAGCCGGTGCAGTACTTTTTCCTAGTTCTTACCTTACCGCCTGTCCTCAACAAAACTTAATGATCCGATGATCCATCATTCATCATATATTGCCGTCACATCTGAGCCACTTAAATTAGGGTTCATCCAACCACCAACCTTTCAGAGCAATGAAACCCTATCCCAAAACAGTTTCAATTTTCGACAGTAGTATAAAGCATAAACCTCTTCCCCTCTCCCTGTCCCTCTCAGTTTTGGGCGACCAAAGGAAAATTTTGAAAAAAGAAAAAAAAAGAAAAAGAAGAGGCATATTTCAGGTTTTTGCGTGAATCTAATAAAACCGTGAGCCACAAAAAATCTGGAGTGGGAGGGTGGATTTGTTTCATGTTAGATTCACGCACAAACTCGTAATCTGTCTTTTCATCTCTCTTCCTTTTCATCCTTTCCTTATCGTTCCTCCAAGTCGTTGTCTGTCCATTTTTTTTGTCCCAAATGAATTGCCAATTTTTGGAGAACAAAAAGAAAAAAATATATATTAGCTGCTGTTGTGAAGCCCGCCTGCTGTGTCAAAGAAGCAGTAACGCTCTAAAATTTCAAGGTAATGATGTCAATTTTAGATTAAATTTGAGTAATTACTGAAATAGTGAGCTTGTTTTGAGGAATTATTCCATCATTTTGATTTGTTATGTTAGGAAAAAAACTTTAATCAAACTATTATTAAAAGGAAAAGGGTTAAAAAGAGGTAATTGAAAAAAGGGTTAGACTTTCCTAGAAGTAGTACCAGCTGAACACCATACAAATTCACCGCAAATTAGGTACATGAACTTTGTTGGAAAACTGATATTTTATTTCCATCCTCTTATAATCCCGGCACTGAATTCCCTTTTCTTTGAAAGCTTGGGACAAGTCGAAGGAAGAATTGGTTCTGATAATTGCCTTAATTCATCTTAGTTATGTAATTCCTCAAAATCTTGTTGGCCTGCAGTTGGGCGTACCATGTCACGAAATCTTCAAAATTTTAGGGTGTCTTTTATACTATCTGAATCATGTTCAAGTGGTTTCGGATGAAAATTTGTTGGTTGTACCTTTGGGATTGTGATTGTGATTGGAGGAAATATATAGGAATGGAGCCAACTAGCTTCATTGAAGTATGGTTGGGGATTTAAAATTAAACCCTGAATGGAAACTGGTACTTGTAGTATGGTTGATCGGTTTGGATCCCACCTCTCTTTTCCAAGTGTTTAAGATGCTGAGGCCACTCTTACCACTTATGTAAATGTTAGGGTTCATGTGCCAGTTGTTTCTAAGATATTAAACATTAAACAACTCTAGGAGGAACATCTGGATTAATGCTTGGAAAGTGCATATCAAAGTAGAAGGGGCCATATTTATAAGGGGTGTCACCAGGACCTACAATTACTGCTTCATAAGGACAACTCTTGTCTCGAAATCCCTAACAAAATAGAATCTGGGAGGCTTTAGTCAGTGTTCTCCGTTCTTTGTTTATCCTTCTCTCCAGATGGCTACTAACCGCAATGTGCTGTAAATTGATAAAGTAGTGATCCTTTGGTGGATCTTTGATAATATCAAAGTTCTTGAACTCTTTGAAGTCCATCTCGTGCCTCTTCAACATTCTTAGCCCTGTGTTCCCACCATTTATCTGCATTGACATGTTAAGTTTTTATTTTGAGTTGATTGTTTTGATGTTTGAATAGAATTCTAATACCAATATATAACTCAAATTTAATGTAATCAGAATGTGCAACCTGATTGAAATATGTCACTTTACCCTTTTTTCCTTGGCTTGAAAAGTCATTTTGCCTGAGCTACATACTTTTTTTTTTTTTTTCGTATCTGTAGTGTTTATTTTTTGTATCTATAGTGTTTTGAATCCTACATCGTAAAGGAAAATACTTATTTTATTTTAATTTTTTTTTCTCATAAGGAATATTCATTAATGTGCACTAACAACTCTGTTTTTTCTATTTTGGGTGATTTTCACCCTTTAATGGTATTAGTGGTTTTTTCTTTTTAATATCATACATGATGTAACACCTATGGTTAGCCATTTAGGGCAAAATTTAATGCAAGCTCTGTCAATATTTCATTAAATGCAGATTCTTGTCCAGGCTTAGTGCAATTACAAATGTGGTAGTAACTAAAAGCTAGAAATTAATGGTGCTGCAAGCGACATTAAGAAAATTTCTTCTCTGACCATTCATAGACTTGGTATAAATAGCTTAAATATGAACATTTAGTTAGAATTCCATAACAGATGATGTTTGCTATTTAGTTGCCTCAGTTTGCTTCCAGCAATACTTTCTTCATGCCTTAATTTGATGAAGAAAGCAGAAAGGTTAAACATATCCTGTTGTGGCTGATTTATTGCTGACATTGAACACCTCGTGATTCTCTATTATTGATACCTGAAGTTAACATATGAAACAGGGGAGTTATTTATGTTCCATGGCTGTTTCGAATCTGTGGTTTCAGCAAAAACGGCTTCCATAATCTAGGGTGTTTGAGCCGTGAGGTGCTCTCAGACATCCTGGGCTCATGGCCTTAGCCACCCAGGTTCTCTCTTCTCCTTATTCATAAAGTCTGTTTTACTTATTGGTATTAATCTTGGTGTCGTTCTGAAAATTGACCCTGTCCGCTTGGAGATAGTTCAAGTTAAAGTATATATTTTGCCTGATTAGGAAGATTTTGAATAGAATAGGTGATATAATATGGTAGATTTTAAAGTTCTCACTTTTGTCAAAATCTACAAGGGCTGTATAACCTAAAAACACCTAGTTTATTTACATGCCAATTATGCCATACTAGCAACTAGAGTTCGCATTCTTTATAATCCTTCGTCTGGTCTCTTGAATACTAGAGGGGACTCACTTTCCAATTTTCTCTTATCAATAAGCAGTAAGACTGGCTAGGTACACTGTTTCCAACCCAAAAGGGTGTTTCAATGCAATGCAGAAAGACTGATGGAGCTATGGACTAACGGTGTGTAAATCTAGTTCAGATGTACTGAAAAATAAAATCTATTTCAGCCCTGTTATTTTAATGCCTGTTTCCGAATAATCGGTAGAAATATCCAACCAATTCTTAAGCTGGCCACCTTCGTATTACTTGGACCAGGTACCGGGTAGGATTTGAGAAGGCGTTAAGCAGGTGCAGCCTATCCAGTCTGTGACTTTCGGTTATCCAAGTGCACATAAGCATGAGGCAAGTTATTTGTAACCTTTGGGAACTGAATTTTGGTAGGTCTTTTTTTGTGAATTGAGGACGCTTTATGTAGGTTCCAACAATTTACCAGGACTCAAATAAAGCTTATTTCTTGGTTTATGTTCCAACTTTATTAAAAGCTAGTTCATATTCTTCTATGCACTAGGCAAATTTAACTGTTACCTGATGTTTGAGTCGAAGCACCGAAAGAAAATATAAATGAAAAAGAACGAGTGGGTCAGGGAGACCTACTTGCTCCAGAAAAGATCTATATGGCCGGGCAAAGCAGAATCATAGCGACAAAGGCATAGACAGGACAGGATCATTCCCTTATGATATTACTGATATCAGCATTGTTTCAAGATTTGGAACACTTCCAATGACAAATCAACGCATCAAAGTGGGGCATTGCATTATTTAGCTTTTATACGCAATATCAAGTTAAACTAATTTAAAATGTTAACCGTTGCCTTAAAAAATAGCGTGTGATAATTTGGACAAAAAGTCTCTCAAAGTTGTGAAATGGTTTCTCATCGATTTAAGAACTTGAAAAAATAAGGCAATGGATTCAAAAAATTAAAACTTGGCATAATACCTCAGTTGAAATTGAGTGAGAGAATAGCTGGCAAACTCCATGATGGTGATGATGAAGAAATCGAAGACGATTTTAGTTCTGAAACAAAAATGAATGTGGAAAGACTCAATTCAGACCGACAATCCGGTTAGCAATCTAAGCCAAATTTTCCAATTGAGATGCAATCATGCAAAATGTGTCGGCACCAACCAAGTAGAAAGAAGGTAATTAGCTGCAAATGCAATCCGGATTAAAATGGGACCAGCCTATGGAGTATGGACCAATGTCCTTCCTTTGACCATGTTTTGTAATTTTCAGATTTCGTACACATCAATCGTTCGTTTGAGAACGCTGAAAATGGAGAAGTAGCAGTAGTATCAAACCACTAACCCAATGTTTACTGTCGGCAAATTTGTTTTTATTTTCCTTGTCAAAAACTAAAATGTAGTAGTCTATTTTCTCGTGGTAATAGAATAACTGGCTGTGTCACGTTCAAACTTTCTTACTATAAATAAATATATATATATATATATATTATTCTCTCACTAATCAAATTTTCTTGAGAAATATCAGAAATTTTCCTACACTGGATTCAATGTTTCTTATCTATTCAGCGCTTTTTTTTTTTGTTATATGTGATAGTCAAATTGAGACATCCTCCGATAGGGCAGTCTTATCTCTGGTATAGACACAACAGAGGGTGACAAGGAGACAGTAGAAGATGAGCATGATGTTATTCTCCATAGGATTCCAGTATCATCAACAAGATTTCAGCAACAAACGTTAAATTTTGGAGATTTGTCCCTTTCCCTTTGACTCTCTCTTCTCTTAATTTCCCAAGTTATATATATATACACACACACATATAACCACGTTGAACACGCTAAAACCCTAATGTCTTTACTTTGGCCATGCCATGTGCACCTTTCATCTCTACTTTTGATCTGAATAAATCCTCTAATGGGTTCAAGATTGATGACTCACAAAAAGACGAAACTAAAAAGTTATATCTCATTCACGAGTCAGATATACCAGTGGAAGCTCCCTTCCGCTGCCTCAATTACGTCAATCTTCTAGAAAGTCTACTCTCTGAGTGAAAGAAAAGTGAGGGAATTAATTATATATTATCCTTAACTAATTATGTTTTCATTGTTGATTTATTAAAATCTAAATCTAGTCATGGAAAAGGATACGTTCACGGCTTTGTTTTAAGTTGGTGACTTTTTTTTAATTAAAGTTATTTGGTTAGGTGTGTTAAGAAATCTGTTAATGTATAAAAAAAAATTTAATCATCCAACAAACATATATCTATAGGAATTTTTAGCTTATGACCCGTCAATAATGGACAGCTTATATAATAATATTATTATTTGAATATAAATCCATTACAAGTTGCCTACGTTTTAGGTAAAGAGATTCTCCATTCATTTCTTGATTTTTTTTTTTTAATAAATTCATTTCTTGAAATCTTAACTTCAAATATTGAGATAATAGGCAGAATAAAATTTAGAACTGTCAATGGGAAACAACCATTTTATTAACCACTGTTAACTTTTTAGCTTTAGCACATAACTTGATGAACCATCACAATTTTTTTATATTTATGTGGAACATATTAATAGACATTCATACCAACTAACCATATGTTAAAAATTAAATTTAAACTGATGACACGAGGATTTTTAATTCTATGCTCTATCAAGTTAGTTGCCTCAAATATTAACAAAGCATTATTCTCAAAATATCATATAATTCGGGTTTATTTGAATTAAAAATATTAAAATTGATTGAATATATATATATATATATATGTATCATGTATTTTTTTTTTATATATCGACCATGCAAACTTTCATTGATGATGAATCACAAAATTTGTATCATTGCTTGACTCCTCTCATCGTGTCGCATTCTTTTATTTGGACATGCAGGCAAGATGTATATATAAAGAACATTAAATTAAACTCAGCAAAAAAACAAACCAAAAACGAAGCATCAATATTCAAAGATTTGACCAAAAACTGCAAGAATATGTATTATATAAAAATGGGATGCGTCTGAATACGTAGCGGAGACTCGTGACTGTAGTCAAATTTTGGGCTTCGAGTCCAAAAACTAGGCTGGTAATGGAAGATGGCGACTTGGCAGAACAAAACAAAACAACTTTTAATAATTAAAAAAAAAAAAAGAGTAAAAATAGTGTATATATTTTGTTTCTTTTTTGAGCTCCCAAACGTATCCGAGAAGGAAACACTAGTCAAAATATTAATCAAAGAGAGAAACAGCTTCCCACTAGCATGCATATAAATATACAGATAATACCCATAGAATAAAGAACACGAGATCTTTAGAGCGTGTATCGAAAGCAAACCAACCTCTCCCAATAATATTCCAAAACCGCGTACAAACTTGCCCTCCCTTCACTTTCTATATGGAGGAGTTTACACTTGTTCTAAGCCTTTTTAATGAGTTTTTTTTTTAGCTTGTAAATGTTATATAATTTTATTATTAGCATGAATTATATTAATATCAAGACAAATGAAAAAATAAAGGAGAAATTTGCCAAAACAAGGCTATGGCAAAAACATGAGCGGTCCAATTAAAATGATCCAATTAACGTGATTGGAGAGGAGAACATACATTTTTTGGCTTATAAGCCAAACTCACGGCACTATCATGGGCACGTGCTTCCAGATGTCATCATCTTCACTCAAATCTCAGCCCTTGGATCAACCACGTGGATGTTGGCGGCGCCCCCCAAAAAGAAAAGGCGGGTCCCATAAATGCAAACCCCGTAGAAAAACAACACGTGTGCGATTGAGAAAGGTGACGAAAGACTCCAACGTTCGCGCCCATCGGTGTCCGCGCCTCAATGGGGACAGCCGGTCCGTGTATCGTGGCCTGCTTTAGTTTAGTTTCACTGAAAAAACCCTAAAAAACAATAAAAGCGTTCGATAAAGTGAACGACTCAACATTGATTTTCGGCTTATGGCAAATCTTCGGTTTGGACTTTACATGACAAATCTTGTTTCTACCCTAAATTCTTGTCTCTTCGATCTCCTTATGAACAAAAAAAAAAAAAAAGGAAAACTAGAATTATGTAGGTGATTAATTATGTGGGTATTTGTTTCTCTTGTTGGATAATGTGTGAGTAGTTTTCTTTTTTAAGTTAAACTTTAAAATTAAGTTGATTATAATATGGTATTGTATTGGATGACCATTAATGCCGTATCCCTACTGAAAGCTACAAGTGGATAAGAGTGTTGTTTGGGACTACAGAGGGACAATTATTTCATGCAATAAATAGGGTACTTATATGTGTTTTTTTGTACAAATCTCAGTCACCTAACTAGTCGTCTCGTACCTTTCACGAGAGAGTTGGTGGGAGTAGTTAACATGGAATCAAGTGGAGAAGACAGAAAAATGACTCATTATTTTGGGTTTTCTCTTGCATCAATAACACTTTCGTTTGTTAAATTTCTTTCCTCAATCAACACGAAGTACGCATCTCACTTAGTACTTATATATTTATCCAACATTCACTTATAACTTTTTTTTTTTTTTTATGAGATTTACATGTTTGGTGAGATACTCATCCGGTTTGTTCTTTTCTTTGATTTTAGGCAAAAATAATTTTTGTTGCCATCAATTCTTAGTTGAGTTAAGTTGATTTTTTTAATCTCAAATCATGTCAATTCATTATATTTTTTTCTTTTATAAATAAATTATAGTTTAAAATTAAAATTATAAATTATAAAGATTTAAATTTAAATTTTAAATATTATTTTTTAAAATAATTATATAAGTTAATTGAATTAAATTTTAAATTCAATTATATTTGATTTTAATTATAATAAAAAGGTGCAAACATGAAAAAAATAAAAATAAAAGGCCCTCTGTCATCTTTATCCTTCCAACAAGGATGCAATTGATGTTTCAACGGAAAACATGGGGATGAAAAGAAAATCTAACGATGGGTATTACTAAGGTGTGCAAGAGAGAGTATTTTATGTAGTATCCGAATTTACTGAAAAAAAAATGATGTGTGAAAAAAAACAAGCAAAATTAACCGTTACCCAAAAAAGTTAAAAACCGAATTATTGCAGCATGCAAAGGTAAGTCCAGCTTACACGCAAATTATATCAGCGTGCTATCCATCCATCACTTTGCACTTGTATTGTGTGTGCCTCATGCTACACTGCACGTGCATTATATTTCTTTCCACCCCAATACCTAAAGCCAAAAGCAAGATAATTCTCTGATCTTCTTCTTTTGCCTTTTGCATAGGGATTTTCCCTCGCTGTAAAAGAAAAGGTAGCCATTATCACCGACTTGAATAAGTGAACATTGAGCATATATGCAAATATTTATGATTCCATTTCACACCTCTAAGTTGAATCTTTCCTAGTTTTCAGGTTCTTTGTAACCTGACAAAGTTGTGATATTTCAAGCCACTATTTCCAGCCGGTTTAGTCCAATTCTAATCCGCAACCCAATGAGAGACGCTTTCAAACTTTAGAAGGTTCAATCCTTGATGTTCACTTCAACTATTAAGAATTCAGTATTTTAATAACCTTTGCACAAAAGATTAGTCCAATTGAAGAAGAGAATAATTTTTAGTTTTTTATCAATTAATATTCGATACTCTTATATTAAGTTGATATGAAAAAAGCATGATTAAAATTATTCAAAAAGAAAATTAGATTCAAAGAAAAGCTGATGATACCTCTAATTAATCACATTAAAAAAATTAATCTCTCAATTAACTTTTCAAAAGAAAGGGTTCATAATTTGTAGATATGAAAATTAAGGAATAAGCTTAAACTTAAAACTTTCGTTTTAAAAAATTGAGATGTGATCATAAGAGAAATTAAATGTTCAACAACGGATGTTCCATGCTTTTGATAATTTAACTATGTCATGGTTGAAATCGTTCAAAAGGTAGAATCAACTTGGACTAGACTATAACATTTTTGTATCATCAAGAATGGAATGACCCTTTGATAGAACTTAGTCCCTACATTATCTTTTTGTTTAATTACAAGACGAAAGTCCCATTCACTTTATTAATTATCTATTAAGCTAAACATTAAATTAATACGTTATCTTATCCTCTTAAACCGAAATTCGCCACCATACACGTTGCTCATTTTATCAAAAGGAAAAAAAAAAATCACTACTTAATTAAAAAATAATGAGAATATCTGATAAATATAAAAGTGATTTTATGAAAATTTCCCCATTCAAGTGTTTTTTTTTTTTTAAATAGAGTCGTGATGGTAGTTTTTTTTTGCTCTCAGAATGAACAATGTCTCGTAAAAAGTGCAATTTAATAATTTTGTCTCAACATGTTCATCCGTTGCATCAACACCAATTATTGAATCAATAATTTTTCAAACTTTTTAGTAAATTTTCTCTTCATTTTAGTGTTCCAAGTTTTTTTTTTTTTTTTAATTCACACGTGCAAACACGATTGCACGAACACATGCAAAGGAACATGAACAACGGAGCGAGTTTAGTTTATAGACCCAAAGCAAAGGACTTTACGCCGTAAGAATCTCACGTGGAGGGGAACTCCGTTCACACTGTGAACCAGTTCAAACTGGTCAAACTCTACGTATGAAAGCGTCGACCACACTGTAGTACCAACGATTAGCTCATGCATCGAATGACAACTGGCTCTGTTGAATATCCGTACAAAAATATGACCTACAATTGCCGGTCCATCCTTTATTTGTTTTTGTTGCCACTTTGCCGACCCCGCATTATAGCTAGCTCTCTCAGTCTCTCCCCTCCATTTCCCTATGGCCAAAAACTCACTTTCTTCTAAACCTAAAACTCTCTATCTCCATCTTTCACCAACCTTATAAATCAGATCAAACCCTACTCCGCTCTTTCTTTTGTTCTTTCTTTCTTTCTCTGGTGAGTGCAATTCTTTTATGAAGAGAAATTGGAGTGTTTTTTATTGATCCATGGAGATAAAAGAGGGTGTAAAGATGGAAGATGCATCGGGAAACTCATCGTTTTCTGATTACATAGCGAATTGTTTCCCAGTACAAAGTATATTTGATTTGAGTAGCGAAGGAGAGAAGAACTCATTAGGGTTTATGGAATTGCTGGGTGTTCAAGACTTGTTCAGTCCTCCTTTATTTGATATGGCAGCACAGCAGGTTCCATCTCTAATTGCAACCCAACCACCGAATCCTACTTCGACGACGAAGATCGAGTCTCCTGAGGTTTTTAATCAGCCTGCTACTCCTAACTCTTCCTCGATTTCATCAGCATCAAGTGAGGCTGTCAATGATGAACCTATTAAAGTAGATGACCAAGAAGAAGACCAGCAAAAAACCAAGAAACAGTGAGTTGTTTTTTCTCTTTTTATTTTATTTTTTTAATTTTGTACTCCTTTTCCTTTTTTTTTAAGAGAGAGAGAAAGAAATCCGTGGGAGAAACGACTAAGACAAAGATGGGTCTTTTATGTCTATATATGTTTAAGTTTCTGTTTAGGTTTACTGTTAAACAGAAACCCCATTTGGAAACTAATTTGGAAAAGAAAAGAGGTTTTTGTTTTTCATCAAAGAGATTTGAAGCTGATGAAGATTTTTTGGATTTTTTTTTTTTTGGCTTTTGACGTTTGTGATGATGGTGGGTCTAGGTTGAAACCCAAGAAGACAACTCAGAAGAGACAGAGAGAGCCGAGATTCGCGTTCATGACAAAGAGCGAGGTTGATCATTTGGAAGATGGGTACAGATGGAGAAAGTACGGCCAAAAAGCTGTAAAAAACAGTGCCTTTCCTAGGTACTAACTTCAAAGCTCAAACTTTAACCCATTTCAGTCCCCTCATTCTGTATGCTATTCTGTCACCAATTTGGATAAAATTTCAGACAACAAGTTTGATGTGTTAATTTGCACTGTTTAATTTTCCTAGGAGCTATTATCGTTGCACCACCGCCTCATGTAATGTGAAGAAAAGAGTTGAGAGATCTTTCAGTGATCCAAGCATTGTGGTAACCACTTACGAAGGCCAACACACTCACCCCAGCCCAGTCATACCTCGTCCAAGTCTTGGTGGTGCTTATCTGAGTTCAGGCATCTCCGCCCGAGCCGCAGCAACTTTTGGTATGCCAACGCATAGGACACCTCCATCTCACTGTCCGCAGCATCAACAGCCATTTGCCAATAGCTTGTCTCCTTTGAACTCGGGCCATAATGTTTCCATTAACGCCAGTTTTCTTCATGAGAGGCGTTTTTGCACCCCAGGATCGTCTTTGCTTAAAGACCATGGCCTTCTTCAGGACATTTTACCATTACATATGCTGAAAGAAGAGTAGCTTAGAACACCCATTACCGCTATATATGTAATTCTCTCACTGACTTGAGGTGAAAGGAGGTGTAGATGAAATGATCAGTTCGCTGGTATGTAATTTTCTTGCTTACAGGTGGCGATTTCTCTTGTATAAGGAACCCGCTGCCCATTCGCACAAACCTTGATGAATATTACTGTAACTTGGTTTTACTTTTTGTTCCAATGCAAGAATTAGTTTCTTATTTGGGGCTGGTTTTTTCATTTTTGCCTCATTTGATGGTTCTGGATATGTAGATATTATACACCACGGAAATTTGGTTCTTTCTTCTTTAATTCTTCTGACCCCTCGTTTGTCCTATATCTTTGTTTTTGTTGTTGAAGGAATGTGCATTGATTCCCACTGAAAGTGCTGCAGTCGAGATTTTGAGAGCTAGCTAGGGTTCTTCAGAGAACAATTAATGTGGAAGCTAGAGAGCTTTCTATTTGCTTGTGAATAACCGAAATCCAAAAGTTTCGTAGCACTGATGAGGGCCTGCAAAGTGTAAGAATTTGGTGAGAAAGAAAATTAATGTGCAGTATCTAAATATGATTGGGGTAGATGGAACATTAACTGCAACTAGACTTTATTTTTTGCCTGAGTTACATAATTACCTATACTTTTCTTGCGTCTATGTTATAGATTTGGTTCATTGAATGGTTGGATGGGGATTCAATGTATTGTATAAGAGGGAGTTGAAAGCTATTTACATGGACATGCACTGTATGGGACATGATTCTTTTATTCTGCTATCATGGGGCTGAATTTCAAATCGCTATCCACGGCTTCTTTGCAGTTGTATGTCTACTGGCCATGTGAATTTGTCACTGTTAAGAATATATTGTTGCCAGGTTGATCATTGGGAAAATGGTGACGAATGCAAATCGAAAATCAGCTGCCCTTCATGTGGCATAAAGAATAACCTCGAGCCTCTTGTTGGTTAGATAATCCACTCCGTGATTCCTAGGACCTACCACCGCCCGCCCAGGCTTGTTACTTTATTACACTGTAATAATGTATAATGACCATTTTATCCCAGTTAAGAAATTAGTCGCAGCAACATTGCTGAGTGCTCGCAGGACCTAGGCCTATCTCAGGTAACGGTATAGTTATCCTCAGGCTGCAATTAATTCATAGGTTTCCAAAGGGTTAAAATATGACGTGGGACTAGTGTTCGGCCTAACAATAACCCTTTAGGAAATTCCTATGTAACAAGAACCTAAAATATCAAGAAGGAATCTTGGTCTGATAGCAGTTTCATTTCCACATGCTTCTGAGAACATGGCCATTTCCAAACAAACTCACCCGCAATGGGTTTAGGAGGTAAAAACATAGAAACCGCCTTGCATAGCTTTAAATTTCCATATTCGTTCTGTACAATGTACGTTTAAAGCTTCAATAAAAGAACATATAGCAACAGATCCTAACATTCAATCTAGAATTATAAATCTTGTGTACATAAGTAAACAAAAACAAATGTCAGTATTTCACTAATGGTTAAAAAAAAAAAAAAAAAAAAAAACCTTACTTTTCAATTTACACTCATATAAATCCTTTAACTTTTAATTTATATCCAAATAAATTTTTTAACTTTTAATTTATAAATAAATAAACCTTTAATATAAATCAATCTTTCTTTTGAAATAAAAGCTTATTTGGATACAAATTAAAAGATAAAAGTTTATTTTAATACAATAAAAATATTGAGGCTTATGTAATAAATATGAAATCGCTCAAAAGCATTTTTTTATATTTTAGCCTTCACTGATTCACTAACAGGATTGTAATTACATGATCATCCTGCCTAAAAGTTATCCTACAAGCATTTAACCACTTTAAGCCAGAAAACAAGAGATAGAAGGAAGTCGATTAATAATAAATAGTAATTATTATGTATATGAAACAAAGCTTATATAGCCTAATAACAACTAGATGATGTCCCGGAATGGATCACTCAGAAAGCAATCACAGCAGCATCCCTTCACCTGAGTCTAATACATGCTTTACAAAGCTGCAAAGTAAAATTCTTAATTAAATGACCCTGCTTCGTGTGCTTGTTTTTGAGAGTGAACAACTGTAAATAAAGGAAAAACAATGAACAATGCAAACAGACATAATCTTTGAAAATTCCTTGTGCTTCCTTAAAAAATCTTCACTCTACCAAAATTTATCAAAATGGAGCCTAAGTTTTAGCTACTCAAACTACAAATTAAGAGAGAGAAGACTGAGATTGTAGAGGACAGTGACTGTCGTAAAGTTTGCACATGTGCCCGATCTACATGTCTTTCTTACTATCATCACAAATAGCAACTCATTTATGGAATGAAACAAGCATGCGAGGCTAGAGAAAATGCACAACCAGAAACTTATGCGACATTCAAATTCAATCAGAATGAGTAATTAATATGCTGGCACCTGATACAGTTAAACACAAGTTGGATCAACAACCGGACTTGTTTCTGTCTTGATTTGCAAATGGTCCTGTCCCTGGAAAATCAGAATATATTGAACTTAAGCAAATCGTACCTTCATCTAGAAATGCCATAAAAAGATAACAGAGTACGACATGAAGTATCCACAGAGGCCACACACATGAAAGAGATTCTTTGAGTTAATTAAAACATCCATCTAAGTTACTCATCAGTTACTTTTATTACGTCTATGAAAAAACTGTGCAATGCGAAAAATGAAATATTAAGAATATGGTTAAAGAAAATAAGTACAAATTCTGACCACTGTAGACAAATGTTGGACTTTAAGTTTCTGATGCGTGAGACAGGTTTGAACCTGCAGCTCTTGATTTTGAGAAACTCTTTCTGTAGGGGCAGTTGAGTGAGAATAAAGCTGTTGGCCAGGATTTTGCAGATTTTCCTGCTTCTGCAACAGTTTCTCAAATAAAATGAATTCCTCTGGCTTATTCCACTGCAACAGAATTTAATATAGATAGCTCAAATCATTTGGAAAGAATATTTACAAATTACAAAATGCAACAATGATATATAAGGAAGGAAACTTACTCTGCTTTCACAAGTGACACAATTATAGTAATACTTGTGTCCATCTGGGCAGGTGTGCTCGCTCCAGTCACACTCAAGTGGAGCCACTGTCTCCAGACTTTGGGGTATTGTAGGTGCAACTGAAGTAGCAGCAACTGTTTGGCTACCTCCAGTCCGTGGAGACTGGAGAAATATGTTACATTCGAGTCAAATATTCAATTAACAGCGTGCCATCAAGAGGGGGGGTGGAGAATTAATAGAGAGAAGGAAATCAAAAGATACTAATGTCAACACTTTTGAAGTGAATCCTATTGACAGGAGTCTGCATGGGCATTTCTGGTCAGGAGGTATCATAAAAAAATATTCTTCAAAAAATGAAGAACAAATATGTAATGACGCAAATGACGTGAGAGTTACATCTGTTCTTTGACTAGAACTCATACCTTTAGCTTGGGTACATTTGAATTCTGCTGGCATAAAATTTGAGATGATGCCGGTATCAAAGGTACTAGTTTCTGCCCAGAGACAGGTTGGTGAGATGACTGAGAACTTTCCTGTGGAGTTTGTGTTTGCTGTAATGGCAAGGAAGTTGGCTGTGATTGTGCTTGCTGTCCTGGAAGATATGATTGATAAGTAACATGAGATGCAACAATTTCAGGGTTTGCCCAATGAGAAACACCCTGTGGTTGTGAATTTGTTAAAATGTGTTGCACAGGATATGATGCATTGGGTGGTATACGCCCTGCCATTGGATCACCAAGATTAGGTACAGATCTGGAACAAGTTAACCACAAAATAAACACTGTCAAATGGATTGGACATGAATAACATGAATAACATGTTAAAAGGTAATAGACAAATTAAGGGGAGGGAATTTGCCTCATAGCCAACTCTTGAGGATGGGAGCCAGAAGTTATGCCATTAAATGGATAATTAACCCTGGAAAGAAAGCAAGTTGGAGGAAAGTGTTAACATAGATGACTTAGTTGTATTAAAGCATGCAGCAGAAAGGCCAATGAAACAAAAAATCATGTTTCCATAATTCCATCAATAAAACTCAACATATGCTTTTGATTCTGTTCAACTTATAAATACACACCAAAGACTTCAATTTTGATCTTTCTTGGCTTCAAGTACACCAACCTCCAATCAGAAAGTTATTGACCAAATTACTAATGAGTTTTGATGTATTTATTTCAATCAAATATAGTAGAATCAACACTGCCTAATAGGTTTTGCTTCATAGCAGGTTGATATAATCTCCAACTAGAAAGCCTGATAGGAATGTTCATAAACAGACCTTAAAGTATGTATATTTTACAACTTGAGAACCCAAGAAATGTCAATCAGTTAAATGGTCAATCTCTGGCAAGAATAAAAATGTAATTCATTCATAATCTGTTAGTAACGCAAAAAGCATCAATTAATGCTCTCACTATTATGAAATAAAAACAAAGTATCCAGGAAGAAACCTTGGTTCTCCAATCCTGGGTCTTTTTGGAATTGCAAATCGAACAATCAATGGCTGGTCACAACCCTAAAAGAGGGCAGTGGGACGAAAACAAGCAACTGAATCAGTACTCTTCATTAGATTATGCAGAAAAGTTGTACTTGAAAAAATGATAATTAATAAGCATTACTTTCATAGTGAAAATTTCATTTAATCCTTTGATTGCTGCCAGAGCCATTTCTCTACGAGAAAATTGAATAAATCCGCATCCTTCAGAAAAGCATAGAAATCCACTTCAGAAGCAGGTATACTGAAAGCTTGATAACAGCCACTAACAATAGACATGATTCAACTAGAAGAAACGGAGTTGAAACACGCATAGCCAAAGAAGTCAAGACAAGATGATAAAGCAAAGGGGTGATAAGTTCTAATCTTAGGACAAGCTTTTGACAAGAACTTTTTAGGTCTATAGAAGAACCATAGATAACAATAACATCACAGCAAAAATTAATAATGATGCCTATGTTTCTTAAAACAAATGCAAAGCATCATCATGATGCTATATACTCATTTAGATTAATCAAAGTGGCAACAAACAGATATATTTAAAAAAAAAAAGAAAGAAAAAGGGCAATGATTAAGCAATGCTGGGATCTGGGAATTTTTGTGTCCTAAGTGTCGGATGACCAATTTAGTCAAAGGAATTGTCCTAAGAAACAAAAGGATAAGATAACTAGATACAAATTCAAATTCCAATCATAAGCCTGGAGCTAATTTGAAGGAAACACATTGGCATATAAATGAAATTATCATCTAGCAGCATGTCCATTCTAACCAAGCATGTTTGGAAATTACCGTTGAGAAAGAGACAAATAAGAAGGATAAGAACAAACCACGGTTTTCCCTGTGCTCATCACGCACGATGTAGATGTCTACAACATGACCATAAGGTGAAAATATCTGAGAGAAGAAATATTCAGTGAAAACCTCACAAAAATAATTAAGAAAATATAATATAACCAAAGTTGACTTCGAGAAAGAATAGAGAGGATATTGTAAGTATTGAGATGAGAATGACCAAAATCAACAAAGAGATAACAGCAATTTGGCAGACAGGGTTACCATCTAATGCAGGATGCAGCACAATGTGACTCACGATGTAAAGAATTAACATGCATGCACATAGATTTATTCAAATAAGCAACCTACGAGAATAGTATTAGTCTATTACCTAACACTGTGAATTATGCTAATGGAAACTATCATGCTTGCATTGCATTCACATGAATGCAAGCAAGTACAATTGCAGAATATTATTACCAATGGGCTGCTTCATCACACGTAACACACAACTTCTTATGGCCAAACATAAACAGAAGATACTTCTCAATCTGAAAGGGTTAAGTCAATGCTAATGAAATACATGGCATATACATTTGGTAATTGCTAAATCCTTGGGCATGATAGAAGTGTCCATACCCCCCCTGCCCCCTCTTTCTCAAGTCTCTCATAAATGGAATTGTTTTGTACAGATGCAACCAAACTGAGCATGAGCTCTCAGTCGATACAGAACATACTTCTTCAATCTCCCTTTTTGAAGCTTGTTTGTTTAAGCAACCCACATATAATTTGTCTGGAAGTAGCCCTACCACACAAACAACAAAAAGCACTCAGAATAGATAAACACAAAGAAGGAAAGCAAAATAATATTACAATTTTAAAATAATTACACTTATCAAAATATTTAGAAAAGTAACAAAAGCAAATAGCAATATCCATCACGATGTGAAAGCTAGCAGCCTTCTCTCATGAAGGTTTCCTTTCCCTTTTTTTCTTTTGGAGGGGGAGTGGTGCATGTAAACTGTTTGCTCACAGCAAGATTAAAAGTATGTTAAAGTAATTTTATTTGGTCAATCTACAGAAGCAAAAAGATTAAAGAGGACTCTTCTCACAAAGGATAAAGCCTACTCAATTTGCAGAGATTTCTTTCCCCTTTTTTTTCTTTTAAAGGGGAGTGGTGCATGTAAACTGTTTGCTTGCAGAAAGAAACCTCATTAAAAGTATGTTAACGTAATATTACTTGGTCAATCTACAGAAGCAAAAAGATTACAGAGGACTCATATCACAAAGGATATAACCTACTCAATTTGTAGAGACAGCTAATAAGTAGCACTCTAACTTCCTGAAACTGCTCATTTTGGCAACCAAATTCACCATACTACTCTATGCATTCCTCTTTGGCACCGTGTAGAGAATCATTACCTTTTTTCTAAATGTAAAGTCAATCAAACAATAGGATACTTGTAAAAATTATAAAGGGAGCGCATTAAGCCAAACAAAGATTTCATACTCTCCATGGACATGAAGAATAAGTTTATCCACAAAACAACCACAATTCATGCATAACATGTTCCATATCCATATTTCTATAAATCAAGAAGCATTCAGCATCAATCTTTTCGACTGGGGCCACCAGGAGAGTATTTCAAACAAGCTTAAAGTTCAAATTCCAAGTAGTTTCAAGGTACAAGCAGAAAAGTCTTTTATGTTCATTCAGTTATGCTCATTCATAATACGCACCGTTGTGAACATAATTATATTGTCTAGCAGAATTTAACAGTTAAATATGTCAAATGTTGACTGGATTTTCAAGGGGTTGAATGCAATATATAATATATTGAGCACAGGTCTAAAAACAATACATATAAGTTCCAATAGTAAAAACTTACCAAGACGATCTCGTTCAGCATCAGCGTATCTGACTTTGACAGTACTCAATTCCTGGAAAAGCCAATTTACTAAAAAGTAAACCACTAACGACAAAACTGTAACCAACATCCATGGAAGATTCCTTTACTAGATTGCAACTAAAAACCTTACCCCAGGAAAGGTATACTGATTGTGTAAAGCTGTAATAGCTCTGTCAGCTTCCTCAAACGTTGCATATTTCACAAAACAATATCCTGAAAACAGGACAATTTGCATGCAACATGAATACAATTACAGAACAGACCATTGTTTGGGACAAACAAGGATCTAAACACAGTTCAATTGCTCAGAACAGCCACTTTGTTTAGAACAACCTCACCAGCTTCGCATAAAAATGAAATCACAAGCAACTCTAGAATATAAAACTTTGCATACCATGTCGTTCACCAGTTTTCTTATCCCTTGGTTGAATAATCTCAACAACATTTCCATGTCCTTGAAACAAGGACCGGATCTAGCAAAAAGAAGAAAATATCCAACAGTTACTCATGTCACATACCCAACAAACTACTATGGGAAAGTTATATTAGAAACTAATAGTTATGAGAAGCATAATCCCCTTCAACAGCCACATTTTTGTAATGGATTCAAGGAAGCCGGTATCGGACATACAGCTAATAAAAAAATTGCTAAGAAAATGATAATGGCTTACGGTTTCTTCAGTTGCTGTTCTTGGAACCGTTGCTACATAGAGCTTTGCAAGATTGCTTCCTTCAGTATGCTCTGAATTTTTTTTTAATGAAAAATAAGTATGACTTTAGTGACCTCCAAAAAAGTTTATAAATTGTAATATACTGAATTAAATCCCAAGAAAAATGAAAAAAAAAAAAGGGCAATTGGGGACAAGCAAAGTGAGCATGAATTATTAGAGTATGATTAAAGGAAAAATAGAATTGAAAAATGGAAGGGTAATACATTGTTACCTGGAGAAGCTCCTCGGCCTGAATGGTGAAACCCTCTCTTTCGACTGGGATCGGAACCGTTGCCACCATTGGACCAGAACGCGTCGTTTTGTTCACTGCTCGGATGCTGGTGCTCGGGGAAGCGTTCAAAGTGGTGCTGATGGCTAGGCTGAGGTTCGAATTGCTGGTGGCTAGGATGGTGTTCGAATTGATGGTAGTTATGGTGTTGGTTGTAATGGTGATTGTGGTGGTGGTGGTGGTCGGCGGGAAAATTAGGTCTGTGGGCATCGCGAAACCAAGGAGTTGAATTTAACGGATGATGATCGTTGAACCGTTCTCCGCGCTCCCTGTGTCTCTCCATCGCTGCCGACGATTTGTTCAAAACCCTAGAAAAAATAAATTTTTGTGCAGTGAATACGAGGAAAACCAGGTGCAAAATTGGGCGCCTGAGGCTTTTTTTTTTTTTTTTTGGGACCTGGGATTACCGCCGGAAGAATAAAAAATTAAAATTTATAAGTAAAAGGCTAAATGCTAAAAAGGTTGGATTCGAATAGCAGTTCCTTGGGTCCACGACGAGAAATAAACAAAAGTAACGTTTGGAATCTGGTGGCCGAGAAGAAAAACGGCTTTGAGGAAATGGACAGCCTTTTTCTTTTCAAGTGGGCTTGGTCCATAAATAAGAAACATTAACCTTCTCAGAAAGTAAGAAAAAAAAAAAAACTACTTGACTTTGCTTGATTTTATTGGATGGTTAAAAAAAATTAAAACATAAGAAATTGAAAAAAAAGAGATAAAATATAAAATATGAAGGATTAACTTATACCATTGAAAATTTTTTTAATTGCACCTATTTTTAATCACTAATTTTGTAATCCCAAAAATGAGATTAAATTATTTTTTTATTTTTGACTCGTCTCTTTCATATATTATATTTATTAAAATCAATAATTAAAAAATATATAAAAACTTGTAATTTTATATTAATATAAGTTGATTTATTCTCACTAAAAATATAGAAAACATATTTTTCTATTTTTCTAATTCATAAGAAAAAAAAAATAAAGAAAATATAATTTTCTTTTTATTCATTGCTCGATAGATTTAAAATTTTAAAAAAATATAAAATTGTATTCTTTTGTTATTATATATCCTTGTAAATTAAGATGTAAAGGTAAATTTTAAATATGATAAAAATCTTGTAAATATACGATATTTTACTCACATTTTTCTTGGTTTCTCTTATTTTATCTTTTTCAATTTGAAATTATTTATTTTTGTAAATATATGTGAAAATTGGCATCTTTTCTTTTTTTCTTTTTTGTTTCTCACTTTTTTCTCTTATACCAATTGCACTCAAAATTTTATTTTATTTTCACTTTTTCATTTTCCCTATTTGTTCTTCAACTCTTTTACCTTACTAAACATACTCTTTATTTTTTGTCCTTATATTAAAAGATGAAATTTTAAGTACAAATATTAAACTCTAATATTTTTTTCTGTGTAACAATCACTTTAAAATTTATTAAATATCTTTTCAAAATTTTTGTGTTTATTGAATTATTATGATGCATAGATACCAATCTAAAATTTGATAATCATTTTAAGAAAAAAATACAATCAAAATTTATAGTAACAATTGAATATTGGTAAGAATATAAAGTTATATTTGATGCATAGGATAAATGATAGAATAGTATAATAATCATTTTATATCATGTTTGGTTTATATATAATTAAAATATATATGTTTACAATGAGAATTATCATTCTCTTGATATAAAGATGTTTCAATCATCTTCAAATTGAGATAATTATTTTTAATACATGAGATTAAATTTGTATATCTTATTATATCTTTAAAAATGACATCAATAGTTTAAATTATATAAATTTTTATGAAAAATAATTTTGATCAATAAATAAATTATATTATCTTAACCTTACACACATCAAACATAAAATAAAATGACATTATTTAATTTAATATTATTCATAATATCATTTTATCCTATTTTATTATAATATTATGTATTAAACATGACCTAATAAGATGTGATTGCACCCTTTTTGCATCTCTATTAACTCCATATGATGATGAGACTGAAAGTAAAAAAAATCTAAAGGTGACATTATTGTTATTTTTTTGCTCCTCAATCTAATTTAAATTACATTATTCCAAAACATATTAGCCGTTTAGCCATCATACAGAATTAGTAGTGGATTGTGAGAAAATATAAGTGAAAATGCAATTTTGTTAACTAATTAAGGTCCTTGGAGGTAGAAAAAAAAAACATAAATATGATGTAAAATTAAAAGAAATAAACATGAATGTTTTGTGTTGAGAAATGTAAAACAATTAACACAATACAAATGCAGAAAAGAGAACAAGAGAATTTTAAAAAAGAACTGCTGGAAAACACTAACTCATTATGAATAAAATCAACAAGTTAAGAAACAATTCAGCTATATTACTTTTTTCTAAATTTTAGTACATCCATCATCGATTAAAATAAAAAATGAAAATCATGTTTTGAAAGAAAAAAAAAAAAACGATGAGAGGGTAATTATTATTAATATATGTGAAATAAAAAAATTATAATTAATAAATATAAATACCTATATTTTTATTATTATTTTATTCTAACTTTTGGGCAAAGATAATCATATTATGGTATAAGATAACAATAGGTTAAATATTCAATAAGGTATAGTTCTTAATATTTGTAGAAAAATGAGAATCCGTCGCTCATTCACTTGGGAAAATATGGAAAAAGGTGAAGGAAAGATGAAAAAGAAAAGTGAGGTGGGCCAAAACTATATTTCGAATGAGGGTTAAAATGAAAATTCTACAAAAAAGGGGTTACAAATGAAATATTTATTAAATAAAAACCCGAAGCTATGTCCACCAAAAACAGAGGTAAAAGCCCCAGCCCTAGCAACTTTCTATTCATCGTGGAAGTACTGTTCGCCGCTCAAAACCTTCGTTTTCCCGGTATAATTTCCCTTTGCTCTTTTCTTTAATGCTTTTTTTCCCTTCCTTGAACTGATTCCACTTACATGATATTATGTTGTTACTGTGCTCGTGCCTTGGCTCATTGTTATTATTTTCCTTTTGTTACCTTTGAATGAATTTTCTATATGTTTAGTGTTGCATTATTGTAAATTGATTGATGCGAAGTCAATATTAAAGCTAAAAAAGTGTTGGAAATTGTTATCATATAAGAATTATAAATGTTCGCTATATATATGTAGACTTTTCTTGTCAAATTGTTACTTCCAGATGGTAGATATTGATGAATACAATTGGTTGAGCAGGAAATTATATATGGTTAATTTGTTTTAGTATCAATGGCAACCACACCAGAACCAGATGTCGATGATGATTTCAGTGAAATTTACAAGGAATACACTGGCCCACCAGGGTCTACGGTTTCCCGAGGGCAAGATAGGGTGAAAGAGAATAAACGTTCTCATGCCGGTTCTGATGAAGAAGAGGAACAGCGTGACCCGAATGCTGTGCCCACTGATTTCACAAGCCGGGAAGCCAAGGTTTGGGAGGCTAAATCCAAGGCTACCGAGAGGAATTGGAAGAAGAGGAAAGAAGAAGAAATGATTTGCAAAATATGTGGAGAATCAGGCCACTTTACGCAGGTATTTAACTATCAAGGGATTCTTATTTCTATTTAAATGTATCATTAGTTTCATGAATCAGCTGTATATATTGTGATAAGCATATTACCTGTCCACATATGTAAATCCACCCCACTTTCAGATTCATCAAGCTCATTGGGGTCACTTCATGTAAATAACTAAGGATACAACATCTATCATGAAAAATGAATGTGTAGGTTCTATTTTTGTACTAGATGAATTTGTTAATTGTATTGGATTTAACAAGAATTTATTTTTCCAAAAAAAAGAACAACCAAAAGTTTTTGGCTTCGTGCCATGGCAGCAGGTTTAATTGATTGGTAGCTTGGTGATTTTCCTTTTTCTGTCAGCAGAGTAGGACAGCATAGTTTTATTCACACCATATTATCAAATATTGGCAACTTTTAATCTTCCTTTGCGTCTAGTGAGTTGCATTTAGGTCCTTCTAAGCCTTTCACATTCCAACTTTTGCCAGACTTGAGAGTGAAAGTTCACTTCGATGTCTGTTTTGAGAGTCTATTAATTAAATCCTTCAGCCATCCGTCTTGATAAATGCTCATGTTTTAGATTAATTAGCTGGTTATCTTGGTATTTGTTAGGTCTATTATTTTCTTATCCCCCCTCTCCAACATCTTCTTTAACTCTCTTCCCTAAATCACAATTTCTTATTAAAGTAACGACAGATATTCTTGTTTGAGTGAGGTAGAATATCAATTTTTTTTTTTATGGAACTTGCTTTCCTAGAGAAGGAGAGCATTTTTCCCCTTGTTTTTGTAAGTTCTGTGCTGTTTGACGCATTTGTAGGGTTGCCCCTCCACTCTCGGAGCTAATCGCAAGTCTCAAGATTTCTTTGAAAGGGTACCTGCTAGAGAACCACATGTAAGAGCACTTTTCACGGAGAAAGTTATACAGAGGATTGAAAAGGATATTGGTTGCAAAATCAAAATGGATGAGAAATTTATAATTGTTAGTGGCAAGGATAGGTTAATTTTGAAAAAGGGTGTGGATGCTGTACACAGAATAAAGGATGAAGGTGATCAAAGGGGTTCTTCTAGTTCTCACATGAGCAGATCAAGATCCCCTGATCGAAGTCCAGTTGGTTCACGGTTGCGACGCCCTGAATCACAGAGGGCTCATTCAGGGCCACATAATTCATCACACTTCCAACAACGATTTGGCAGGCAAGATAAGGCTGTGGAAGACCGTGTCCGTGAGGATCTACGGAAAATTTCTAGAGGTTCTCCACAAGGTAGGAATGGCGTAGGATATGTTTATGGCATCAATATAAAGCTATTAATCACATGCTCGTGGCTTGCCGGTTCTCTAGGTTATCCTGTGTTTTTCATAAAATTTTCCTGATTATAAATCTTAATAATGCTGCTTATTGCTTATCATTTGTTTGCAGCAAGAGGTAAGTTCCTATGTTCAAGCATTATGTGTATGATTCTGAAGTAAATGTCAAGAGTTGGTCTGAATTGAATGGATTGTCTCCAAAATGAACTTATTTAGTGAAAACATTTATGGATTGCCGGATGGGTTCACTTTGTGAATATTAGATAGTATGCCTAGCTAAAAGCTGATCTACGTTAGCATTTGAATCAAGTGCTTACCATACTCTTCATTTCATGAAGCTTATGGTAATGATGGAGCTAGAAGTCACTCGAGCAACTCTAAATCTCCAGGCCGTATACCTTATGCTGGCAACTCATATAATTCCTATGATGGTCATAATCAAAACATGGCTTATAGAACTGATGGATGGGATACCGAGAGACGAGCTTCTGATTTGCAATCTCGCAATCAGCTTGAATACCCTGCCTTCCCGCAAACGTTAGATGAGTTGGAGTTGGATTATAAGAGAGAGGCAATGGAACTTGGGAGAATTCGAGATAAGGAAGAAGACGAAGAAAATTATAAGCACCGGGAGGTAAGATATTTATCTTGCTTGATTGTGGTGTGTGCTTTTGGTGTTAACTGGCTTATTTGGCAATTCTAGATCTTTCTGGGATTTGCTAAACATTTTGGAACTTAGGGATCAAAGGGGGAATCTAATTTTCTGAACCATTAATTAACTGCAATGAACATCATGAAGTTCAAAATTCTAAAAGCCTGAAAAAAAATATTTTGTTCTTGTTTGTTTCGTGGTAGAACATACTTCTGCAGTGCTGTATAGATTTCTTCCTCAGTTCCTCTTCGGTCCATTCCCTTCTTATTCATCCTTATAGGGCTGATATGTATGCCCTTTTGATCATTCATGTTCATGGAAAGTATATACTATTTAGATTGTATACGGGCTTCTTATGGAGTGGATTGAATGTTAGAGATGGCCATGTGGGGTATCTATCAGTGTCAATGAGCTATCAGAATGAATTATCTAACCTACTTCAGAAAGTTAAATTCATACTCCTTAAAGAACTGCTGTTACACTGGGGAACAAGAAGAAAGAACTGCTGTTGTTTGGTCTTCATCATTAAAACGCATAGGGAGAGCTGTTCCTCTGTTTGCTGTATCATTACGGAAATTCTGATTCCATGACTTCTGGTTTTGCAAATTTTAGACTATCAAGGAGATTAGAGAGAACTACATCAAGAAATTGGCTATACTAAGGGGCACACATACAAAACAGTGGGAGGAGTTTCTTCAATTAGATTCCCAAAGGCGTCAGCAACAGGCACGGCAACATATGTCTGCTTCAGGCTTTGGTGCTTATAAACAGCAGGCATATTCTGAATATGATGGCTCGTCAGTCAATGCTCATTATGCTGGTTCTAATTTACCAATGGATTCAAGGGGCAGATACCTAAATCCTATGGAAAATTATCCCTCTAGGCCTCATGACTCTTATGGTGAGTTTCAACGACAGAGGCGTGAAGATTTTGGGAAAGCTTACAATCGGTACTAAATCACTATGCTGGACTTTGTTTGGTGAGTTATCTCACTCTTAAATAAATAATGGGAAAAGACCATTGATTCTGTTCATTTCTTTTCTTGCTCAATTCCTTCGTTCTCGATCTTTTCCAAATTTATCGCAAGTTTCTTGCTGCACAAGATGTCGCTCCTGGGTTGTGGATGAGAAACATTATCCAATTGTTTTGATTCTTCTTGGTACTTGTTTGAAAGATTGGTAGAGGGCTTAGGTTGTTAATTTAAAGTTTTACCTTGGTAGGAAGGCAGTTAGTGGAGTTGTCTTTGTGCGTATTGCTGATTTTATTTCCTCTCTTGAATTAGTTTAAAGCTTTGCTCCAAAAATTTTCAGGGTCCACCAGATCTTGGTCGGTAGAGAGTAATTCGATGGTGAGCTCAAGTCTAGGTAAGTATGTCTGTATAAGATTTAAGAAGGGAACACTGCTGCTCCTTTGTTGTTTTATTGCGGTTTGTTCCTATTTCAATTTGATAATTTGGCTCTGTCCACAACTTCATTTAAGGAAGTCAGACACAGTTTTGGGTTTTTAGTTAGAGTAGCAATATTTGGAAATAAACCGTCTCTTGAATGATTGTTGATTTGCATCAAGTAATGGACTCTTCGTTTTCCATTTTGTTTTGTATTAGTACTGGTTTGTCTGCCTCTGCTGTGGTTGGAACATTTTTGGGTAATAATCCTTCATATTATTTTAAGGGGAAGACCAAAAAAAAAAAAAAAATCGATTGACTACTTTTTTGTTATTTATGGACTATTGGGCTGTCCATTCTCCAGGTATTTGGTAGTTACCTGGGTTTTATTTCTCTTTCAAGTAATTTGGTGTGTTATCGCAATTGTTGTGGTTTGAAGTGGTCAGCAAACCTGGAAATGTTGTATCATGGAGCTCTTATTAGTTCACGAAATAGGGTACCCGATCTTTGCTGGTTGGTTGGTTGGTTAAACTCCGGTGTTATTGAAACTATGGAAAATCAGGTTGTTTGCCTGAATCTGTAATCTGCTACTGGAAACTTCTTTTGGCCTTCGTTATTAAGGTTTGGTTAGGTTATAAACTGGGTAGCTGCACGCCTGCACGAGTTTACCATGTGTTTGATGTTATGCTCATGGTGGTAAGAGCATTTGGCTGCCAAATGCTCGGCTACTTTTCACCTGGCGGATGAATCCGTGCTCTCATTGGGCTTTGGAATAAGTGAATTTTTTTTTTCGTTTTTTCTCTTTTAATTTTTTAAATAAAATAATCATAAATATATTCAAATAAAAAATTTGATGAAAAATTAGTATAGTAGGGAGCAAAATTCTTGTACTTCATCGTCGCAAGGGGTTTTGGACGGTTAAAGGTTCATGGATCATGGTCATCAATGAATTTATGTTCATCAAAATTGGAGAAAAATTTTCCCATTTCCCAATTTTAGCTGAATGTGTGCACCTGTATGACTATTAAGTAAGACCAGTTCGTTATTTCCGTACCTTCTCCAAGATGACAACTCAATTGTCTGTTGAGCTGGGTGAAACTATGATTGATACTGCGACGAGGAGTTGGGATTCAGATGTGGATTCCTACATAGGAAACTTCTTGTCTAACTGGAACAACGTGAGGAAAGTGATCGGCCTAGACGTTGAACGGATAATTGATGAAGGTTCAGAAGAAACAGAAGATTACCGTAAAGGAAGTAACTGGTCAGAGAGGAAGAATAATGAAAGAAAAGTCACGGACGAAGACCCAAAACGGACCGTGAATGAAGATTCGGCAATGAAAAGCCGAGTGGCAATTTCGCAACTTTGTGATGGCGATACATGTCTTATAATTCAGCTTCCTTTTCTCGATTCCGTACCCAATTCTCTCCTCAAAATTCTCCAGCTTCCAGATTTGCATTTGTTGGCATAGGGATAAAAGAAATTATTGCCAAGTTAGAGAAAGAGTATGGGCTAGGATGCAAGAATGCCGTGGAGTTGGGACAATTGGCCTCCAGCGTTATGCGAATGCCTCGCTTGGCAGCTTGAGGGGTGGACTTTCTGGCTCTAATTGATGATTCACTGAAGCTTGACAAACCCACTAGCGTAGTTTTTAGTGACTGGGGTAAAGAGCGTCTTAACAAGGAGCAGATTAAGTGTGCTGCAGCTAATGCTTTTGCCTACTTCAGGATAGGGAACAAGTTATTATCTGGTTAGATCTCAGGTGCAAGCTCAGTGGGAGTTTGGGGGGAGCTATCCTTTTGTTTGGTAGTTTCTGCAATAATGGAGGTTGTTACGTGTTTATGTATAGTTTTCTTTTAACTAATGAATAGCGAAACATCGTTGATCACATAGTAGTTTTACTTTTATGAAATAAAAAAAAAAAATACTATCTCATTTTCTTTGTTTTTCTTTAGATTCCAAAATTAGTTTTTTAATACTTAAATCTCTTACACTTTTTTATATGTCAAAATTATTTTTCATGATTTTTTTACCTTTAACAATAAAAACCATAAAACATCAATTTTACAAAAAAAAAAATTAATATAAAATAAATCAAAATCAAAAGTTTTTAAATTCTGTAATTCGCCACATGCTACTGAAGGAGATCTGATTGGGTTTATTATTGTTATTTTTAAGGCTTGAATCGTTATTTCTGGTAGTTTTTAGCTGAGTTGATTTCATTAAGTAATTTGAGAATCGTTCAAAGCAAATATTAATTTGAAGAGTCTAAACTGATGAATGAGTCCCCCTTTTTAAATCAAACTTCAATACTATACTAATATACTTTGTTGAAAAGGAGAGTTTTTGACTAGAAACAGTAGTATGAATTTAAGTACATTTGAGATGAGATACGGTACAGCACTCTATTGAACTGGTTATGTTTCTCCAGGCAATCGATGATGATTTCATCTTTATCGGAAAGACTTGGATGTCGTTGAAGTTGTATAAACACACGCATGATAAATATTGGTAGAATTCATGCTAGAAAATATAAGTTGTTCGGGAATAAGAATCTTGTTCCACTTTTGATTGATCCAATAGAATGCTGAAAACAAAATTGCCTGCCTCTTTCATAGCGGTATTAGGCATCAGACCCTGTTTCTTCCCTCCTGGAGTCTTTCTGCCAAACTTAACCCGCTCTAATGTCTAAATGTGGTCCAATATTTTAAGTCTTTTTCATGCGCATTTAATTATTGTCTCACTCATATTCGTCAAACTTTAGCTAAAAAATCTAATACATTAGCACTTGCAATATGGGCTCACTTCACTTTGATTTTGTGACTCTGCTGATGCTGGAACCCCACAATCCGATTCTTCTTTCTCTATAAAGTCCAGAATAAAGATCAAGATTTATGATCTTTGCCCATTTCTTGGTAGCTAACAAATGACCCTCAACCTCAAACCACCTAAACCTTGAAATATAAGTACGTTACACAGGACAATTTTTGTTATTTCTTTCCCTGTAAACAGCTGTATTGTATGTATTTTTTAAGCATATGCCCTGAATCTTTCTTTATTCCTCTCTAGCTAGAGTCTATACCTTCATTTTATTCTACTTTTTTTTTCTCTGGAACATTAAAATTACGGGATAACATTTTGGTTTGTCGGGGTGAAATTAACAAGACATTCCAATGAGAACGTGATTGCACTATGGTTTAGAAAAGATAAACATAAAAAAAAAAAAAAAGAAAGATCCCTGCCTGCCTGCCAAATCTGTTTTGATGAATTTTTCTCCTACTATTGAAATTTTGATTAGTCAAACAAAACATAGGATTCTCAATTATTAAGCCAAAGTTTAACCCGTCTTAAGTCCGTCCTAAGAATAACCCAATATTTATCTAATCTAATAATCACCGAAAATATAAGCTTTTTTTTTTCAATTTTCCTTAAATGTTTGAATATTCGATGTAAGTTGACCTGTACACGTCTTTACAATCAACCGGCAACTGCCCGTAACCATCCCCCAGTCCCCGTAGACGCTGACGTCAACGTCTACTTTTCGCCTGATCGCCCAAAAAAAAAACCTATTACCTTTGTTTTCTTTGTTTTTAATTTTAGTGCTTTACTATATTTATTTATTTTTTCAAATTCCAGCCTCTCGTTGTTGTATTTTTAAATATGAAGGCCACTTTCTTTTCAAAGGAATTAATTAATTGATATGCGTGCGCTGAGATGGTCCAGCTTCGGTTTGAAGATAAAAGTTCGACGAAATCAACAAAGAATTCTCAGTTTATTGTTCTTGCAGACATCGAATTAAGCTCATTTTCGTTTTAATTAAGGTACATTCTATTTTTTCCTCTGATTTTTATAGGTATGTCTCTGGGTTTTCGTTGAAGTGTTTTTTTTTTTTTTTCTTTATCGGCGGCGTACTTTCCCCCTGTTTTCTGGGTTTTTATCTTAAAGGGTATATGTTTTTTTTTTTTTTAAATATACATAATAATTTTCTGGGTTTATTCCGGTTTCAATTTTTTCTGCCTATCTGTTTGTCGAGAAAAAGGAAAAAAGAGATTCAAATTTCAAGCTTGATTGGTTTTCTGGGGAGTTAAAAGATAATCACTTATTGAAGTCCTTTTCTCTGTTGGTCCTTTCCGTTGGGTCTCGGATAATGAAACTTTTGCTATTCAACTCTAAATTTTGCCTTCTTTTTGTCATTCTAGTTAACAATTAAATAGACCTTGTGTTTTCCTATATTTTCTACGACTAATATGTGATGTTTGATTAAAAAAAAATGCAGGATTGATTGCTTGCTTGAAGTTGGGGCTGTGCTTTGATAAAAAAATTTCAAACTTTAGCTGGACCGTGTGGCAGGAGGATTTGTTTTTAATTTTGGTGAGTCCTACACTGGATATGAATGAAGGATTAATTCATGTAGACAAGGACTGAACTTTAGTTTAGCACTTAGCAGTAGTGGGGAAGATAAGTGTCCTAAGGTTAGGCAGGACTTAAAGGTTTTGTTTTTGAATGGATCACTTGTTTTCAAAGGAAAGAGATATTGAAGTAGATCTTGAAAGTGGTGGGACTACCAGTGAAGATGAGAGAACCAAAGATCATGTTTCATCAAATCTAGATACAAAGAGAACTTTCAGTAGAGTTTGGAGTGATCTTTTGAGTTTTGATAGAGTAGGGAAGGGTGAATGTGGCATAAACTCGTGCAGTAGTTCCTCAACTTTTAGCGCGGTTGAGGGTGAGAATATGGAATTCTTGGTAGACAAGAATTCAGAAGGAGAAGAGAATCATGAACTCCTGGCGTTTGTGGAGAAGAACTTCACAGGGGATAAGCATAAGAAGACAAACTCTAGGAAGCCTCCCAAGCCGCCACGGCCTCCAAAAGGTCCTCGGTTGGATGCTGCAGACCAGAAGTTGGTGAGGGAGATTGCTGAACTTGCCATGAGAAAACGTGCCAGGATGAAACGAATTAAAGCAATGAAGAAGATGAAGGCAGCAAAGGCATCATCATCAAACAGTAGCCTTTCTGCTATGGTCATCACTGTTCTCTTTTGCCTTGTCATACTCTTTCAAGGTATTTGACATTGTTTTGAGATCCAATAAGGAACCCTAAATAAAAATTATTCTCTTCCTTACATGTATAATTGGCTTCTATTTAATTATGGTTAAAATATGTTGTCTACTAGTAAAACTTTTCATGGACTGCCAGGTACGATGGAAGTCTGTGTCTGAGGGGTGAAGCATGTTAATTTGGCAAAAAAAACAAACTTCCTTAGTTTACTGTTTTTCAAATTTGAATAACCCATCATTTCTCAATTTTCACAAATAACTTTGTTGGAGAGACATGGTTTTCAACTATTAGAGAAAAATTTAGCTTACTGAAAAAATTAATTTGTATAATTACTTATATTTTTGTGCTTAAACTTTGTTGTAAGGCTTTCTCTGTTTCAACCATGTTTAGCCTATTGACATTAAGATTCCTGGTTGTTTCAATTATGATTGTGCCTTGACTGCTGTAATAAATAAGATGGAAATCTTACAACTCCAAGATTTCCAAAGCATTTTAAAATCACATAATCGGCTTTTCATATTTGGAATTCTTTTGGTGCTTGCTGTCCTTGCTGTATCATTTTAGGTCAACTCGCTGTCACCAATTCTTTAAGCCATTATCATCAAGCTCGGAATTTTTTATTTCTAGACAAATTATAATTGCATAATAACTCTTTCTGATTCTTGTCATGAATGTTTCATGATAGTACAAAAGAGCATGCATCAGATCAAATTGTTTACCTGACGACGCTTGTTTGCTTCTCACTTGTATATTTCTCTGTCTTCCTATGAGAGAAGATAAGCATGTTATGTACATTAGAAGTGCTTTAGATATCCGATTATGTACCAGCCAACTGCTAAAATTGTCTTTCCCTTTGGTGTGAGGAAAATTTGAGGTTCACAAACCAAAATTTTCCTTCTGTGAAGGAATTTCTGACATCTGTCTAACATTGCTTGAAGGTATATGTTCCAGACGTGGTGCAAGTGTGATGTTGGAGGGGTCTCCTGCACCAGCAATTGGCTCAAATGAAGGCTTTATTTCTGTTCAATTTTCCAAAAGCTTTCATGTAACTGAAAAACATGACCATGATCCTCCTAGGTGCATATTCCTCTCTCACTCTCTCTCTTAATTCCCTTTTTTGGGATAAATTATTCATTCCAAATATCGGTTAAAGAGATACCCATCTTTATGCATGGTAATAGAAAATGCAAAGAACGGATTATCTGAATGTTACATGTTGATGCAGCTTGGTAGAAAAGCAGGTTTCTCGTTCAGTTCTTGGAGACGAAACTAGGAAAGTTACCAGATGATGCGGAAAATAGCTGAAGCTGCTGATGTGGTATTTTGAATGTCATAAACAGTTGATTTTCTTGATCTTATGTAGATAGATTTTGATGTGATACCTGGCTATGCTGATTTCTGTCTATATGAATTGTTGTATGCCAAGCTCCAGTTATTGTACAGTTTAGTTAGTAAAATAATTTGTTGGGATAGAAGTTTATTAAACTAATTTGTTTGGGATAGAAATTGAGTACATGATCCTTCCAAAATTGGGATATTCCTGCGGAAAGTGACATAATATCTACAAGCCAATGGGGTTTAACCTGCCATTATTAGAATGTGTTTATGATAGACGACACACCCTCATTTGGTTAGCTTTTCCTATGGATGTTGATTGTTTTTCCCTGTTTCAGAGAGTTCATGTAATGAAAATGAAGTAATGAAAATGAAGTAATGAAGTAATCGTTTTCTTATTTGCATCAATGGTCCAAAGCTTTTCAATGTGTTTCGAAGACACGGAGATGGGGTCCTTGAAAATTTTTTCCTGCTCATAGTTCTAGTATTGTCTTTGCTGTTGGTGGGAGCGGATTTGATAAGACGAGACGACACATGCAAGAGAACCAATGACACCGAGCTCTACCTGTTACCTGTCTACTCTAAGATCAGATCCCCGAAGCTCTACCGCGGACGGCAAAGACCTTGCTCATATCGTCCTTGATGTCACGTTGAAAAAGGCCAAGGATAATTTAGCACAAATAGATCATAGATCAATCGCTAAGTAGAACAACAGATCCAGCTCTTAAGGATATTCTAAGTATTTGCTCTGAAGTGTATGGGGATGCTACAAAATTGGAATCAAAGTTTTATGTTAAGGTGACCGGGAACGCAGAGGATTCGGCTGCATGTGCAGAAGAGTCATTCTCTGATGGACCAAGAGCAGAGCAAAACCGTCCATCTTCTTTTACTGATCAAAACAATGCTGTGTTACATCTTGCTCGTCTTGCTGAAGATATTATTGTTTCATTCCCTCCGGACGTTATTTTTCCAAAGCATGCCTGGAGGCCGCCATGACACCTCCAAAGTTTAATTATATGATTATTTTAAAATCATGTACTACATAGCTCATTGGCATATAACAAAACAACAAATTTATTACAATAGAACACAGAACAGATTATTCCCTCCTACAAGAAAATTAAGGGTAATTAATTCATCTTGAATTAGTTAAAGAGAGAGTAAGAAAGGGTTCGTCTGAGTGAGAAAGGAAGACTCAATTTTAAAGGACAAAATCACAACATATAAGTTGCTTTAAGGTGTGTATTAGGTTCTAGTTACTGAATATTACAAGCATGCGTGACGCTAAACTGGTAGTATTGCAATAATGCTGAAAAGGAGTTCAAATACCATACACCTCAGAAAAACTCCGCCTGAGAGAAGCAGACCAGACTATGAAATCTGGAGTATACTGAATTCCTGTTGCTGGAATCCACATTTCACCATCCAGAAATTCCCAGACTTTGAATTGATAAGCTTCTATGGAGTCGATGACCCTGAATCCTTTCCCCTTCACTCTGTTATATGTGGCTGAAAAGTCTTCTTTTTCTACTTTGACTCTGCTGACTGCTTAACATGGATTGAAACCCGGGCAACTGGCCTCATCAGATCGAACTATTTTGCTGATATTAAAGAGGCTTTGGATCCAGAAACTTGTTCTGCTTACTTTTTTCTTTTTCTCCCTGAGACTGGCTAAAATTCTAAAAAAAAAAACCCCTACGTTATTTCACTCTTTTTAAAGAAATTTTTATATTTTTATTATATCCAAATAAATTTTCATATTTTAATTTGTATCAAATAAAATTTTATTTTAAATAAAAATAATTTATGTTAAGAGTTTATTTAATATATTAAAAAATTTTTAAATTTTTTAGATATAAATTAAAGATTAACCATTTGTATAAGTTTAAATTAAAAATTAAAAATTTATTGTAATATAATAAAAATATAAAAGCATATTTAAGTAAAGATATAGAATTTAAATTTTTTTAATTATTTCAACGTTTGAAATTCTATTGTTGCACTTCACAAACTTTATATTGGGTTGGGTCACTAATCAATTGGGCTTGAACAGCCGACGAATGATAGCAACCTCCAAGCTTGAACTATCAAGTGTTCATTCTTACGATATGCAGTGTCACTTTTGAAAGATAAAAGGATAAATGTGACCAATAGTTTTTAAATTATAATAAAATATTTAACATGATATTTAAAATTTAAAATATTAATTTATTAATAAATATGATATTTAAAAATTTATTTATTATCATATATTATCATTTAAAATTAATCACGCTAAAAGTGAATAATATATTAATTAAAATATTTATAATTTAAATATTATATTAATTATTTCATTATAATTTAAAAATTATTCATAACATTTACTCAAATATAAACAATAACAATATATTTTTTCAGAAGTATTTCATAGAACTAATTGTTCAAGGGTTGATGAACATCCGATTGTAATTAAGGATTAGTTTTCTTTTTTCTTTTTTATTTTCTCTGATAATGGATAAGCAAAATTTATGAAAGGCTAACTACTAAATTTATTCATCAATTTCGGTTAAATCATCATGCAAATCTTTTCTTTTCTTTTTTTCTGAAAGAAAAAGAAAATTCTTTATTGATGTGGGATTCATCTTATGCATGCTTTCGTAGTTAGTTATATTTTGAAAGATACCTTAGACATGTGAAATTTACTCGTATTAATTAATGATGAAGAGGTCCGAAAACATTGACAAAAATCTACTCGTATTAATTAATGATGATGAGATAATTGATTTGAGGTTGAGACCTATAAATGAAAATTCAAAAAGAAAAGAATAAGCCCCTTTCAATCTATTTAATTAATAAATATTAATTCACGTAACAATCCACAGCCTTTGGCAGTCTTATTCCAATATTCTTCTATTCTGTATATAGGTTTATAAAAGTTTTTCCAATGTTGTGCAAAAAAAAGTCAGTATCTGCCTAAAATCATGAGGAAAATTTATTTTTTTAAAAAAAAAAAAAAAAAACTCATGAGGAAAATGAGTTATACAGCCTGTTGCCTCTATTTTCTATTAGCAACCAAAGCTTGATTTGCTTTAATTACAACTTAAATCTCCCCTTTTTTCACGATACTGCAAATAATTCTGAAAAAATGTAGTTTAACTGCAACACCCTCACAAAAAACAGGCCTTAATTTGTTGTACGATCCAATAGTAAAAGTTCGGAGACGGATTTTCCTCCCCTTTTTTGCAGCTTTTGTCATGACGAATATTAGATTCTTTAATCCTAATGACAATGGCAATAATCCATATGATCTCATACATAATTTAATGTTGATCTCACAGAACACAGAGGTGTTAATTCGTGAGTTTCAATCTCACAAGCTTGTCTTTAATTTGAAAGACATCACTCTATTTAATTTGAAAAACATCTCTTACCTTACAATTACATCATGAGATTTGATAAAATAATACTAATATCTCTATGTGTTATTTATTAAGTTAATTTTAAATAAAAAAGATAACTATATCCTTTCTTAAATATTAATCACTTATTTCTCTATTTATTTTTTTAGTTTTTTTTTTTTTGTTCAAGATTTTTTAACTGCCAAATAATGAAAAGTTAATAATTTTTTAATATTTCTTTAACTACTATCAAATTAAATTTTAATTAAATTACATTCTAATTTAAGTGTATGTTAAATCTCTTAAAAAACTAATGCTAGGATTCCGTTAATAAAATTAATATCTGTTCAGATTTTACTTTAAATATTTACTATACCCTTCTTTTGTTTTTTCTTTTTTTTTCCCTGGTTTTAGTCCTTGTATCGATAAGAGTTACATTACTAATAAACCGTGAATTCTCATAAACCCAATTTGCGGTCATAACAAAGGCATAATTATGTAAAGCTAATGCACAGGAGCTAATGCCATGTTTCTATTTCATTATAATTTCATAGTTATTTAAAATTTTGAATTTTGAATTAAATTTTATACATTTTATTGGCATTATCAAGTATTTAATAGTGTAAATAATAATTTGTTTCCATTTATACATTGAAAAAAAAAAAAGGAAAGCCGAGTAATCAATAAGGAATGGCAATATAGTGGATATCTATCATTTTTTTAAAAATTCGTATCTGAATTCATTTAGTATTTATAATATCCGAATCCATTTAAATATCTATTTAAGTTTAATATCACTATCTAAATCCAAATCTGTTTAGATAAATATTATCCATATAAATATTTGAATCCGTTAAAATAATTGTTTATTTAATTTTTTTGACAAAATATAAAATAAATAAAAATTTAATTTAAAATTCAAATTCACTCTTAATTAATAATAAATAAAAATTACTTTTTAAGATCTAAAATCTTCTACAAGTATAAAATTGTATATATTTTCTATATATAAACAGGGATTCGAATATAAATTTGGATATTCATTATTATTCATTAAATTTAACAGAATTTAAAATTTGGATATTTAGGGGATACTATTTTTAATCGATTTTGAATTCGTAATGGATAGTAAATTTTTTTATCCAAATCCATTAATTAACTATTTATAATTATTCAACTTCGACATAAACGGATTAGATGATAATGAATAGTGAATTATTGATGCGGTTTTAATCACCTCAAAATCCAAAATATTTAGTTTAGGGTAGTTCGACTAGAGACGGTTATAACTACCTTTAAAGCTAAAGAAATGGTTAAAACCATCTCTATAAACTCACTTATGTTTGTTTGAAATTGAAACCATCTTTATGTAGGAAAAGGACTTAGATGAAATTTTTTAAATGAAATTCGTAAAATTCTTTACTAAAAATAATGAAATGAAAATTAAAATTAAAAATCAAAATTGATAAATTAAAAGATCTCGTTACATAAATTAAGTGTACAAAAATTTGAAATTTTTTAATAAATTTCAAAATATAAAAAACCTCTGAGAAAATATTTTTTTAGAGTGATAAATCT